TAAAATTATTTGATCCAGTACTTTTTTTAATTCAGCATGTTCGACAATAAAAAATGAATCTTTTAATGAAATAAGTAGTGTTGAAGTTGCAGTACAAAATATAAGTAATAAAAGTTAGATTATTACGTATGTTGTAACTGCTTAATGAATTCAGAATTTTTAATTCAGTGTTAAGTATTTAGAATTAAACACTATTTTTTATCAAACAGACCCGGTGTGACGCACTAAAAAACCCGACTTTCATAAAATATTTCTTCTGTCCAGAAAAAAAAAAAGAAAATCTATATTGAGTGTTGAGATTATGTGAATTAATTTATTTTTTGGACATAGAGTATAATTTGGTTCTAGCATGATGGTTTAATCGGATCAGTAGTTATTAGTAACACATAAATCGGATCAGTAGTTAAACAAATTCATTCCTCTTAATTCCATTTCACTTGTTTTATACTTTACTCCATTGGGAATTTCTTGACCAAGAATGACAGTCATATATACTTCATATATACTTGCTAAATTCACAAATTCTGAAAAGTAAAAACAACTTGGCAAAGCACACTTGAACGAGTCATATAACATAATTAGTAATAACACTTCAAAAAACGTGGCGGGGGGAGGGGGTGCGTCAGCATTTTCCCAGACGCATGCATTTTCCTTGGTCATTCAATTCATGGGAGCTAGCTAGCCACTGATCAAATCAAATTACTGTAATGTATTATAACTCTGTAAGTTGAAGTAATTTGCCTATTGAATTTGAATATTGACGTCGAAGGTTCTTTGCAATCAAAATGAGATACATAAAACCTCTATGACTTAATACACTTAACCTCCATAAATTTATTAATATATGGAGTTATTAATTTGGATATGGAATTATTAATTTATCGATAAATTAATATGTTATTAATTAAAAGAAAAATTTTCAATCCTATAAGTAAGAAGATGCAAAAATATATTATCTTTACATCAAGCGAAGTAGGTTGCAACTCTAGTCATATAATTATAATCTTTTTAATCTAACAAAAAGATATTAGTAACGAACATAAACAAAAATACTTAAGTTAAAAGTTAAATCAATTTTGATTTTTTTTACTTTAGGTATTTATTAATTTATGAAATTATGGAAACCTGTATTTACATAGGAGATTCGGGAAAAAAAATATAATCTCATAAAGTAATCGAGATTTTTAATTTTTTGTACTGGTCCCAAATTAGGATCGGAAAAAAAATTATTCAATGAATATTACTACTTCCGTTCCAGGAAAATAGTTCACAATTGAGTTTTCAAATTTACACTAAAATTAGTACAAATCTCAAAACTCAATGTGGACGTTTATTTTTTGTGAACGGAGTTAGTATTAATTAGAGGATTAATTAATTTAGAGAGATTTTACTTTACATGATGTGCTAATGCCACAATTAATCCAAATATCCTCAACCAAGCTAATTTTTCTTTAAAATAGCTATATTCCTTATTAATAAAAATTTATATATAAATAGCGAGTTTGTCATAATTTTGGTATATTATGTAAAGATGCACGGGTAATAATAATAACTAGTCAGAGCCAACACGCTTCGCAAGCACTGGATGAAATGCATCTAGATTTTTCTTCAAAATTGTAACACCATTTCTTACTTTTGATGTGATAACAGTTACATAACGTGTAGTAAAGTCGTTATTAATTAATTTAAAAATCCGTATCAGTTGTAATAATTGTTATTACAACATTTGATAATGGTAATGTAACTTCGTATCCGCAGAAGTTATATTGTAGGTGAACATGAGGTTTTCATAAGATGTAATTTCTACATATATAACTTTTTGAGTTTGTATTTTTTGGAGAATGACTTATCTTTTTTTTTTTTTTTTGGTCTTTATTTTTCTTTAAAATGACACTCAATAACACCAGAAATATCCCCAATAAGATTGGTACAAATTCTCGTACGCTAGCTACTAAGTTTAATCCTTCGCTGCCAAGGAAATTAACCATAGCATAATAAGTTAATGAAGTTGAACACAGTCAAAACTGCACAATAGTAGATAACACATAAGCCCATCCTTAATTCATTTACTCGTAGATCAAATGATGAACAATTTTTTGCCACTCGGTAATGCCCTCTGGGGACCGCAGAGCAATTTCTTACCTTGCACTCTCAACCTATGTTTTGAAAATCGGACTGGAAGGCGAATTGGCAACTTAAGTGGTTCACTGGTTTACTGGTTCAACTGGTTTAAATCGACTTTAAAAACCGATAAAAATTGGTTATAAAAATTATTAAAAAAATAATTAATTTTCAAATTTTTAAAATTTCGGTTTAACCGGTACCGATCTCCAGTCAAACCGCGAGTTTGTCCGGATTTAACCGAATTTGACCAATTTTTATGTCTACCGATTATTAATCCAAATCGAACCAGAAAAGCCTCCGATTCTTGGTCAAACCGATTCGACCACCCGATCCGCTCCGGTTTTCAAAACACAGCTCTCAACTGCATCACTTTCATGAATAACATTCCTGCCTATTTCATTAATGGCAAAATCACCACGGATGGTACCAGGCTCGAATTGAGCAGGGAACACTTAATTGCAATTCTGTGCTCCTAAGGTGCTAGAATTGAGAAGCCACGATCATACAACGGCTCGGAACACTCAACTATCCATATATGATAAGTTTGTAGAATTAAAAGAAAACCTCAATTTTAGACGAGAATGTTGCATCACATAATCTACCATATTTGAACCTCAATTTCAGGAAATCTTTTCTATTGAGAAATGTGAAAAGGGTTAATGATGAGTGGGTAACACCGTAACACAATTTGCACATCATCTTGAACTGTCAAAAGAGGTCAAGAGATAGTCTTTGGAGGACATCTATCAACAACTCTGCTTACAAGAAATCAGGGTTAATGATGAGTACAGACAATAGTAAAGAGATAGTCTTTGGAGGACATCCATCGCTAAAAGTTGTTTTTGTTTGATATACATTTAGAGTAATACTTTTTAAATAAGTACTAACTCCCTCCTACAAAAATGGTCCACATTGAGTTTTGAGTTTTGTATTATTTTTAGTATAAAAAACTCAATGTAGACTATTTTTTTGAGACGGAGATAGTAATATTTTTGACGCATGTGGTTTATGGCACACCCTTTTATTGTTGTATGATTTTTTTAGGTGACACCAGACCAATTCTATCTCAATTTTCTTTAACTAAATTATTTGAAACAAAAATCATTCACAAACGACTTTTTAATTTTTTTTTCCAGTTTGTTTGTCAAGGTCTTTCCCATTTGTTTTTATTAAATAACGTCAAAGTACCCTTTTAAAGTTTTTCACAAATGCCAATTTTAAAGTTAAAAATAATTTTCAAGATTTATTCAACCGACAATAATCTTTTAATATATGATAGGCCAGAAAAAATATAATAGGTGAAAAGTTTCTAAACTTATCATTTAAGTTTACGAACAATTTTCCGTCTAAGTTCATCATTGTGAATAAACCATAATTCTATTCTTAATATAAAGATGAAATAATACTACTGGGTTTTAACTTTTGAAACATATGTAAGTCATTAATTCCTAGCTTTTGTACTATAGGTAGCTTAATTTTCTTGTACTAGCTATCTCAAATGAAGAACTCCTCTTGTTCTCAGAGTCACTGATGTTGGGAGAAAAGTGTTCATTGGACCTTAAGAAAAAATAAAAATAAAAATTTAAGAATAATTAGATAGTGCAATCTTTTCTATTTTTTAAACCCGTTTCTTCCAAAAGAAAACAAAAAACCACTGAAATAATTTTTTTTACTTCCTTCTGCAGAGTTGATCCGAGTGATTTTATGCTAAATGTAAAAATATTAACAAAAAGATATAAATGATACTAAAAGAAAATATAAAATATCATTCATATTTAATTTAACATAGTTTCTTACATTTCTATTTATCACTCTCTTGACTACAAAGAGCACGCGCGATGTGCGTATGGTTTCACTTGGTGACCGAGACCTTTGTCAAATACTCACAAAAAAGGGAAAGTGAAAGTAGGAGGAAAAAAAAAACCTCACATTTTCATGTCAATTAATTCACAAAGCACAATCGAAATTGGAGACGATCATTTGTTGCAGAGAATTATCTCCAACACAAGCAAAAGGCATAAGGGGGAAACTGCAATACTGCAATACAAGTTCGTCCCAACAATAAAAACCCCAGCGGAAAAGAAAACAAAAGAAATATCGTTATGAATATATGACATAGTCAGTTAACGTCACAAAATTCAACAGGCATCAGGAATTGTTTTGAAACAAGAAGAGCGACTATCCCTTTGGATCCAAAACCATTCTTGATAAGAATGACTAGAAGCAAAGAGCGGATTTGCAAGATAAGAATGATACTTGTCCAACCGGACGACATTTTTTTTTTTTTTTTGGTTAAATGAATACACTCTGGTTCCACTGTTTCATTCCGTTCGAACTGGGTTGGGTGTGAATGTACTGGCCTACTGGGCCACTGGGGAGTGAAAAAAGGAAGCTAGTGAGTATTGTTGAGGACTAACAAGTTTTAAGTTGAAACTATCAAGGACTAAAAAGTATCGACGGGTTCAACCACTTATCTAAAACTAATGACTCGAGATACAAAAAAAAATACTTCTTCCATTTCGAAATAATTGTCTAGTTTGATTTCGGAAGAGATGGTAAAAGCATTTTGTAATTAATGGTGGGAGGTCCCCTAGGTGCACCACAAATGAGTAAAAACTCAAAAATTGTTTTCATTTATTCTGGTTTTATTTCATCTACAATAAAATTTTTATTTGGGCTTCAACCCATTTTTTCTAAACCCAATGCTCAAGCCCAGGAAAGATACTGGTTACTTTAACTGAAATCGTTTTTGTCGGCGCCTGATCCTGACGTTCATAATGACCGTGGTTCCGAAGTCCGAATTGGCTCAAACGCCCGTCACACTCAATGTATATTGCAAAGAATTGAAAACATAACAAAATGAAAGAGCAACGACTGCAAAATACGATACTGGTGAACATAAAAGCTCTCGTCAATCATGAATAGGACTGCTGTTAACTAAGAACTGAAAATCCAACGAGCTTTAAATGCAGCCAACCATTTCTAAAACACTTGGAAGGCGCCATTCTTCTTCCCAAAAATTTCATAAGAATTAACTAAATAGAAATTCTATAGAATTAACACCAATTGAATTAGTAGGCCCTACTTAGGTATACACGGCATCATCACTAGGCAGCAGTTTGAATGTATGTATACAAGTATATATACAGCAGAACCGTTCTAATATGCAAAGACGGCTCCACTGCCAAACGAAGACGATAACACAGCTGTCGTAGTGGCTCCACCACCTCCAAAATCTAGCTTGGCTCGAAAAATACTGAAATCAGACATCTGTCTGACAAATCGAGTGAAATTCACCCAGTTATGATATTCAAACAGATTCTTGTCCATTCGATTGAAGTTGAAAGAAAAACTCGGCCTCTCCAGACCATCAGAGAAGAGTTTCGACATCTTCAACACCTGATGAAATGATCCGTCATCCAGATTAGTTGCCAAGTTCTCACCTTCCATGGGGATGTCACAGGCCCTTGCGGCAAGCAGAAGCTGTTTAAGAAATCCTTCAGGACTACTCACTGGGTTCATTTGCTGCTCCTCAACATCTTGCATTTCGAAACACGTACAACGCATGGTGAAACCGTACCTAGCAAACATGCGAGCGATTGGGAGGTACCCGTCCTTTGTAGAAGTGTTGTAGTAACCGGCTGTTAACTCTGATGCATGAGACTGAGTGCCATAATGCCAATGGATTCCAGCCACTTTCCCTGACATGTTGACTTTGGTGCCCCGAAATATGGTCTCTGCTTCACTGCAAATCCTATCTCCATGCAGAATTAAAAGGCCTGAATACCACTCAAGGAAGAACTCCCCATAGGGTGTATTCCACGAACCGTCACTCTTGAAAAATTCAGTACTTTCAGGGTCATGCATCAAATTGCTGGCACCAATAGGTCCACCATTTGCCCACTCGCGTACTCCCCGTTCAGAGGCACAAGCATTCAGGGAAGCAAGCATATACTGACAAATTTGATAAACACAACATAAATATTTGTCCCCAAAATAAGAATTAACAAGGTTCCCAAATGACTGGAACGAAAAGAAAACAACTCAAAGTACACATGGTGCTCACCTTGTCATAGCACTGGAATTCACCGAGCTCACGAGAGCGCCAAGGCCATGTCAGCTTCTGAGAAGGGCAAGAAGGATATCTAAGTTCACCAGCAGGACCTAATCCAACTTGAACTCCCTGAAAATGTAACCACAAAAGTATTCAAGCCACAAGATGCACACATCCATCCACAAATGCTGATTTAACTCTATGCGATCTAACTTACCGTTATGATGCCACCAAGGAATGGTCTGAAACTATCTCGAAAGCTCCTCATAAAATCGGTGTATACTTGAATTGGTGACCTTCCACGAAGGACAGGAATAGTATCACATCCGAGAGACAAATATTCCATGTTCCTTCTTCCAAATCTATCAGAGTAAGCTAAATCTGGATTTCTATCCATCTCTTCGAGCACCCATTGAGGAAGGGAAATCCTTGGTACATGAAAAAATAACAATAAAAAATTTGAGCAGCAAATCAAAACACTTATTTGAAAGTGGAAAAGATGCAATGAAAGGTGAGCCAATGAGACTTAAAAATGATTCCAGCGTTCAGATAACATGACGGATGTAGATGCAATAAACTTGATCACAGTACAAGATTTAATAAACAAACACTCCATCCCGCAAAACAGGGAATAATTAAAAGCTGAAGAAATGTTGCAGTGCTATACTATCAAAATTGAGAAATAAGCCTACAAGTGCATCATAAAACATCCTTAGCAATTTTTTCTTCCTTTTTTTAAAAAAAGTAATAAATAGATTGTTCAGGAGGGGGATTAGAGGAAGCGTGTCTACTTATCCCGTATCGATTCCTCTTAAATGGCATATCAAGCCTTAATATGTCAAAAGTCTTGTAGATGCCAACTTACTAAACCCCAAAACAATTCATTGATTGTATGTAGCCGCTTTGGCAAAACCACATACATGAAGAAGTGACATTTAGCAACCATATTTAAACTTCTTTATCTATGCCTAAGACCCAAATTTGTACAATGCCTAGCCGCATTCCCCATAGTGCACCATTGCACAGCCAAATATGAAAATGCAGTTGCAACATAAATACAGTCATTAACAGTGTAAGAAAACCAACAGTCCTAGCTTATCAATGCACCAAATTTTGCAAATTTAAAATCCAAACTTTTACCCCACTCATGGAAGTATATGTATCACTAATAGCCGTCACGTTCCCTGACACATGTTATCATTTAGGGGTAATAATAGTATGTTTTAGTTCTTTTCAACTCTCCCATTCCACAATGATTCCCAATTTCCAGAGTTCACAACTTTATACTATCAAATACAGAAATGAAAACTCCCCGGCGTTAAAAAACAGGATATTTGGCTAAAATGCACCAATCTATATTCATCAATACAACGATTTATAACAAAAATTAAGCAGTTGCAACTTTACCAACCAGAAAGGATCGCCAGGGCCAGAACCACATTGATGAAAAGCCATTACAGCTCGAACTTTCAAACCATAACGTTTCGCCAAAAGCACAATCTCCAAATACCCTTGCCAATTGTAAACCCTAGGTGATTCTCTCTCCACTAGCCCCCACCACACCTCCATCACCACCCCCTCCACTCCGGCCGCCGCGAGAGCGCGAAATGACTGCGCCATAGCTCTGCTCCTCTTCATCTGCCCCGAGGACGAGCTAATAGCGTCGAGCGGGAGCGTAACGAAGACCGGCGAGCCACGCCGGTGGTGTTGCGGCGTCGACACACCACCGTGCTGGAGCTCGTACTGAAGATCACCGTCAAATTCGAATCCGTTGGAAGGCGTGTTTAAGGAGGAGGAAGCTTTGAGGCGAGAGACGACGGTGAGTGGCCGAGTTGCTGGGAATTGAATTCGTCGGAATCGAATTCTGGAGAATCGCGTAGACGGATGAGGAGGAGTCAGTGAGTCGGTCCGATTGCAGCAAAATGAAGAGGTGGAAAAGCTCGGAGCCGGAGGAGATGGCGATGCGATCGCCATTATCGGTGGCTTTCTGATTTTGGTTTTAGGGCATCGGAAAATGCAAGCTTAAAATCAGAAATGCGTGGGCGTGACAGTGAGCTATAATTCTAAATCCAATATTGGCCCTTCTAGTTCTACTTCATTTCATATTGGCCCCTTTGAAATAATTTGCCCCTATCAAACCTCAATACTGTACAAATTTTTATATTATCAGTATTATTTTTGTACAAATTGTCATTTTTCTGTTTTCTTTTTTTTTTTTGGTTACTGTTAATCACAAAGGAGACTCTATTGGTCTGCCCAATCTAGTAGTATAATGATTTTATTGTCAATGAGATAAAGCATATGAAAAGGAAGATGTGTTTTTTAGTGTATAAATAATTTATCGTCTTGTGCGTGTATTATTTATTTGATTTTTCAATTATAAGTGATACACATGTTTGTTACTTGATTGTTGCAATGCTCGGATACAGTATCAGCCTATCAATATAAAAATGACGACAAACTTTCGTAATTTACTTACAGTTTTTTGACAATTGTGAGAATCTAACACCAGATAATATCTAGTACCAATATAATTAAAACATACTCCCTCTGTCTCATAATTGTTGTCCAGTTTTAGTTTTCATTTCTAGTTCAAATTATATTAAAAATAAAATATCAAACTGGACAATAATTTTGGGACAGAAAGAGTACTAGATAAGTATCATTTATTAATTTGAATTTTTTTTTTGTGTAAGTGCTTTTGAAATTTCAATTAATTAAGATGAGATAAATACATCGTAAATTGTGTAATGGTTTCTTTCTCTATAAATTTTACTTACCATAACTATTACTATGAACAATGTGACAATGTGCTAACTGCTTAGGATCATTACGCTATGTATCTTGCGAATTGCAAGTATCCTGTTGGTGATAACATATCAAAAAATAATAGGCATAAAAAGATAGATATGTTATTGTGATTCTATTTCATTCACATTTTTGTGAGTTATTTCTTATGCTTTTTTTAATATTTTATTGAATTAAAAACTGTATAAAAAAAGTGAACTATACCTCAAGGACGGGACGATTAAGTAATATAGACAATGGAAACAAAAAATATGCTGGAAAGGCTACCCAAGAGAGAGTTTGACAAATTATGCAAGCACACTGTGTATACTTTATTTCCCTCCATTTCCCACGTTTAAATCACTATCATCCCACTTCTGTTTCGAGGTTACTTTATCATCCCAATTCATCGTGGTTTTAACCATTGCCAATAAGATTTACCTCTAATCTAATTTTACTGATGAACTGATCAACAATACATGTACTGAGATTCAAACATGGATAATACTAATGGTTAATCTAATTTGATTTAAAATATTACTATTATAATTTGTTTTCTCTCAAGAGAAAGGAATGGGCAATCGGAGATGGCGACAATAAAAATCATTTCATGTTAATATATTTTGAGTGTTAATATTAAATTTGAAAATATTGGTTTCTTTATTACTAAGATATTTTATTACAATGTGTCTTCTTTTTTATTTTTTAAAGGATCCATCCGTGGTTCGCTAGAACTATTTAAATTTTTTTTAAAGAAAAAAATAAAACATAACAGTAAAAAATATTGGGTAACATACTGTTTTATAACTATATGGGAGACAATGTAATATGAATAATCACATGTTAAGCTATGAAATTATCAAATTTAGTCATGTGTGTTAGTAATTATTATATATATCAAGTATTATGAATTTATAGATACAAGAAAGCTTGGATCGAAAATGCAGAAAATCCAAACATTTCCAATAGCCAAGTTATGATGCCATTTCTTTTTTTTTTTTTTTTACCTTAGACGTAAATTTTGGTGGTGAAATTTTCGTCCCAAAAAAAGAATAGAAAGAAAATGGATGGCTCAGATCATCCCTCTCGGACGCCAGATGCTTCTATCAACGAATACCAAACGACTCGGTAGGACGTATACTCGCGTTGGTTACAATTGGACGGTGGAGATCATCACAACTCAAGATCCATCCCAATTGGCTGACCAGACTCTTCGCTGAAACCTCATTGGTCCACGTCAACAGCAATGACATGGTTCTGCATCATCTCTTTTTTAACAAAAAAGAAATCGCGTTTTCCAGAAATCTTTCATTAGCTTCGAACCAGTATATATAAATTACTACTGCCTCGCATTCTTCCTTCAAATTAGAAAACTCTGACATTCAGAAACGTTTCCTACTGATTTCATCGGCTACGTAGTTCTGAGGCGTAATATTTGATCGGAAGAAGAGATACGAAGAGTGATTCAACTGTGTTTGTCGGAGGTGAAGCAATGGCTGGCGGCGGCGTCGGCGTCTCCTTGAGAAGAGGCGGTTCTTTCATTGTGCTGGCGATCGTCTTATTCGGTAATTCTTCTTACTAGTTCGTCGCTCTTGTATTTTTTTTAGGCTTTTTGATCGTATGTTTTGTTTCTAATGTAGATAAAGATTGATTGATTTTGTGTTTTGTACGTATATATTTTGCGCGATTCTTTTGTGGAGTTTAGATCTGGATCCGCTTTGATGCATTCTGAGTAATGATTTGTGTGCTCTTAAGATCTGTTTTGGCTCTTGTGTTAAGTTGAGTTTACTCGTTCTGGTTTAATTAACATTGTTCGAGTTATTTGAGTGGCGATCTAGTTTCGTTTCGTTGTTTCTGGTAGCATTATAGGCTGTTAGGTTCCCTAACAGATTATACATTTTCATGTCTTTGAATTTATTGTGATAGTGTTCTCTAGGCATGTATAATTTGTTCAAATAATGAGAGCAGTTTGGTCTTTTTTGGTTTGCTTTCTCATGTTTACACGTTACATCTGGATTAGATAAGCTGTTTTTGTATCTGGCTTGTCATATTTATATTGTTGGGGCAAATATGTAAAGCTTGAGCTACATAGGGTAACGGCTATCACAGTAAAAGAGTGTTAGGCAATTGTTAGTGTGATCATTCATAGTTTATCTGCTTTCTCCGGAGCTCTGAATTTTTGGGAAATTGTTTTGCTTCAGCCAGTTTTATTAATGTTAATGTATTTTTGTTGGAACAGGTTGTCTATCTGCTATTTCCATCGCCAAAGAAGAAGCCACAAAATTAGGAACTGTTATTGGGATAGATTTGGGTACAACCTACTCTTGTGTTGGTGTTTACAAAAATGGTCATGTTGAAATTATAGCCAATGACCAAGGAAACCGTATTACTCCATCATGGGTGGCCTTTACTGATACTGAAAGACTAATTGGTGAGGCTGCAAAGAACCAGGCAGCTGTTAACCCTGAGAGGACCATCTTTGATGTTAAGAGACTTATCGGAAGAAAGTAAGACACACTCTTGTTTAATTCCATTTTGTCATTTGTTAATATTGAACCTGATTAGGTTATCATGCAAATCACTAATTTATTGTGTTATTTGCTTGTGAAAGGTTTGAGGACAAGGAAGTCCAGAGGGACATGAAACTTGTTCCTTATAAGATTGTGAATAAAGATGGGAAGCCCTATATCCAGGTAAAGATTAAGGATGGTGAAGTTAAGGTCTTCAGTCCTGAGGAAATCAGTGCCATGGTTCTTACTAAGATGAAGGAAACAGCAGAAGCTTACCTTGGAAAGAAAATCAAGGATGCTGTGGTCACTGTACCCGGTAATTATATTAATTGTTTTAAGTTGCTAACCAAATAGTGATATTCCCTTACATTTTAGTATTTTGACTGGATTGAGACATGCTAATCTTCTGGTGTGGTGTTTTTCAGCATATTTCAATGATGCCCAGAGGCAAGCTACCAAGGATGCCGGTGTTATTGCCGGATTAAATGTTGCAAGGATAATTAACGAGCCAACAGCAGCAGCTATTGCTTATGGATTGGACAAGAAAGGTGGAGAGAAGAACATTCTTGTTTTTGACCTTGGTGGTGGAACATTCGATGTCAGTATCCTGACCATTGACAATGGTGTCTTTGAGGTTCTCGCCACAAATGGTGACACCCATCTTGGAGGTGAGGAAATATTGCTGTATGGCTTAGTCATGGCATTTGGAAGAGTTCTATGAGCTGAATGACTAATACTGTGTCTTGGTTACAGGTGAGGATTTTGATCAGAGAATTATGGAATACTTCATCAAGTTGATCAAGAAGAAGCACGGAAAGGACATCAGCAAGGACAACAGAGCCCTTGGAAAACTGAGGAGGGAAGCTGAGCGTGCAAAGAGAGCTTTGAGTAGTCAGCACCAAGTCAGAGTGGAGATTGAATCTCTTTTTGATGGTGTTGATTTCTCTGAGCCATTGACCCGTGCTCGTTTTGAGGAGTTGAACAATGATCTTTTCAGAAAAACCATGGGACCAGTTAAGAAGGCCATGGACGATGCTAACCTTGAGAAGAACCAGATTGACGAGATTGTTCTTGTTGGTGGAAGTACAAGGATTCCCAGAGTTCAACAGCTCCTCAAGGATTTCTTTGATGGAAAGGAACCTAGCAAGGGTGTCAATCCTGATGAGGCTGTTGCTTATGGTGCTGCAGTTCAAGGTGGTATTCTCAGTGGTGAAGGTGGTGATGAAACTAAAGGTAAATTATTCATGGAGCAGCTCAAATGTGACTGTTACTTTTGCTGGAGATCAGTCAATCATGGAATTCTGAACTCTGAATATTGACTTTTACACTTTCTTTTGTGCAGATATCCTACTTTTGGATGTGGCTCCTCTAACCCTCGGAATTGAAACTGTTGGTGGGGTGATGACCAAGTTGATTCCCAGGAACACTGTTATCCCAACCAAGAAGTCACAAGTCTTTACCACTTACCAAGATCAGCAGACCACTGTCTCAATTCAGGTAACTTTAGTTTGGATGAAATTGCGTATCAAACTACTACTTCTTTGGGGGAATCCTTCTTTGGGGGAATCCTTGCCAAAATGGTGGAACTGCGGCATGGTTTAGTTGTTTGATGAGCTGGTATTATGTGTTGATTACAGGTTTTTGAAGGAGAAAGGAGTCTCACAAAAGACTGTCGGCTTCTTGGGAAGTTTGATCTCACAGGAATTCCTCCAGCTCCAAGGTATTCTTTATGCCTCATATATATAACCCAATCGGGGTTTTGGGTTAAGAAGAATTGGTTTTCATGGTAGGTGATATTTCAAATTGAATGGAACTGACTTGTATTGAATGTGACAGGGGTACACCCCAGATCGAGGTTACTTTTGAAGTTGATGCCAATGGTATCTTGAACGTCAAGGCAGAAGACAAAGGAACTGGCAAGTCAGAGAAGATTACAATCACCAATGACAAGGGTCGATTGAGCCAGGAAGAGATCGACAGAATGGTCCGGGAGGCTGAGGAGTTTGCCGAGGAAGACAAGAAGGTGAAAGAAAAGATAGATGCTCGTAACAGCCTGGAGACATACATTTACAACATGAAGAACCAGATCAATGACAAGGATAAGCTTGCTGACAAGCTGGAATCAGATGAGAAAGATAAGATTGAGACCGCGGTGAAGGAGGCCCTGGAGTGGTTGGATGACAACCAGAGCGCTGAGAAAGAAGACTACGAAGAGAAGCTCAAGGAAGTAGAAGCTGTGTGCAATCCAATCATCACGGCTGTGTACCAAAGATCTGGTGGCGCTGCACCAGGTGGTGAAGCAGCAGATGATGATGACGATTCTCATGATGAACTGTAAGTGTAAAAGGTGATCTATAATCCAATCCAAGTCCGACATCCACTGCTGAATGAATAGGAAGAAAAAGTGGAGGCAAGAAAGTCCGGGTTATTTAGATTAGGGAGGATGATGAGTTTAGTGTAATATCTGCATCTTCTATCATTTAAGGGGACTGAGAGAATTCCCTTCTTCGCTCTTGAATATTGTTGAGGTGAAGATACTTTTTGATTAGGAAACATTTCTGTTAACTTTTTTCTTTGTATTTTGGCTGAATGATATGTTAAAAAGTTTTCTCAAGTGACCAGTGCCTAGTTGCCTCCTTGGGGTTGTGCGAGTTTCTTTATCTTTTCTTAAGGTTAATAAACCTTGTAGATAGGCAGTTCTGATGCTTGCTGGTTATTTCTGACTAACACGATAAAGGATGATTGCAAAAATCAAGTCCAGATTACTATAAATTTATAGCAACAGGAGAACAACTGCTTCCGTTATACGAAATTTGAGCTTCCAACCTATTCAAATTTCGAAATTCAGCGGTTCCAGTTCTAGCAGTTTCATTCAGTATACATAATGTTTGCCAAATCGACCAAAGATCCCAAAATTAAAATCATGGCTTTGCTCTTTTTATTTTGCGGAGAGTAACTGTACTATTTGTCAGAACAGGTTAAAATGGAACACAGATCAGCAACGATTGCGAAAGTTTCGATGAACATTAAGGTTCAAAGTACACCAGAAGTAATAGCCACCCCTCCCCCAAAAAAAAAAAAGAAAGAGAGAAGGAAAGAATACTGGCAAAATGTGTCATGAATATTGGCAGAATCTCTTCAACTTCTCATCATTAAAACCCAGCTTTTGGATCTCCGGATCCTGCAGCCACAACACCCATGCCCCCTCCCCTCGTAACATTCACATTCTCATTTCCAGCTGAGGTTGAAATTGCCGCAGCAACTCTATCACCATCCGACTCACGCACGAGTTCGTCAATCTTGCGGAACTGATACGGCCACCTTGCGTTATATAGAAATTGGCGAAGATCAAACCTGTTGTCTTCGGGTGAATAACTCTGCATGAAAACATCATAGGCTCTACTATGAATTTCTAATGCCAATTATAGCAGTTGTAAAAATAGTTATTATCAAACAATTGGGAATATGTGTGCAATTGTCTGAAGTTGTCTTACCTCAGCATGATAAGATGGCGTTAAAACAGTCATTTTGTGTCTGTTAATGGAATAATACTTGAAGAAGTGCTTCACTTTATCGGCCACCTCCGACGGGGAAAGAGTCGCACCCCATTTAAAACAGAGGTTCTGATGTAAACAGAGAAACAGGTATCAGATTTGGAGCTTACTGTATAAATAAATAACAGTGATGAGGATTCAGTCTCCATTTGTTAGAATTTTATTACTGTACTAAATATAAGAACACGCATTGATAAATGCGTTACATGAAATATGATATAGAGGATTCAGTTTTTAGGTTCTCTGATAATATCTAACCCACTTTCCCATTAAAGGATTGTTTTTGCTTTAATGTATCTGACTTCTCTAAAGGAAAAATGGCTGCAAACATAGACGTCCACTACAAGATAGTACAAGAGATCTTTCAAAAACTGGAATCACGAACCTTAAACATGGATACAGGACCACATCGGAAAATCTTCCGTAATCTTCCATATACTGAGAGTTCTTCATAAGTCATTCCCATGTCCACCTCATCCAGCTGTTATGACAAAAAGAAAATATCAAATATTCATCCACTTAATTTGAGTTGCCAGTTACTTAAGAGGTAAAACATGTGAAAGCCTTGAGAGTTCAGAGATTTATGAAGAGGGTGAAGTCAGAATAGGGATATTCCAAGAGCTTCTAGCAGCCCAGAAAAAACCAGAATTCCACAAATGGATACCTGACTGTAATTGGCTCGGATTGGCTCCAATTCAGCTGTTGGAGGAGCAGCCTCAATTCCCGCTAGTGATGGATAACCAAGATGAATAGCAGCCCACTTCAAGAATGCACGGAGATCAGTCTTGCTGATGCTCCCAATTGGATTAATATCTGCTGAGCTGCAATCGTACTGCAAACAAAATGTTTCAAGAAATAGGTATTTCACTCAAGAGTCCGGAAAAGTAATAATTGTATTGTCATTAGCATATAATTAAAATCAATGCTTTGAGTTAACTAGGTAAATTCTGAATGGATGCTGATTAAAAGAAATAAGGTCTTTTGTTTGAAGGACAGTTTTCTTTATAAGTACCTTAGTCAAGTAACCACGCAATGCTTCATCCACATTGGAACTTCCAAGAACAAGGTAAAATCCTGGTTTATTGTGGACCCAAGGCAGTAATGATGCAAACATGAATGCCAAGATCATTCTGATTCGAGCTTGAATGTTCTGCAGTCCTAAGTTTTCAATGTTTGATCCACCATCTATCTGTGCAAACAAAAGAGCAAGTCAATGCACGTGACAAGCATTTCCAATTTCCATTTTGTGTCCAAGGTATAAGAGTAAATTAGTGCTAAATATTAGAATGAAACTAGTCCTTAAATGAAACTGTCATCTAAATAGATACAGGGGTGCAACATAAAGATGGAAGCATGATTTGTCGGTCCTTTACCTTATAGCGGGGTCGCTTTCCGGTGAGAGTTTGAAATAAAGTTAGAAGGGCAGAAACGACCCCATCAATGCTAACATTGAGATGCCACGCTCCAATTTCATCCGCCAACACTTTAGCACGTGTTGTTGTTGCTTCAGAACTGTACGAGAGGAAGCTTGTTATAAATAACTAATTAAATGTCAGTACAACAACAACAACAACCCAGTATATTCCCAACTCGGTTGGGGTCTGGGGGGTCAAGATGTACGCAGCCTTACCCCTGTATGTCAATACAGAGAGGCTGTTTAAGTAGTACGACCCAGGATGCATTGGTGCATTGATGTATTGATTTCCGGAAACTTCACCAATTAAGAAGTGCCGAAATTTTGATGAGCCATTTTGATCTAATCCATTATTAGCACAAAGCTGAAAGAATTGTCACTGATGACTCTTCCAGCTCCATTTGCAATGGATATAACTAATTAAATGTCAGTAAGAATAAAAAATACATATGGTAAACTAAGAGGTATTCATGTTACTAGAGGACCCAAAACAAAACAAAAATAAAAATGAAAAGAGGAAAGGGAAAAAAACCCTACCAGAAGAACATTGCACATGAAATCGACCCTTAACGTCGTTTTGAGATTTAAACAGAAAATAAAATTTACCTATCAAATGAAAGGAACATTTTGCAAATAAAAGGTTGGGTGAAGTTAAGCAACCCCAGAACATAAGTATTTTTATTGGTAATATAAATTTAAGTATTCACCTGTTCTCAGATCCCATGAACACAGTGTAAAAAAGGCGTTTAGCCAATTCTTTGCTGTCACTTGGAAAGTGGCCAGAGGTGTAGTTGCCGATGCGAATTGCATCAGCTTTGACTTGTTCATCACCACTCGCAATTTCTGATCAAATAATTTAATCTTAATTAAGAGATACAAGTGGAACAAAATACAATTAGCAGTTGCTTTTCTCTTTCTAATGTTTTGCTTTATTTATTTATTTTTTTGTGGGTGAGAAATCAACAAAGCCCAGACTTTTAAGGAATTTCACGGGCGAAATCATGGAAACTCTAAATACACCACTCAGCGCATACGGGTTAAAAGCAAAGAGATACAGAAGATTCCTAGGTCAACATGCATATGATGTTCTCTCTTCTCTAACTTAGGAGTAGATGAAAATAAATTCGGTGCCACAATAATTCCAAACATGAATTTAAGTACAAGAGTATGAACAACACGTCTCGAAGCGGCTTTTACACATTAACCACTGACAACTTCAGAGTCATCAAAGGGCTAACTTAAAACTGTAATCTACTACCAGGAGAATTTAGCTGGGATCATCACGAACATGGTGGAAATTGGGTCATATTTCATGTTCGCAGGTCGGAGGTTGGAAATCTTCACGTTGGAGGGTAAATACTAAATACACGAGATGGATCCAAAAGGTTTTCCTAAAATTCCAACTTTCAGTTTCTTTTACAGTTCTAGTTTTGCATATCCAGTTAGATATGATCAATGAACATGACTGCGTAAAACGTTGGCATGCTAACAATCCTTATAAACTTGAAACAAAATTACATAATAATGAAAACCTTACCTTTCACAACCAGCTGACACATGCAGCCGACAATAGCAGCCACAGAAGAGCTATCGGCCCCACCAGAAAGTGGAAGCAAAAATCCAGAGGCGCCACTTCTCCTCAAATAATCCCACAACCAGCAAGCGGGACCAAAAGCTATTTCCTCTTCAGGGGAGTGATACCTAATCTATGACAAATGGAGAGAGGTTAAAATCAAACCAGAGGAGAAAAAAAGGGGCCAAGTACCAATGAATCCAACCATGAAACACATCACCACTAAAATTTAAAAATTATTAGAGTTGAATCAATTGCCACATTCCAGCAGGCCTCACCTTAAGTGGACTTGAAAGAGCCATTTGGATGTTAAAAGATTGGCAAAGCTTAAAAGGTACAGCTACTGATGAAATTTTCCTCTTACAGCTAGCTTGTTCTTGGAAACTACTTATGGATCCTCTGAGACTAGCAACCTGTGGCAAAATCAGGATAAACTTCAGTTTGTACAGGATTTTAATTTCAACCACAAAAAGATAGAGAAATTGGACCAAAATCATGTTTTCAAGACCAAACATAATAAATGAAAACCCGCAAAACAAATTCAAGCCATCTAGTAATGATTTTCATCATCCTGAAACCAAATTATGTCTTTTGCCCGATCATCATTTACATAGAAAATCAAGGATATAATGTACACTTAGAGCAGAAAATCCTTATCTTGCATACTGGATTCATCCCATTTAGATATGACAACAAAATGATCCCTCAAATCTTTCAGGGAAACTTATTTCAGTATGAGCGGCAAGATGCTTAAGGGGTTAACTCAGAAGTCCAAGTATGTAGACATGCATAACTAGATTATAACAGAGGTTTCTTTCCTGATAAAACAAGTAACACAATGATTCAGAGAGGCTGCAGGCAACAAAATGCACTCTTGATGCTAATTCCGTTCTTGTAAGGGACAATTGAAGAGAAATCTCAAGCATACCGCATCTAGATCTATTTGAGCAACCACTAATTCCACATCCTTCAAAGAAAATTGTGAGCCTTGTCCAACCACATCTCCATTAACAACAATACAAGCACATCCATCTGCAACGGAAGAACGACTAAGACAAAGGATTTCAAATTAACCAATGTTCGAAATGCACCAGACATACTGCAAATGAATAACAAGTAAAACAAACCATAATAAAGGCGGCCACCATCGCATCCCTGGTGATTACTATACATATAAACTCCCCCACGGGTATGGGTAGCTCCTATAAATGCACGCAGTCGAACATCTAGTTTTCTTAATTGATGATGGCTTCCACTGGCATTCATGAATACTTCAACTCCATTCAGAGCCAGCTCAGCATGTGGAGGCATAGGACAAAAAAGCTCCTCACAGACTTCAGCAGCAACAGCTCTGACCATAACATGATTCTAGCGTAAGTAAAATTTTCATGTAATTTGCAGGAGACAATAATTAACAAGCTAGATACCCCACATAGCTATTCATGTATTAAGGCAAGATTGCATCAATTCAATTAAAAAGATGCCAAGTATCCATTTACAGTCAAGCTTAGGCGAGGCATCTGAAAGGGATCATTATTATGGTAACAAAAAGTTTGATTTTTTCTATATCTTAAAAGAACACTGGTCTAAAAATTTGCCATCTGATCTCTAACACATTTTCCTTGTATCTCACGAAGGACACCATTAGAAATGGATAATGCTTGTGTAGAAAGTATCACAACAAAAGTTCAACATTTTTGCATAAATTTTAGACAGAAGAACTCAGAGAGCTATTCCCTATATTCATAATTATCTAGCAGATCATATATGTGATCTAAATGACCACATGATCATGTTCAATGTCACAGAAACACAAGAAACAAAAAGAGAGGAGAGTTTAAGGGGTAGCAATAACATACGTGTCCAAAAACTGAAGGTAACCATATCCAAAGGGAACTGTGGTCTGTGACAAAACCTCAGAAACTTCAGGAGGAAGCAGAAAGTCCTCCAAATGGTCTTTCTGCTTCCATGCGGTAAACCACCTCAGTTCCCGGTAATTGCCATCATTTGCAAGCCACATCTTTGGACGTATCATGACAATTTTTCGGTTTAAACACAAAATCTGGCAATTGTAACGCTCAGAGTCCTTGATGACAGGCATCCCAAAACTACACAATAACCCATCAGTCCAATCACCCAACAGAAGCTCTTTCAAGCAATCCCACCTGCAAATACAACGACAATCTTCACGATCCATTCACATCTAAACATTAGAAACAACCTACATCTATAAAAATTGTTAAGGGTGCCTTTACATTGTACAACATTCATTTATAGCTATAAATCTATCCAACAAGCTTGTTGAGTCAATGAAGAAAAATGCACAAGGAGCAAAAGAAGAAACTTTAACATATTACATAAGTGAGACTCCAGTGTGAAAACACAAAATTATTGCAGAGAGAATGAATATGTTCGAGTTTTCTGACATCAAGAATGAAAAAAAATAAAGTTAAGTGGAAACCATAAACTTTTCACTAGCCACATTCTGTATTAGAAGCGAAAGATGTCATGATACTAGACAGCTGTATCAGTATGATTATAAAATCTAGTCTCTTTTCAGTTGAATAATCTTCCATTTAATAAGTATTCCAATCAAAGGTGCAACGAAAGGTAATATTGTTCTGAATATCCAAAATAACTGTAGCCGTAAAATTCAACCCAATCCAGTATATATAACGAAGTAAGAAAACAGAATTCACTAACAACATCAAGCTTTGAGACACAGCAATAAATGAAATACCGAATCTTTTAACTTTCTGGGTTGGGGCTTACGCATGAGTGACAGTGTCAAGTTCAAGGAAGTGATCTTCACAGCCATATCCAGTGATTTCAAGTTCAGGGCCCAGCCTAATGACTGCTCCAGCTTCCTTAGCCTTGGTTATGGATTCCTTAATGTTCTTCATGTTGCAATCAAAATCCATTGCCCATTGGTTCAAATTACAAGTTGCTACTTTTATCAACCTCATCTTCTTTTACCTTCAATTCAATCCTCAACCTTCAACCTTCAATACTGAAAACCCACTTCTTATAACTTCTTTAGTGGCAAATTGCAGAAATGGGTCCCCAAAGAAATTGGAGAATTTATTCCGAGGTTTTGTGCTGACGGAGAAAATCCGGGTTTGGGCGGCTTCTAACAAGGACGATGTGAAGCTGACACGTTTAGAATATACAGTTAAAAATTAGTTATTTATGGTATAGTCCTTACAAGTATTTGAATTTTATAATACTGCCGGTAGCATTTATGATTTTCTTTTATTTTGAGATTTGGTGATTTTGTTTTTCTTGGGGGGCGTAGAAAGTAATTAAAGGAAAATTGTGACTGAGGCGACGACGTCGCATTTGCAGGAAAGAAGGAGCTGAACTCTCTCAGCTCAACCCTCGAGACTTCTTTTTTTGCAGGCATAAACATTCTCTCCGATTTGCCGCAGAGAGAGAAAGATATGACGGAAGTGGCGAGCTCAGTCGTGAACGAAGTCTTGGGCAAAAGAGCTCATGACGTTGACACGCCGATTGTTGATTATGTCATCAACGTCCTCGCCGACGAGGACTTCGACTTCGGCGCCGACGGCGAAGGCGTTTTTGAAGCCCTCGGGGAACTCCTGGTCGACTCCGGTTGGGTTCCGGACCTCTCCGACTGCCGCGCGGTATTGCTCTCTTTCTTCACATCCAATTTTTGCACCAATTTGTTACATACTGTATGGAATGGAAAATAAAATTGAACCGTTTTCTTTTTTCTTTTCATATTTTGTGGCGTTACATTTAGTAATTTTGGAACATCGATCCTAGTTTGATTGAAAATGTTTTGCCTTCTAGTTAGTTTACATGGTTCTGAAGAAGGCGTTTTTGCATTCTTAGTTCTTAATTCCTGCATTATCAGAGAGCAATGCTGCTGTAGCTTATGGTACCAATAAGTATAGTTAGTTTACATGCTTCTGAAGAAGGTCTTATGCATTCTTAGTTCTTAATTCCTGCATTATCAGAGAGCAATGCTTCTGTAGCTTGTGCTACCAATAAGTAGGTGTGGCAATGGAGTCTCTTTTTGTCTTTGCGGGGCTGAAGGTTGGAAATATTTTTGTTGGAATTTCAAATTGGTATTATGATACAACCTGCCACATTTTCACAGAGTTCAAATCTTCTTGTCAGTGGTTACCCAATGAAATCTACCATAAAAATCAAGGAGAAAAAAAGAAGCAAAGAACAATAGTTAATGCTGCTTTTAATTCAGCTGGCTCTTAAGTAAAGGATGGCTTTTAGTTGATCAGCTACCAAATAAGTTTGAATCCTCAAAATGGCAGGTCTGTAGCAAGCTATCTGAGAAATTTGGGAAGCATGGTGTTGTGAAGGAAAAACCCACTGTGAGAAGTTTAAATGCACCATTGAGGATGTTTGATGGAATGGACGAAGAGGAAGTTCCGAGAAATAAGAAGCCGGAGCCTGTGGATGGTCCTTTACTGACTGAACGTGATAAGATGAAACTAGAGAGGAGGAAGAGGAAAGATGAACGTCAAAGAGAGGTAAAATACCTCTTGAATGATTGAGAATTCCTATTTGTTTTCTGATATACTTGAAATTGTTTACGGATACCTCATACTGTTCAACTAATTTAATGTTGATATGAATAAGTTCCAGTTTTTACATCTCTATTGACCTGTGATTATGCTGCCTATCTAGGGCTTCTGGTTGTTTTCTTTCCTTTTGCACCAATTGTGTTGCTTGTGTGGGTGTAAGGACTTCTCAAATGTTAAATCTAAGAAAACAAAGCAAAAATTGCTGCTTTATTAGTTTTTTTTTGTTGCCAGGTGCCTTGTCCTTCTAATTAGTTATTCATCTCAACTGTGTAGGCTCAATACCAAATGCATTTAAAAGAAATGGAAGCCGTGAAAGAAGGAATGCCGGTTGTATGTGTAAATCATGACCAAGGCGAGGGCTCAGCTGTAAAAGATATCCATATGGAGAACTTCACTGTATCTGTAGGTGGCCGTGATCTTATTGTTGACGGTAGTGTAACTCTTTCTCACGGAAGGCACTATGGTAAGTCTTTTTAATCTTTTCCTGAAGTCTGATCTTGACTGCAAACTGGCTGTTTGTCCAATATAGATGTCTTTGAGATGAAAGCGGATATGTATTTTTTTCTCTATTGAAACAGGCCTTGTTGGAAGGAATGGTACTGGAAAAACTACTTTCCTGAGGGCCATGGCTATGCATGCCATTGACGGCATTCCCAACAACTGTCAGATATTGCATGTGGAACAAGAAGTTGTTGGTGATGATACATCAGCATTGCAATGTGTCCTCAACTCTGATATCGAAAGAACTCAGCTTTTGGAGGAAGAAGCTCGTCTTCTTGAATTACAGGTATCCTGCTTTCCTTTTTGTGCAAGTATTTTTTGTTCCCCATGAGTTGAAATGCTTACTTCTTTTTTGTAAATCTATTTTATGTAGAGGCAAATGGACCTAGAAGAAGCTGGCAAGGGTAAAGGAAAATTGGAGGTGGAGAATGAAAAAAGTACCATTGCACAAAGGCTTGAACAGATATACAAACGACTTGAATTTATTGATGCCGATTCTGCTGAGTCCCGTGCAGCATCCATCCTTGCGGTTAGTTTTTCTTTTGAGGATTGCACCCCAGAATGGTGTTTAGTTTATCTAGGGCACAGAATGGTAGAATAGGTGTTAAATTAACTGATGAAAGCAGAAGTTGAGAGCGGAGAAAAGAAAACTCTTCGTATGCATTTTCCAAGTTCTCTGGAGATTTTTTCTTTTCTATGGTAAATGTAGATTTGGTCCCGAAATGTATTTACTTCTCCACTGGGTGCTATCCCTAGCTAGTAGCCTTGTGTTGATCATTTAAATGTACATATTGCCTTCTTGATAGCGAATTGTCTACATCTTTTTCTTTTCTGGATGTTCTTTTTGAAATCTAATAGACAAAAAGGCTGGTAACTATGTAATATCATATTTGGATTATGCTTTGGACCATGTTTACGGCAATTACAGATGAACAATAAAAGTAATGGTAGTAAATTTCTTATTGGCTTTGCATTTGATGTTTTCTCTCTTTGTTGTTCCTGAAAAGTACTTTTCAGTTTAGGTGGCATTTTATAATAAAAATATTGTATAGTGCCATGATTATTTGTTGACATGTCAAAATGTCTGTCTTCAGGGTCTCAGCTTTTCTCCAGAAATGCAGAAGAAGGCTACCAAGGCTTTTTCTGGAGGATGGAGGATGAGAATAGCTCTTGCTCGTGCATTGTTTATTGAACCTGATTTATTGCTACTTGATGAACCCACTGTATGTTATTCGGCACTTTTTCTCTCCCACAACTGTCACATCATGCGTGGGTTCTTACGTATTCTGATGTTTGGCAGAATCATCTTGACCTGCACGCTGTTCTTTGGCTGGAGTCTTACTTGGTTAAATGGCCCAAGACATTTATTGTTGTTTCTCACGCCAGAGAGTTCTTAAACACCGTATGTTTTTTTCTCTCTTACTATTAAAAAGGAAAATTTTTACTGCCATTTCTGTCTTGTAAAAGTAACTTTTTATTTTTTCAAGGCATAACACAAATTGAGGTATTCAATACATGTACTTCAGTTCATATTTTTAAGTAAAACAGTTAAACAATACTATTGTTGTGAGGGAAGGGGTATTGGCTGCTCAATTGTTTTTGGTGAAGTTCTTATACTTCGATTTATCCTCCTCTGCTTGCAGGTTGTGACTGATATAATTCATTTGCAAGGGCAAAAACTGATGACATATAAAGGGGATTATGACACATTTGAAAGAACACGGGAGGAATTACAGAAAAATCAACAGAAAGCATTCGAGTCACATGAGCGCACGAGGGCCCATATGCAGGTACACTTCTATTTTCATTTTATCTTTTGTTATCTGTATATTAAATTCTGAACTATGAAATGATCTTTCTTTTAAATTGTATATTGCAGTCATTCATTGACAAGTTCCGCTACAATGCCAAGCGTGCATCTCTTGTCCAATCAAGGATCAAGGTAGTTTTGCGTTTAGAATCCGCTGTCAGTTTGTTTCTTATAACTTGATCAGACCATGGTGTACTTTCTCTCATTCAGTTTTTAATCTTCTCATTATATAGATAACTTCACATGCCTAGATCAAAATGCAATAAGTTACAAAAAGGTGGGACAATTTTGCATCCGAGCGTTTATGTGGGATGTTACTTGGGAATATTATCTGTTTCTTTGTAGGCAATGCCTCTTGGATGGGATTCACCTACCTTTTATGTGAACTCTTAGGTTTACATAGTTGGTTTTCCATCGTCATGTGCATCTTCACAAAATTATTACAAATGCATGTTTCCACTTTTTTACCAGAAGGCGTCTCCAAACAAAAGGAAATTTTTTGTTGTTGTTAAGTTGCAACATCAGTTGCTCTATGCACATTTAATTATTCTAACTCTTCACCTGAATTATTGCCATTGACCAGAAGAACAAATTTAAGATGGCTCGAGCAGCTACTTATAATGAATATTTTATTGCTTTTTTTATTTGGGGTTGACATTTTTGTGTTTTTCTTCCCTTTACTGGCCAGGCACTGGAGCGACTGGGTCGTGTGGATGAAGTCATCAATGACCCTGAGTATGCTCCTCTTAACTTTTATGCATATTAAAATTAGTATTCTGTATTGAGTTGTCTCTACTTGCTGTTTATGTTGAAGCAGTTTGGTAGTTCTTCCTGTTATTTTCTATCTCCCCATTTTTATTTTATTGAGGATGTTTTTTGTCCTATGCAGCTACAAATTTGAGTTTCCTTCACCTGATGATAGACCAGGCCCACCAATTATCAGCTTCAGGTTGCCTTTAAATATCTTAGGGCATTTTGAAGTGTTCTACTCTTTCTTTGTTCTTTGAATTTCTCAATATTGTGCTGGGGTTTCTTCCCACTTCTTTCTTAAGCTGTGAGTTGATTTTCCTTATTTTTTTGACTTACTGCTGCTTTGAAATGGTTGCAGTGATGCATCATTTGGATACCCTGGAGGCCCTTTACTATTTAAGAATTTGAATTTTGGGATAGATTTGGATAGTCGCATTGCAAGTAAGCATACAACAACCTATTTAACGATATTCTATATTCTTGTTGCTTCATTAGTTACTGAAGTTAGTTTATTATTATCAGTTGGGAAGCTGATTTTATTTTTGTGGAAAAGCTTGTGTTTCTGTACTCATGGAGCTTTTATAGATGAGAAATTCTCACTGTGAAACATAAGGAATATTTTAATATACTAATAATAACTATTTATCTTCTTCTTCAAAAACAATAACTATTTATCTTCTACTTATCACCCCCCAAGACAATCTTTTTTAAGTCATATTCTTTGTTAACATGGTAACTTCTCTTAAATTTGAATGGGATCTGAGTGTGTGCTTTTTTTTTTCCTGCAGTGGTTGGTCCAAATGGCATTGGAAAATCTACCATCCTAAAATTAATTTCTGGGGAGATTCAACCCACCTCAGGGACAGTGTTCCGATCAGCCAAGGTGAACTGTTGAAAATGCTAGGATGTGGATCATGTGCTTAATAGTTTTGTTTCCCTCTGTTTTTTATCTGTAGATCAGTCTACTTCATCTGAGAAAAGGTAGATTTTAATAAATAAATAAAAGAGAGAGATTGTTTATGATCTTTCCGATGTTCATTGGCATTATTGTGGCATAGTTCGTTCAATCATATTGCGGTTATTTGGGGTTCGAGTTGATATTTTCATTCCCTGGTTTTAGCTATTGCATATCATTTTTACTGTTTTTTGTGTCTGTTCTCGTTTCGTCTATTTAAGCTGTGCATCCTAATATGCAATTTTTATATTTTTTTTCCTGTTCATTTAGTTATCTTTTAATAATGCAGGTCCGGATTGCTGTATTCAGCCAGCACCATGTTGATGGGCTAGACCTTTCTTCCAATCCCCTTCTTTACATGATGCGCTGCTTCCCGGTAAGTTCCTACCTAGCCTAGATGAGAAGCTTACTAGTTTGCTACAAGCTAGGTGACTGAAAGCCCTTGAGATATCTTTTCAGTGTTCATTTTCTCTCTGTTCATTTCTTTCATATGAATGGCATGATTTTCTTCTTGTCTCATTGATCTTCTGTGAAAGAATGAACCTTCAGTGATAAACCTTTCCCTCCTTGTGGTCGTTTTGTTTTCAACAGGGAGTGCCAGAACAGAAGTTAAGAGGTCATTTGGGTTCTTTTGGTATAACTGGAAATCTTGCTCTTCAGCCCATGTACACTTTGTCTGGTATGTTCTTAGAAACTGAGTAGAATGTATGTTGTTATTCTTTCTGCGAGATTTGCATCTGTAACTTATTTAGTTTCTGTGCAAATGAGATGTTAATTATAGGGAGATTTTGTTGAAGTCTATTGAGCCTTTGTGTGTTTCTCAGGTGGTCAGAAAAGCAGGGTTGCATTTTCTAAGATCACTTTCAAAAAGCCTCATATCTTGCTGCTTGATGAGCCGTCCAACCATCTTGTAAGTTATTTGCATAAATTGTCATGTTTGCTTGAGTCAAACTCATCAATAGTGAATGGTTTTCTTGTTTCACTTAAAGGGAAAAAGAGAATTGACATCATTGTTGCTAAACTGGTTTCCAAACATGCTTGATTAGTGGCTCATACACCACTTTTATTGTATATATGCTTTCTGATCAGTCTGAAGAGTTTGTTTTCTGGGAAAGTTTGGCATTCAGGGGGCCTTCTAATTTTTGTATTTCGTAAATTATTCAGGATCTAGATGCTGTGGAAGCTTTAATTCAAGGTCTCGTGCTCTTCCAAGGAGGCGTGTTAATGGTACATGAAACTTTCATCTCTCTGAAATTCCTTTCTTGCTTAAACCTTTACGAAGAAAAGTATAGAGCTTGAATTGAAAGAGATGATGATAATCACTCTTTACTACTACTTTCAGGTGAGTCATGACGAGCATCTCATATCTGGAAGTGTGGACCAACTCTGGGTTGTATCTGAAGGCCGAGTTTCACCTTTCGACGGGACATTCCAAGATTACAAGAAAATACTACAATCTTAGCTGAGCAACCTTCTTCTTGATACAGCTTCCTGCTAGTAGCTGTAAAATTGCATCCAAGATGCATCAATCTTTTCTTTGGGAAATCATTGATGTGAGAGCCCATAGCTTGAGGATAAACTATTGAAGCATATCCAGAAGAGCTTTATAGGACATTATATGAGTAGCCATACAGACAAAAGGAAAAGCAATTTTGTAATTCATTTGGAAATGATTCTCGTCCTTCAATTTGTGTAATTTTGTTTGGTAATATGAGAGTATCATGTTTTATGAGATTTCGGTCAGTCCCTTTGTTTCAAAATGATTATAAAAATTATTGTATTATTATATTATTGAAATTCGACAAACATCACAATCATTAGTGGTATTTCGAACTATATCTTAGCTATAAATTAAAAGACAAAACGTACTTTTGGTCCCTAAATATTGGGGGTTACAACTTCGAGTCTCCACTAATTTTTTACTGACGAAAGTGGTCACCATTTTTTTGTTTATTCATCAATTTTAATCAATTTAACGGAATTTATGGTCAACTAATGTTTAACTCTTTTTTTCGTTAAATTTTTTAATTTTTTATTAATTTTTTACTGAATTGGGCCCGTAATGTATTTTCAAACAACAAAATTAGTCACGTAATATTTTTTTCAACAATTTTAGTTTTTTTTTAACGGAATTTTAAAAAATTTAATTGTCCAATTCATTTTTTCGTTAAATCTTTATTTTTTTTATTGATTTCTTAAATGATTGTGGGTCTTGCATGTATTTTATCAGAATTTTTTTAAAAAATTAAAAATAAAAAAAATTGAAGGAATGATGAAATTATTTTCGACCAACTCGGAATATGGTTTGTTCATACACTGTTCATTCTTGAATTTCACGATTTTTTGTTTACAATTTCAATACAATTAATAAGGGACAAAATAGATATTTGATACATAAATTAATTGTAGAATGATCGTCCCTAATTTTCGTACAAAGTCTAAAGTGACTTATACACTTTATTTTACCTGTTTATGTGTTGGTTTATATTATGAAAATGTAGAAGAATTATATAGGCCAACCTACATTAAATTACATTATGGCTCAAAAACCCCAATTTATTATGATGTAAAAGTTTTTACACCATTCAATATTATTACACCTTATGTAATAAGGGAGAGCATAATTTGATAATTATTAACTTGCTATTTTGTAAAGATATAGTATGATATAACATACTAGATATTAAAGCATAGAAAATTGGTTTTACTATCATTATTTTGCTAATTGTGGATAATTTAATGCCTCTTATTTAAGGTAAATGTAATTTTTTTTTGGTTAACAAAGGTAAATATAACTTGGCATTATGGCATCCGTCTTGATTCTTGAACATCAAAAGTGCAATTATTACAAACTGGAACTAAATAAAACGTGCATGACAACAATATTCAACTAAAGATAAAATATCACTTTACGTCTTATATATTTGGGCAAAAAATTACTTTTGCCTAATACATTAAAAAGCACACATTTTTGTCCTATATACTAAATTTTATAACTTTTTACGTTCTAAACCGCTATTCCAGCCAACTTTATAAAAAGACAAATATGAATCAACCAGAGTAAGCTTAAATGAGTATGTAGGATAAAGTTATTAAAATCTGGTGAAGTGTTCATTCATCTTTAACTAAGGTCTAAGGTTAGGAAAAATTTAGTACACAACGGATACTTAGATATGTTTGAATCCTAAATAAAAAAGAAAAGGACATTTTTTAATCCTAGGTTACGTATGAAGTTAATACTTATATATGTTTTTCTAATGAAGCATAAATTTGTTACTAGATAAAAGAATTTTTTTCATAAAAAAAAAAAAAATCAGAATATTGTTGTGCTAGAAATGCGATCAAAGTGAAAGAAATACTTCCCATGCTATATACCCCCCTAACGAAAGAATCTCTAAGCACTCATTTTAAACCTGGGAAACCTCAAAATTATTTTCCTTTTTTTATAATAAAATTTTTATTCCATCTTTTCAAAGTGTCACAGTCTCAAAGAAGTCAGCTACTATCACATCCATGCAACTACTCAACAACTACTCAACTACTCACATCCTGTGTGGAGTCACTGCTTTAACTCAACATCTGTAGCAAGAGCAAACACATATTTTCTGGCAGATCACACAAAACAACACCATTACATCTATTGTCAGTTTCATTTGGTAATTTTTTGACTTTTTGTTCAACTGAAAAAGCGTAACGCATGTATAATTTTGGAGTCTTTTCTATGTTGTTTTGTAACTCCCTCCAGTTCTTTCCGAATTCCAATCCTTGAAAAAAAAAAACTAGCTCATTTTATTTTATTCTTTAACTACTACTAGTCATATATATATTTCTCTTGTTTTTTTATGTACTCCGATCTCTGTAACCAATTTAGTCACTCTCCATCTTTAAGCCAATTTCTATTTCACGCGAAGCATTTGGTGTTTTTCAGTTTTTGTTCAACTGAGGTTCGTAAAGCATGAGTAATTATATATGGGGTCTATTTTTATTTTTTTTGTAACTCATTCCAGCTCTCTTCAAATCCCAATGCTTACAAGAACGGGCTCCTCATTTTGTTTTCTTCTTTTTTGGAAATTTATTGTTTTTTCACTTTGTTTTATTATTGTTGTTTCTTCTTTAACAACTGGTCATGTTTCCATGTTTCTTTACGCACTCCGATCTGTCACTAAATTTACCACTCGCCATCATTAAGGGTACGTTAATCTCTATTTCATAAGAATATAATTCACAAAATACTCTATATGTTTCCCCTAAAAAAAGCAAATTTTCATCGAAGTGGAACTTTACAATAAGATGATTCTAAATTTGGGGCAAAAGAATGTACTTGACTCGAGAAAATAGGCTCTTTATACTAATTTTTACATACTATATAAAATTTTTGAAAGAATTTAACTAAAGCTCAGTAATGATATTATTTACAAGTAATGAAGGTAGTAATAAAAAAATTTTATATGTCAGGAACGTTTTCTTTAAAAAACATTTGATGCTTTTATTAATATGATAATAAGTTAACCATTGTCCATTGTTATAGTTAATTTAGAGTTGACCACAGTAAAGGAAAGAAAATTTGTATCTTCTAAAGATGGAATTTTAATTTTTAACCGAAAAAGATTAATTTTTATTATGGAATAATAGGGAGAGTATAGTTAAAAGCTCGCATTTATAATTTGTCAATATATCCTTATTAGTCAGCTTAAGGCTATGAATGTCTTAGATTAAATCATGGAGAATTGGAGATGTAGGAAAAGACGTTGACATCATACGGGAAGGATTGTAATTAAGAAAGAGGTTAGGGTTTAAAGTTTCATTTGGGACCACCCAAATTGTAAAAAAAGTAAATAAATAAAAGTACTGGGTCATATCTGTGAACACAAGTTTTATGTAGACTCTAGTTCGTAATTAATAATTTATGCTCTTATCCTGTATATAAAGCGTAAACTACAAGTACTTTAGAAAAAAAAAAAAATCAGTCATCAATCTGGTTCTTCTCCATATAGAAATAGTTTTGCATTTGTCATAAATCATACGTCTTTGCGTAATTACCTTCTTTTTTCTTAAAAAAGAAAAAAAAGAAAATCATAAACATGAAAGTATGAAACGTGGAGATCGTACGGCAAATCAAGCAGTTGGAAACAATAGAAGGCGGAGAAATGGTAACCAAATTCTTTTACTTTCAATCTTGTTATTAATCACAAATGATTAGTTTTAACTATGTCAACTTCAATAATGTTTTTAGATTTTTACTCTCTCGGTCTCGAAACTATTTTTAATTCCTTACATGAAGTTCATCTATAATTGCTATTTTTTTGAGCTCAAAAGTAAATATTTTACTCGAGCATTTCCAAACTCTTCGATGCGATAATTTTTTCTTCTTTTTTTTGGAGAACTTTATTTTGAATAATGTTTGGATTGGTATATCTTTGTTTTTTTATTTTATTTTATTGAGTGTTCAGAATTCAAGTTTTTGTTACCATTGAAAATCAAAATCCTTCTAATTAATGTGGGATTTTTAATGGATAGTTCAAGCTTTCTCTGCTTATATTCAAAATAAAACTCCATTAATTCATGGTGGTAGATTTATTTTTCTTTGAGAAATTTTAATTTAATTAATGATTCGAGTTGCAAATGTGGAACAAATTAATTATGGGTTACTCGAACTTTCCGATGGAGCCTTTGATTATTCAAGAGCTGCAGCAGATTTGCAAGGAATTTTTTTTTTCTTTTTTTTTTTCAACTTTTATTTGTCGGATTTGAAAAGTTTGCAATATTTGAAATCATATTTTTCCAGAAAATTGGAAACAAAATCGGTTTGTGATGAACTTGATGCTCTAACACATGTTGTTATATTCTGATTCTATTATTATACATATATAATTTTTTACTAGTAAACAAGACGGAGATTCTTTCCTCTTTTTGTTTTTTTTGGCATGTTATTTTCAAGTGGAAATATTTCCAAAAATTCATCCATATAATTTGCGTTATCATTAACCTTGTTAAATAAATGAAAATGCAAGAAATGTTTTGGCTTTGCATTTTTACATGATTACCATTTACCAGGCAGGAATTTTAATTTTTAAGTTTATCAGTTACACAAAATTAAAGCGCCGTACCAAATTTTAAAAACTTTGTTTTTTCTTCCTTTTTTTTTACCGTATTAGATCAAATTACCTGTAGTTCCCTCCCATTGTTGCGTACGTTCTTTTCCCATGAAGTGTTCAAACTAGTGATTTCCAGCTAGACACAGATAGCCATTAGTTATTATTACTCATTTAGTTTTACTAGTAACTATCTCAGTAAGTCAGTGAATTATTTGTTTTACCAATCATCACTACAAATTTTAAAGAAAAAAATAGAAGAGAATCAGATCATTCTAGTACTGTATATGAGGCATGATTTCAAGAAAGTCACAGATCACTGCTAGATTGTGATGTTAGTTGATTTCATCAAAAAAAAATATATATATATATATATATATATATATATATACTTCTTTTTTTTTTATCATATCTATAAGAGGCCTGATTTTATATACTAGAATTAAAAGATGTACAAGAAAACACCGGAAAGAAACACTTGAAACTACCCTTTAAGAATATATGTTTTTCCTTAAATTGCATGCTCTTTTAAGGTCCAATATTCCAAACTAGTCTTATTTGTTTTTTTTTAATCTTTAATGTAGCAGGAGTGGTTATACATGAGCCTGATCAGAACATCATTGCCAACAATATTGCCAACATTCCCGACGATGTCATTCCTAACATCGTTGACAACGACGGCAACAACAATAACAACAATGGAGGTGGGAACATTGCTTACCAACGGGATCCCGGTCATCTAATGCCCGTTGCGAACATTAGCCGAATCATGCAGAAGATCCTTCCCTCACATGCCAAAATTTCCAATGACAGCAAGGAATTTATCCAAGCATGTACATCGGAATTTATTAGGTTCATCACGGCGGAGGCTAAGGAGCGATCTCGCCGTGACTGCAGGAAGACGATTAGCGCGGAGGACGTTCTCTACTCACTACACCATCAAGGGTTCCATAACTATGTCGACCCTCTCACTTTGTATTTGAACAAGTATCGACAAAGCGAAACAGCTCGAACGGTAATGCGTGGAAACCCTTCTGTCCGGCGCACTACAGATTTCTCTACCATAGTACAACAATCTACAGCTGCACCTCCGCTTCCTCCTCCACTTCCTCAACACGTGCCGCCACCTTATATGCCAAATATGATTCCGGCAGCTTCCAGTTACGAAAACTATCTCCAGCACGGTTTGTATGGTCAAGTGCCTACAAGCTCTTACCACTACCATGATAGTGGTGCTAGTAGTAGTGATACTACTCATGGACAAGAGAAATCTTCTATGAATTCTTCTCTTGCTCCTTTTCATTCTTTTTCTAGAGGATCCGATCCTTCTAGTTAAGCGCTATGAGGTGACTCTTTATTTCATCATGCATTATTTTGATAGATTTCTATGTATTGTGAGAAGATAGGATCACTCTTTGGTGGATGTAATTTCTATTCTATGTATAGTTTTCATCGTGATCTTTGTAATTGACCGCCTTTTAATGTAAGAGTTATAATTGTTGTGATCATGTTCTTTCCAGTACGAGAGTTACGCGAAATATACACCTTTTCATATAGACGTTATAATTATTATCATCACACAAATTTTCTTCTATTACGAGCATTTTGCGACTCCTTTTAATATAGACGTTATAATTGTTATCATCACGTATATCTTCTTTTATTACGAGCATTTCGCAAAATATACGCTAAGTGCCGAGGTATTCATTAATTTCAAGACCATTCCGTGAAGTATGTGATCGTCAACGAGATCAAAGAAAGGCGTTGTGAATGATTTCACAAGATAAAAGTTGGTGAGAGTAGGATTCAAATTGATGTATGTTCAAATGAACCTAATTCACCAATAAAGATGCACAAATAAATTGTTCAAAGTATATTTACAACAGACCATCTAAAAGAATTGTAAAATCAAGTTCCTCTTTCACCAGAATAAATAGGTTCTGTCCAGAAACTAAAATGACATAAAGATTTTTGAAATCAAGCTTTCAATGAATCGATCCAAAGATGAAAGAACTAAAAATTTCTCAAATGCCTAGGTTGATTCAATTGCAGTACCTGCAGGGTAAGCACTCCAAAATTACTTCACCTTTCATCATCAGCTGCTGTACGTGAACCACTTAACACATCATCTAATGGTGTAAAACGATTACTCCCTCCATCCCAAAATTATCGTCCAGTTTGACTAAAAAATTTTGTCCCAGAATTATTGTCTAATTTGATTTTTTATGAGTGGAGTTACTCATTTACCCTTTAGCACTAACTAAAACCTCTTTCTCAATTACTCCCTTCGCACACACCTTAGAAGAAACAAACAAACACAACAGACCATTACTTCCTTCGCACCCAGCTTAGAAGAAACAAACAACCAAAGCAGACACGGGCTATTCTCCGATGGCTCCAAGCGACGTTGCGGATGAGGAGGCCCACTGGTTGTCGGAAAGAAATAGCTCCATGCGGCGGTGCGGATGAGGTGGCCGACAACCTGCCGGAAAGAAATTCGGAGAAGAAAATCCGAGAAAATCAGAGTCGAAACTGTCACGAAATAGATCAAATCATACGGATTGGAGGAGCATTAGATTAAAATTCGGATTAAGAAGTTTTTCCAAATTCAAATCAATTCATTCAAAAATTCGGTTCGATTGGCATAAGTGGTGGCTCATAGTTGAAAAGCTCTGATCGATCCGAAACCTTTCTATTTGTCTTCTAGATATTAAATTGAAACTTAGAATAAAAAACTTCTCTAAATTTGAAGTTGTTCGTTTGAATTGATTCGATTATAGTCGAGTTCCTGACTGAAGAACATTGTTCTTGTGTTCAAATTGATTTTTGAATCTGGGAGTTAAAGTGAAAAAGAAGTGCTAAAGTTTTTCTCAAAATTTTTGGCCGATTAAACCAATTAGGCATGTAGGGGGTATATTCGGAAGCTTGTGGCAAAATTTGGTTGCGTTGGACTAAAAATAAAATCTTGCATCTTATTAAAATTGGACAATAATTGTGAGACGGAAGGAGTATTTTGTAAACATGATATCCAAGCCAAACGACTATTGTGCAGGTGACAGACTACGATACTACGAATGCCCCGCGCAACGGGATGAGGAATCTCCCTCGTAAGAAGCGTAAGATCATTTAATGGGAGCTTGCTAATCTTGAACCCATCAATTGTGGCCTAGGTACCAATACAGGAATCCGTCCTTGGCAAAGGATTTGCATCAGGTATATCGGAGTTTCGCTTCATCTGTTGTGGAATCTCAATACAAGGAGCATTTTTCCACAGCAAATCAGCTAGATCGGAAGCATCATGGTCCAACTTCGATATTACCGTGGAGGGTCTCAGGATCTTTATCTCCGCTTCCAACGGCTTCTCTTTTACTGGTCGAAATTCATCCATCATCAATCTCAGTAATTTGTATGCCCTATCAATTGGATCATACCAAAATGCAATTGATAAAGGTGCAAATAATTATACTTTTGCCTATGTTTTTTCAATATTTTTTTATGGTAAAAGTTTAATTTGTTCATATTCTAAATTCAATGCTATGGTTTGTTCTACAGTTTAATTGTATGGTCACGTGTAAGATTCGATTCATAGTAAGTATTTTTAGATGGTTGTTTAGGAAGAAGAGGAAAACATAGGAAAACTTAACTAAAAGTAGAAAAGTTAAACCCAATTATATGCTTAGCTATTCTGTTTAACAATTTTCTCAACGAATAACAAGACGCATTCTTTAATCTAGGCCATGCCTCCTCTTTGCACCAAAAAAAAAAAAAAACAAGACGCATTCTTCAAACAGATAGTGTGTCGATAATCTGGAATCTGGTTTCATCAGTCCTCAAATTCCTTTACCATAATTAGGAGAGGTCATTTTACAAGTTAAAAGGAAATTCATGTACTGTAGATTAGAGAAGGTGAGAAGGAATATTTGTTGAACATGTCCTTGTTTTCAAATTAATGGTATTTCTAAGTTCTAACGGTGTCTTTTGCTTATTGTTTATGACCATTAGCATTGTTACTACCAAAAAAATTCTTTGGACTTTATTACGAGGGGAAGGGAATAATTACTAATAGCATTTCTCGAAAGTGTTCATTTCAAACTCAAATGGCTTCCATGTTTAATTAGTCATTTCCACTCATACATTACATTTTCCCCCTTTAAAAAGAAATCTTCATTGTTCTTCTCATCAAATCAGAGAAAGGATTTATACTTTTCAACCCTGTTGCATCCAAGAACGAAAATGAGCAAAGATTAAAACATAAATAAAATAAAATGGTGAGGGCAAATCCGGGGGGGAGAATACCTAAACAAGAGTAACAATGAAACTTAGTAAATACGTGTTGTTAGTACTTATAATTAGTAATAATGGACTCCAACTCTTGTTCGGGCATGATTAGATCAATCAAGTTTGGTTCAAAACAAGTAAAAACTCTTTATATTCGACTGGTCATGCCTTTTCTTATATTGTCTTTCAATTTGCATTCATGAAGCTACGATGTAAGATCGTAAACCCCAGAATGCTTGTTTTGTCATTTGTGGGAAGAATTTAAAAACAAAAAAACAAAAAAAAAACCGAAACAATTCCAGTTCATTGGAACTGAAAAATAAAATGTAGCCAGAAACTGCGCATCCGGGGAATCGAACCCCGGTCAGTACCGTGGGAGGGTACTATGATACCACTACACCAGATGCGCGGCTTTTGCTACTAGTATCGGAAATAGTGATTATAACATCTGTCTCTAAACTACACGGGCCTCAGCGGCCCATGAAGGTTGGAAATACCCAATGAAATGGAATTGTTGGTGAATATGACCCTTTCAACATCATAAACATTTTTCGCCAACTCTTCGTTTGCAAATTAGTAAACGCCGTCCGAGGCACAGCGACGGCGTAACTTACCTTCGGCACCTGCATCAGCCGGCGCCGGCGCCGGATTTTGATATCAGTTCTCCCAGTTGAGGCTGCTGCCGTCGACAATGGATGCCTCCTCACCCCTCTCATTCTCTTCAACAGTCACTTAGGTTAGCCTATTCAGTTATGGAAATGATTTGTTATTTTCGTATTATTCACAAAGCCCACCACCCAAAAGAGGACTTCGAGTTTAGAGCTAATCCTTCAGAAACAATACCAAACTGAAGGGGTAGATAAAATAGACCACCGGAGGTTTTTGATGATGAGGATGAGCAGAAGGGCTTCTTCTGCCATTGTTTCTCTTGCTTCTTCCACTGAGGAGTCAGTCTTGCCAGGTACAATTTCATCTCCAAATCCAAACCCAGATCTTCAATCTGGTTCTTCTCATTCCCAACATTTAGTTACTCAATCAAGGGGTAGTAGTAGTAGTAGTACTAGTAAAAGTACTAACAATTCTTTAAAGTTTAGTTGGAAAAGTGTTGTTCATGGTATTAATAAGCTGGAAGATGCTTTCAATTTATACAATGAAATGCTGTCAATGAGGCCACTCTATCATGTGATTGACTTCACTCAATTGCTTGGGCGCGTGGTTGAGATGGAACAATACTCCGCTGCCATTTGTATGTATAAAGATATGATCTGTAAGGATGCCCCGATGAATCAGGTCACCATGACTATGATCATTAACTGTTACTGCCATTTAGATAGGGTGGATTTTGGTTATTCCGTTTTGGGTTTGTTTTTTAAGCGCGGGTTTAAGCCTAATTTTCATACTTTTAGTACTTTGATTAAGGGGCTTTTAAGAGAAAACCGGTTTTATGAGGGTTTGGAATTGTTCAGGAAGGTCATTCGGCACGGAATGTTCCCTCCAAATGAGTTTATGTATGGAACCGTTATAGACGGACTATGTAAGGTTGGGAAAGTTGAGAAGGCTATTGAATTTTTGAGAGCCATGGAAACTGGAAATCGGACTTGTAGCCCAAACACAGTTATCTATAATACTATCATTGATGGGCTAGGGAAGGATGGAAAGATAGATAAGGCAGTTGGGCTGTTGCGAGAGATGATTGATAAGGGCATTGCGCCAAGTGTTAGGACTTACAGTTCTTTGATCAATAGTTTGAGTAATTCAGGGAGATGGGACGAGGTGGGGGTTTTATGGGAAGAAATGATCAGTTCTGGTATCAAGCCAGATGGTGTTGCTTTCAATTGTGTGATCAACTTGCTTTGCAAGCAAGGGAAGGTGCAAGATGCGGTAGTTGTGTTTGAGAGAATGGTGCAGAGAGGTGAGTATCCTGATGTTGTTGCACATGGTGCGCTGATGGACGGGTACTGTTCCCGAGACCAAGTAGAAGAAGCGAGAAAAATTTTTGATGCTATGATTGCAAAAGGATTAGTTCCCAGCATTCTTCACTATGGGATTTTAATCAATGGATATTTTAATAAACTGAAGATGGATGAGGCCATGAACCTCTTCCGCAAGTTACCTCTCAAAGGATTCACACTTGATGCTGCAATTTATAGCATTGTCTTGAAAGGGTTGTTTAAGGTGGGCAAATGCTTCGATGCTAAAGAAACCTTTCGTGAGATGCAAGCTGCTGGTATAACTCCCGATTTTCACACATACTGTGTGTATTTGGACGGCTTATCTAAGAGTGGACAGGTTGACGAAGCTTTGGAATTGTTGCAGGAGATGGAAGCTGATGGAGTATATCTCCATATTTCTATGTACACTATCATCATAGATGGATTATGCAGAAGTGGTAAGCTTCAAACTGCATTAGATTTTTTCAACAGTCTCTCCTCTAAAGGGTTGGATCCTGATTGTGTCACGTACACAGCAATGATTAATGGTCTTTTTTTAGAGGGGCTCATAGATGAGGCTAAAGATTTATTTGTAATTATGAAGGAGAATGGTTGCCCTCCGAATCTCATTACGTATGATATTATGATTAACAGACTACTTAGACTTGGGAAGTACAATGATGTCTTAGTTTACCTTGACGAAATGAACGAGAGAGGAATTCCTTTAGATTCATGTTCTATTTCTGCTAGATTAGATTCACTTTCAAAAAATATAGATGATCCATTGCTTTTCGAGATAATTCAGAAGTTAAACTCTGGTGGATTGAGTGCCGTGAGATAAAGAGGATCTTGTGGTGCCTTTCGGCTTCCTGGATCAGTGAGTTAGAATGTAATTGAACCCGACGTTCTATTTCTTGGGACAATACATATTGATCATGCTGGAACCAAGTTGTAGTGTTGCATTGTCAATCGGGCTTTGAGTATGAAGTATCTTATCAGCATCCCCTGAATCTCCACTCGAGGTTCAAGAATGCTTCTTAAGGCTGTCATTCGAGCATGTATCAGTGCATGTATGGTCTCCTTGACACGTTGAAAGCCTTTGTCTGCTGAATGTAAGTTTACTGTAAAATTTCTGCTTTCTGTTAATATTAGTAAGCATACTCTTCAATTCCTTTTTTCTGTTTCATTTTCTCACTCTTATATGTTATCTGTTGTAAAGTTCTAACGTCTGTGGTTTGATCCATATTTCTTGATTTAAAAAGAAGGGTTCCTATCTGTTAGTTGGAAAATTCAGAATGTAAGAAGAGAAACTTTGGTTCAACTATTTTCTCCCCCCTTGAATTTAATCAAAAGTAGATGCCTTATATTATCTTGAATTTTTACCTTGCAGTTAGTTTGCCTACAGTCTAGGTTTCACTTTTATTCTTTCTGGATCGATTCATCGTTATATGCATATTAAAGTTAAACTTAATTAACGTATCAGCATGATCTGGCTCTTGCAAAATGAGTTTGCAACGTGTTTTGCTGTGACTGAAAAATTAGTTACTACGTACTCTTATGATGAGCTACACATTTCCATTTTCTTTCCTGTGCATCTTTGCATTAATTCAAAGTATGAAGTTGCTTACTCAATGTTAGACTAGAGTCATGTTTCTACCAGCCCATCTCCAATTTTTATGTTCCCTCCAGCCAATTTCTAGATGCATTGGCAGGTTATGTACAACCTCGATCTTTGCTCTTTCCAAATTTTTCCCATTATTAGCCACATACTGGCCACCATCCCTGTTCATTGGAAAGCATGGTCTTTAAGACATGGAGAAACTTTGATATTTACCTTTCCAGAATCTTCACAATGCTGTCCTCCCTCTTAATCTCGGAGGGAAATCTTATATACCGTTGCTGCTTTGCTAGTTGCTTGGTAAAATAGAATGATAATGAGAAGTTGGATGAATGATGTTTCGTTGATGAGATGACATAATTGGCGCTTATGTATGCCTTTTGTTTGAGAGTGTAACTGTGTAATTCCTGATCTTGTTAATGCTGACCAAATTTTATCTCAGGCTTTTTTGTTTTAGACAGTTATGCAGATTTCACATTGCATTGTTAGTTCTGCTCTTATTGTAGCTGCTGACTAGGTATCTGATTTTGTCAGCATTTCTTCATACATTACTGATGTACTCTCTGCCCAAAATGATTGTCTAGTTTGGATTTCCATTCTTGGTACAATTTTTAATAAAAGTGAAAATCCAAAGTGGACAATCATTTCGGGACCGGGGGAGTATATATTTTGAAACTTCCTTTCTTTTTCCTTGTTTTGAGGCTCCTGTGATGATTGACAACTCTTACTTTATCGTTCCAATTCCTGAAGTTCTATTATTTACCATGTCGAGCAGAAGGGACATCTGAGGAGCCTGTTTGCCTGTTTAGTTTCTATTAGACTACCGTTTTTGTGTTAATCTGTCTTACAGTCCATTGTGTAATGCAAGTGATTACCCTCTCTCTCGAATTTAAGTCAGATAGATCCATCATCTCTGTTCAGTGAACCAAAACTAAACCGTTCCTGTTTCCTATCTTTTTGCTGTGAGGTCTCATTGCATTGTTTGATCCTGCAGGTCCAAGCAACAACCCCCCGTAGAGCAGCACCTGAGTATGCTTATTTCTTCCCGGCCCTTGTTTGTGGCACTTGATTTTACAAGTCTCAGGCACAGGGGAAACAACTGTGTTCTTTACATCTTAACAGGACTAAATATTTACAGTTTTTAACCGATCTCTTTTAACAAAAGGAATTGGTTTGATATTGGAGTCTTTATAAATTGGACATAATGAAAGGAAAGGGCCACTTGGAATTTCTTGTTTGATGCCCCCAATGCCCTTCGTGGTGTCCTTTTCTGCAGGCCCCAATGTATGGATAGTGAAAAGTTTTGAATCAATGACAAATAAATTGTGCTCCCTCCCTCCTCTAGTCCACCTTGTTGTATTCTTTAGTTCAATAAAGTGGATTATGTTTTTTTTTTTGGGATGTAAGGAGTATTGTATATAGATGGTCAGGCTTGTATGTATGTACACATGAGGGTCCTTTTTATAATGGTTCGTCTTGTTCCGAGCTAATTGTGAATAGAGCTCGAGGAATTCAGAGCAAATGTGAGGGGAAGTGATAATTATGGTTCGTTTTTCTTTCTTATTTGTATGAGAATTAAGAGTCAAAATAAAGGTCTCATAAATGGCTACTTGGATTGGGATTAGCTGATGAGCAAGAAGTCAATCTAAACTTTTGAAGGTGGATGGGGACAACCAATAGAAAATGTTTGTTTACTCTAAAATATATTTATCAGGACATCTTTGTGGTAGTAAGACAAAATTCATTAGTAGTTCTTGAGACAGGGAAGAAAGACGAAATACAGCATGTAAACGTCTAGACAGGACATCTTTGTGTAATGAATGTTGGGCCTTGCCGGAACTGGTGCCGGTAGTACCTTTAAAAACTCTTTAAAAATTCTATAAATTAATAGTGTTGGCAAACAAAATACATAGTATGTATAAACTCTATACTCCTTCAGTCTTATAAGATATTTTGATTTGTTCATAAATTTATTTTTTTCATTGAAAAAAAAATATCTTGAAAATACATTTTCACATCCATGGTGTTCTCTTAATTATTAACAAACAAAAACCATATTTTTACATAAAGAATACCAAATTTTACCGAGCATAGGATTTGGAATTGCAAATTGATTATTTAGCTATTTCTCAATCATAGCCAACAAATCTAAAGTGAAGCGAATGGAGTCTAAAGTTAACCGAACAAGGAGGAAAGAGATTTAGGGGAGAAATCCATTTTACATCCATAAACATTTTAACATTCATAGTATTAATTTAAAGACATATCTCGAAAACAATGCTATACAAACCAATTATCAAACCAGAGTATATGGTCGATCCGATGTAGATCGAAATAAGCCCGCATGCCCTCGATACGAGAAAGGTGGTCGAAGCCGGCGGTCAAGACCGTCACGGAAGGAGACCAATCAGGATTCCGGTCACGGGCATGAACAAATGCAGCAAACTCGGGTGGATTAGTGACGCAGATTTGGTCGCAATTCAGCAATTGTTGTTTGACATGAGGTATACCACCCGCCGGGATCATGGATTCGATCTGTGGAATCTATTGAGCGACGAAGGCGCCCATTTTGCTCACAAAAGATATCACATCTTCCCTGGTCTCAACTTTCGTTTCAGCAACAATTTGTTTTGCTCTCGTCTTTTCATCTCAATCACCGCTTCCAACCCTACGACGTACATGTACGCGTTTAACTCCGCCGACACCATATTTCCTTCTCTTCAGCGCAACCCTCCTTCTTCTTCTTCTAGGGTTTTCCCAACTGGACGTGATAAACTTATATACAACCGCCAGATGCTCGCATCAATTTGGGCTTATTACAATTATCACTAAATTTTACGAAATGCTCCCTCTGTCCCAAAGAAAAAAAAATAGTCCATTTGGAATTTTGGGATGAAAACTGGATGTGAACTATTTTTTGTAGGTACAAGGAGTAGAAATAATCATTATAATATTCTCTCCGTCCAGAAAACATAGCCCATATCAAATTTTGTAATTTGCAACGTTTTTAGCACAAAATTTAAAAGTCAATATGAACTAGTTTTTAGAGAAAATATAACCCATATCGTATTTTGTGATTTATAACGTTTTTAGTACAAAGTTTAAAAATCAATATAAACTATTTTTTAGAGATAAAAGAAGTACGTAATTTATATATATATATATAAATCATTTTAATTCCCATACTATCAATGCCTTTGATATAATACCTAAATTTTAGAGCTTGTCGTTGCATGATAGTTTTTTCATCAGTTGCAAACTCGATTATGTAAATATAAGATATGAAAATAAGAGGTTATTGCATATAAGCCTGGAATCAGTCGAACCTACATTTTAAAAATATAAATAAATAAAATCCAAACATGCTACATTTAAATTCCTATCTATAACAATATTTAAATTTTGCTAAATGTCCAAATTCTGCTATGTGTTTCTTTTTCTTTTTTTTGTGTGAAATAAGATCCGAGTGGTACAATCAAATCAATAATCTAAATACCACATTATGGTTCATTTTTAAAGACTATAAACTGAACAAAAGCTACGATACTGTGTTTTCCTCATTGATTCAACCATTTTTAAATTTTAAAGACTACTAGTACTAATCAAACCACATCGTGATGAGCCGGCAGCCAGGGGTGCCAGGTGGGACAAAACTTCCCAAACCTCAACGTAATTGAGTCAAAGTATGAATAATCCAAAAACACGAATCCACGGAAATCCTACGTTGTCCAAAACCACCACAGATCCGAAAGCTCATCGGAAACTGCTAAAATATGGATTGGTAGGACTTTTTATATTTTTAGTACTAGCATTTATCACAAACCGGCCAAAAATAACTTTTTGACTTAAATTTTGATTTGTTTCAATCATCATCATCATCATCATCATAATTGATTAATCATATGTTTAATTCCCATTCCCAACCTTTTCTCATCATATTCTTCTCCGCCCTCCCAAAATCCCCTATATATCACAAGCTTCCCAAAGTTGTAATCGCCATGACATCATCCTTTTCCAAACATGGGTTCTCATCATAGTAGTCTCTTCATCATCATCATCATCCTGTTATTCTCATCACTATTAGTATCCATGACTGCATCGTCGTGTGTGCCCACTGACGCAGGCCCTGTTGTCAAGACCACGCCTTTGGTGTCTTTTCTCGAACGCCTTCAAGAATTAGCGTTTCAGACGTACGGCCCGAAGAATTTCGACCCGAAATTATACGTGGATATGTCATTGAAACAGAGCCTGGAGAAAACAGAGGAAGGTTTTCGGAGTCTTGTGAAAAGTGGGAACGGGTCGGTTTCGGTGGCCGACCTGGACGGGTTTGTGAAGGAATACATGGAGGGTGCTGATGAGGATTTGGTGTATTCGGAGCCGGTGGATTTTGTGGATGTTCCGGACGGGTTTTTGCCGGGGGTTTTGAATGCGGAGATAAGGGATTGGGCGTTGGAGGTTCATTCTCTGTGGAAGAATTTGACCAGGAAAGTTTCGGAGCGGGTTTTGGAGAAGCCGGATTTCCACACTTTGTTGCCGTTGAAGGAGGCGGTGATCGTTCCGGGATCCAGATTCCGGGAAGTTTACTACTGGGATTCTTACTGGGTAATCAGGTCAGTTTATATTTATCTTTTTTTTTTAATCATCTTTCTTTGTTTTTATTCTTCACATGCATTATATGATCTCACAGTAGCAGTAATATTACTCTTCACATGCATTATATGATTTCACATTTGCAGTAATTTTTTCTCCGTTCCAATGTGTTTATGGTTTAATTGTGGGTGCTGCAGGGGCTTATTAGCCAGCAAAATGTATGAAACAGCAAAAGGAATTGTGGCTAACCTTATTTCCTTGATTAATCAATATGGCTACGTTCTTAATGGTGCCAGGGCATATTACACTAACAGGAGGTACCCTACACACTGTTTAATAATTTAATGAAATCAACAATTTTTGGTTTTAGTATGCTCTCGTACAACAACATAGATTCATTCATTTGGAGTGATGGAAGCATTTTTAGCTCGACAAGTGGTCCAACACTCCATTACCAATAAATGTTGAGGAGTTTTTGTAAAATGCAGCCAGCCTCCACTGTTGACCTCCATGGTATTTGACATATACAATCGCACAGGAGACATCCAATTTCTCCGAAATTCTCTTCCTCCATTACTCACTGAATATGAGTTTTGGAACTCGGGTATTTTAATCATGACTGATCTCAGAATTTTTTTTTTTTTTTTTTCCAAAGCTTAATAAATTTGTTGTACTGGGTCATCCCTATTGTAGGAATACACAGGGTGACTATTAAGGATTCAAAAGGAGAGATACACAATTTAAATAGGTATTACGCACAATGGAATACGCCCAGGCCAGAGTCTTCCACAATAGTAAGGCCTAAGGACTAGAGATTTTCCTTTATATGGTCTTCACGTTTTAGAAGGGGAGAAAAATATAATTTTTAATTCATTTTCCTTTGCAGGACAAAGAAACAGCTTCAAAACTCCCAAATGATTGTGAGAAAACACAGCTTTACCGAGAATTGGCATCTGCTGCTGAGTCTGGATGGGATTTCAGCACTAGATGGATGAGGTAATTAGGTTGGAAGTTTTAATCAGAACTCAAATGAATATTGGTAAACGTTAGGCATTATGGATGTGTATGTTTCTGAATCAATGTTGTTTCTCTTGTCTTGTAGGAATGGATCTGATCTAACAACGTTGTGGATTACGAGTATAGTCCCTGTGGATTTGAATGCATTCATTCTTAAGGTTAGGTTGTCATTCTTCTGTGCTTTCTTGATGATATAATCAACAGTTGCAGCTGTGAATCATGCTCTCAAATTTCTACTTAATTTCTGAAGTGTCCTAACTGGTTTATTCTGTCCGTCGTATGTTTTTTTCTGGATAACTCAGATGGAACTTGACATTGCATTTCTGGCTAATGTAATTGGAGAAAAAAGCACAGCTGAGAGATTCAGAGAAGCTTCCTTAACCAGGCAGAAAGCAATGAATTCAATATTATGGAACAAAGAAATGGGCCAATGGCTTGATTACTGGCTTACCAAGGGTAATACCCCCAAGGTATCGATCTTAATTCTTGAAGCAGAAAAATGGGGGGCATTTACTTATCACACAATTTCGGTTAATTCTCGCTTCAAGCTAGTAGTTGTCCACCCAAACCTGAAACTCTCAATTCTAAGTTTGGAATGAAAACGGGAATGATGCAAAATAACAGACTATGTATAGTCAGTCACAATTCATGAATTTGGATCATAAGAAACCATACAAATATTTGGATGTTGAAAAGATGTGTTTTGACATTGTATGCATGTAATCTATATGCAAGACCTTAGAGTTAAACTCTTAGTTGCTGATGCTATTGTGGTTGTAGGATGGTGATTTTTACAATTGGGAAGCTTCAAACCAAAACAAGCAACCATTTGCTTCAAACTTTATCCCATTGTGGATCAGCTTGTTTCATTCAGGTTGCTGCTGTTCTTCCAACTTCATTTATATTCTTATATTTATATATGTACAAAAACATCTTGACATGGGAGAAAATCATCTTGAGATGCATCATTTGCTTTTTCTGAATGAAATATATTGATGCTAACTTCTTATGGCTGGTTCTTATAACGAAGATCATAAACTGATGGAGAAAGTGATGGAAAGTTTTCAAGCTTCTGGCTTGCTTCAGCCTGCAGGGATTGCAACTTCTCTCACAAATTCAGGGCAACAATGGTCGGTGATCACCTCTGGAACATTTCTTCTAAGATATAAATTTAAGTTGCTGCACGTGTGTTATAACCTAGAGCAATTTTTATTTACAGGGATTTCCCAAATGGATGGGCTCCTCTTCAGCAGATGATTGCTGAGGGACTAGCTAATTATGGAACAGAGGAGTCAAAATCATTAGCTCAAGAGATTTCTTCAAGATGGATCAGAACCAATTATGTAGCTTTCAAGAAGACAGGCACAATGCATGAAAAGTATGATGTTGAAAAGTGCGGATCTTATGGTGGTGGTGGGGAATATACTCCTCAAGTAAGTTCCCGACCCTTTGTTCTTATAAATAGTGATGATATATGTATATTTTAGTTAATTTGATTCATACATAACAAGATCTAGACTATGTTATTGAGTTCTATTGAATAACATCTTATTTCTTGTAGTTCACTTATAATTTACTATGAAAAACGTTTGAAATGCAGACGGGTTTTGGGTGGTCAAACGGAGTGGTATTGGCATTTTTAGAGCAGTTTGGATGGCCTAAAGACATGAAGGTTGATTGCTAATGTTGTGTATACTAGGCATTTTTTGTGTGTATGATATGATATTATAGTGCTCGTTACTGATAAAATTTTTAGTGATTTAGAGATGTTGTAATTCATTTGTTTTGAGTCCAATAATAGCAAAGTTTGTTATTTGATATTGGAATGAACATTGCAATTGAACTCATGGCGAGAAGTTTGCCAGCTATACGGCTATAACCTCTGCAAATGGGGAAGGATTCTCAGGTCTGGGCAAGATCATAGTCCCTTCATACTACGGTTTTGTGAGACATGGTTCGCCCAGACTAGAGGATCTCCTGCCCTGCAAATGTGTACAGAAGGTCTACAGGGAAACTTACAGGTGGAACTCAGAAACGACATTGGAAGATTTCAAACATAATTAGAGATATTATTGATTACCATTCAAGTATTTCTTGGTGGTTTACTGGAAGTGTAAGAATATTCCATCATTTTTTAGTATATGAGAAAGAATCATATATGATTTCTGGGGTCAGTTTCCCTTTTCTTTTGAAACACTTTTCTAATTTGATTGAATGTGAATGAATCTTATGTGTGTGGACACAGTAAGGCTATACCTCTACAAAGTGAAGGCCTTCTGTTTCACTTCCCTCCTTTTTACCTGCTACTTCATTACCAGATGAAGACCCTTTTGATCTACCTTGCTCCAGATGTTCAAGGAAATCCATTAGCACTGGATCGGTCCAGGGAGCACCAAATGGGGCTCCTTCACCGGCTACCCACCCTAAGTGGCCACCTTTTGGTGTAACTATTAGTAAGCAATTCGAGTTTGCCTGAAGTAACAAGCAACTACATCAGTCTTGGCCCAGATCACTAACACACACAATAACGCCAATCCCATCATACTTTGAGATAACAGCAATATGTCATACTTGAGGAGTCTAAGGAAGAGTTCCAAGTAATACACTATGCTCCAGGTGCTAATTTGTAATTATGTCAAAACAATCTGACCGTAAACATGAGAAGTTATGTCCATACCTTGATGTCCTCACGAGGAATTCCTCTGGATGGAGCAATTGGATCATTTGCAGCCTGTAAACAGTTAGGATTATCAAATTAGACATTTATATGACCAGTTCTGCTTAGAATGAACTCAAGCAATGACTCATTCAAGCTAGGTTTTATCAGTTTCCCCCGACTATTCAAATCCTTACAAGAAAGAATACCAGTGAAAGACAAATGTCAAGGTTATCCAAGTTATGCCTATATAAAGGATATGGTAAGAACCAACTAAACCTTCTTGAGGTCGAATAAACCCCCAAATAAAAAAAACTTACAAAAATAAATTAATACAACTGTTCGTTACATATGAGTGTGATTCGGGTTAACTGTTTGGTAATTATGATACTGTATCTTTTCCCTTGTGTTCAATCAGAATCAAAAGAGTGCCTTAGAAGGGACTTAAAAGATCTTAAAAGGTTCTTGCCTGAATGCAAAGCAAAGGTGTGCAGACATTCTTTATGGAATCCGAGCTGCAAGAATTTGAGTAATAATCATCCACTGACTTGAACCCAAATGAAACTGCAAGTATTGAACCATAAGTTGAGGCTACATATGCTATAATACAGTATTATATATCTGGTTCAGCAAAAAGGAATGTGCACCTCGAGTTAAACATTCATCAAATTCCCTGACAGATCGGGCATTGGCAGCTACTGGAATATTGTATTCGCCACCCAAATCCTCGAACAGGAGAGCATGCCTAAAAAACAGCAGAGATATAACTTCAACTGGGAGCAGCATGAGGGAGAATAAGCAAATCCAAAATGAGTACATGAAATAGAAGCCTAAATACAATCTCTCACTTACTTTTTGAAAATTTTGCAGAGAGCATTTGACAGAGCTTTGTCATAAACAATGTTAAAGCCCTTACGGAAATCTTCATCAGCAATGACCAAATTAAAAGGATTGCACAAGGACACAGCACCGGAGAGAACGCAGGCATGCGATTCCTGGAGCAACACAAGGTATTGCACAGTCAACTTCCAAATATAATGCAAGAGCACACATATGCTATGTAGTTCCAAAGCAAGAATCTAAATGAGGTAAGAAGATATCAAAATTCAAGAAGTTAGTTGAAATACCTGACCCAAATATCGAACTAGAATATTTGCGCCAAGAGACCACCCAACAGCATATATGTTCGCTTTCAGATACCGGCTACTCACATGAGCTACCACTTCTGACATATCACCAAGGAATGAAGCTGAATAGAACTGCAGAGGATAGTCAACTACGTAGCAAAAGATAAGAACAAAAACACCAATTTTCCACCAGTGCATTCATGGAGCATGGCATTGCTCTTTGATCACATTTTATTAGGGTGGTGAACAAACAAAAATCAAACAAGAATTCTCCTTTATTATGCACATTTGACTGCATACTTCCGTCTAAAGTTGTTCATTCAGCTAGAACTGCCGGAAAAATTTGAAGGCACCAACAATCAAGAGCTAGAACTAGGAAATAACCCCCAAGGATACTGAAACCAGATGAAAAACTACAACTTGAAGTCTTGAATTGTATTTTCTTCCACAGCTTCCATCTAAGACCCACCCCCCTAACTGGAAAAACTACTCCATCATATATTATTGTAACTTGTGTCCAATGTCTAATGCAAAATGGGTTAAAATCACTGAAGTTTTTACTACATTCATCTAAAATCCCACGCACAAGTCATCCAGTTCTAATAAGTCTTCTATAAACGGGCAATAGCTGCTACAAATACCAATATATCAATAATGCTTGTAATGGATAACATTGCAGTTATTTCAGGAAAGTTCTCTGCATTTACTCTTTCTTTTTTTTTCCTACTCAGTTTCATTTCTTACATTCCATATGCAATCCTTTTCTCCTATCCAATTAATTATCACCTGACAAAAATTCAACCTTCACGACAATCAAACTTGCAATAGAATCAATAAGGAAGTTGGAAGAAGAGCACTACCTGAGGTGTGGTGACTGGGCTATCCCCACATCCCCTGCTATTAAACACCACAACTCGCCAGCCTTTACTCCTTGCTCTCACCACCATATGCCTAACATACGTATCCTGACTCCCTCCGGTCAATCCCGGCTGCGCCATTTTCATTATTGATCTCGATCACAAAACTCAAAGTTGAGCAAAAAAGATACAAATTAAATAAAACCACAGGATTTCAATCCTTACTAGCAGAATGAGTAGAGGGGAATCGTGGGGTAGGCGGGTGTGATCTCCGGAGACCCAATCAAGAGCGACAGAGCCGCCGTCACTCGTGCGGAGGCACTCTCGCCGGAATTTAACTTCGGGGAGAGAGCGGAAGAAGGCGGCAAAGATGGTCTCCACGTGTCTATTCCAAGCGAAGAAAGGGTAAGGCTTATAAGGACGGTGAAGAAGGGTGGTCTTGAAAACCGGGAGGAATGAATCTTTAGCTCCGCCGATGACTTCCAGAGAGGGATGGGGAGGAGGAGGAAGGTCCGACGACATTGTGGAGGCCGTGCTAGTAGGATTATTATCTGTCCTGGATGCTGAAAGAAATGGTTGGGAAGAAGATGAGCTGAGGTGGCGGAAAGAGGGTGGACTGGCGGAGAACGACGGAGGCTTTAGAGATGGCACGGCGGAGCCTACTGAACTGAAGTAGGCTCTGGCCATTTTTATATGTGGCGGGGAATGGCGGAGGACGGTTGTTGGAAGAAACGAATGATAAGCCCAGTGTGGTTATGAGAAAGTTAGTGGAAAAGGACGAGAAACGTTGACCAAAATAGTAATTAAAAAGAAAAAATAAATAAATCACACCAGTCATCCCTCAATTTTCCATTTCTTTTTCCCCATGATCTCCATGAGTTCGATTTTTTCAGTTTTATCATATTTCAAATAATAATAATAATAATAATAATAATAATAATAATTTCCAGCTTCAATAATCAATTAATCACTTGAAGACTTATTAGAACTGTGGATGAATTGTGTATAGGATTATCATGGAAAATGTGCAAGCAAGCGGTGGAAAGTAGCTAAAAGTGCTTGCATATAGATGTAACAAATTTGCTTTGTACTATTAGTAAGTCAAAAGTGATGACAAGGTTTGAAGTTGAGGCTCTTTTTGTTTGGTTTTTTAATGGTTTTTTCAGATTATTTTAATAATAAATGTCCTAACTCAGTATACATTTTCACATTTCTAATACACATTTTTATATTTTCAATACAATAAACACCTAAAAACACACACTAAAAAAACAAAACAAAGACATATTTTGGTTACCGTAATTTCAGAAGTGGAGATTTTTTTTCCCAGCAGCATCAAAGCAATGGCAACCCGACACTTAAGAACACATATTAATAATTCCAGTTTCCGTTTTTTTTTTTTTTTTTTCTTTGAAACGGTACTCCAGTTTCGTTACTTGAAATAATTTCTTTAGTTTTATGCTTGCAAGTTTATAAACTTTAATTTAGTTTATAGAAACTTCTTCTTCCTTTTTTTTTTTTTGGTACGCTAATAAGTACGGTGCTTCGATCACACAATTAATTGCATGATTCATTAGTTCATGCGTTTAATCATGGTGTGATTTATACATAACAAAATTCTTATCCTAATTTTTATTTTTATCCAAATCATGTTGCGATTTGTATTGCAAAAACAATAAAACAAAAGTCAAGATAAATCTCTACCGCGTATTAGGTTATACCTGCCACGTCTAAGATTTTTTTGGTTTGAGCTGCCGGGAACTCTTATTAAGTCCATGTACATGTTGCAAGGACGGATTATATTTTTCCATCACTTGAATACTTTGCACGTTTGTATAATAATTTTATTATCGTAATTTAAAGTTGTGATGTTTAAATTTCTTATTTAATTCATAATTGAAGATTCTTGATGACAGGATATGGATTTGCATGGCGTTTTTTCAGTCAGAAAATCGCGAAGAATTTTTTAAGTATATCGTAAAATGATGTATGATCTTTTTCCAAATAAAAATTTCAATATTTCGCTGAAGCTATTTGGTTCCCCTCAGAACGAGAGGGAAAGCACAGCGTTGTTGAGTGAGTTACAATGAGTAGACCAGATTATTTAATCCGACGATGTATCGTTGATCAAATTCATGTCGATACAAAAAGTTTTTCTAGGATCTGATTGTAATTACTTTCAACTTGTGCTTTTAATTTGCATACTTGCAAATCTCTCCAAATCTCAGGTTGCCCGATATGTGCAATAACCAAAGTTAGAAAATATTGAGAAAGTATGATTTATTCCTAAACGACATAGATAGAACCACTGATGTGCGTAGTTTCTTCCCATTCTTTGGATTTGTGGAATTCCGAGATTTTAATAAGAAAAGAAGCAGTCAAAAATGTTTTTGAATGGTAAACGTCTAAACGATCACTAGTTTGGAGATGCGGGGTCCTTTGCTTCCAAGTTGTTTCATTATCCATGCATACAAGTAGTTCAACTAGACCAGATCAAGGCAACCAACATCATTCATTCTATGATTTTTCATATGGCCCCGACGCGGAAAAAATGGACATATATACCAACCACACTATCTTACATCACCCAACTACTCAAAAAACCAAGGAAACAACAATAAAAGTCGATTACAGGCATAGAAGCAGTTTCATGACAGAATGAAACAACATTTGGTGCCCCAACAATAGACAATCAAAATCACAAACAAAACTTTGAAGTGAATCAGCTTTCAAAAATATATTTGAAAATGCACTCTATCACAACATTATAATATTTTTCTATGATCCTAAATTTTACTAAGTGTCTGAACCGCATGACCAAAAAAACAACCAAAAAGTCAGGAGGGAAGAACCCCCACCTCCCCCCCCCCCCCCCCCAAAAAAAATACATTATCACAACATATAGGAATCATTTAGTAACCTAGACCACAAAGCATATGATACCCGTGTATATTACCACCGCATGAAAACACCATATGAACTCACTATGCAAAAACACCATATGAACTCACTATGCAACCAATGTAAAACAAAAAACAATCCTGACAGGGATATCTTGACCTGTCCAGCCGTTAAAAGATTTCACTACATCAAAGCTATGCAGAATGGAGAGAAAGACAAAGAAAGGGATGGAACTGCTCCGCAAAAAAAAGGCAATACTTTGAACAATTGGGAAACTTCACATGACGTAATCTTTAAAGGAGCTTCAAACTGATCACTCTGGTAAGGAAACAGAGACAAGATGCAACATGTAAATTTAGACCAACAGCACAAGAAGTTCAGATCCTAATAACTACATCTCTACAACAACAAATTCATGATTGTAAATTACTCAGACAGGGTATTTAAGAAGTAGCTTTACACAAAATGGGTCATAACTATGTAATATATGACATACGCAACTGCAGAGAGACAAGAGTAAAATTAAAGAGAAAGACAAAATGTAAAGTTGGAAAACCATTCACCCCATAAAATAAAAGACTTATACAGGTAACAAGGGAAAGCTTCGGCACATAATTTCTCAGTCCCATGTGTCTACGTGGATAAACTAACAATAATAAGAACTACTGAAACAAAACAAACTTAAGGAGCATTGTAGGATTTAAAAAACAATGGCAGACAGCTGAACTGAACATACTGCAACAAAGAGAAAGCTATGGACTGGGTCAAAATGTTGCAACAAACAGAGAACCATAATGTGCTGGGTCAAATCTTGCAGATAAGCAACCATATAAATAAACACAAGAGCCTCAATTAAATAGAATATGCAAGAAAGGAGCTGAAAATCACTCCTCAGAATTATCGAAGTCTGCTCTCCCCCCTCCCCCCCTCCTCTTCCCCCACGGAAAGTGTGCGGTGTCAGTAATTTTGAAATGGCCAGGGTGGTCCACCATGATAACATTACCACCATGATAACATTACCGCCACCATGATGAGATTATTGGAAAGCTAACACAGTCGAGTCAGGCAAACATAAGTAAGGTCTAAAACTTGGGAGAGAGCAAGAACACTGTTTTGTGGAAGACTAAAACATTCATCAGGGTTTGACCAAACGAGGTGAATATGCTAGGTATTCATCTCCCAGACGGAGCACTAACGCATTAAAGGAATTAAAACCAAAGAGACGAGAAGACTTGAGGTTAAACGATTTTGCCTCTCATACAATTACAAAGAACAAGTGAATTCTTAGGATGCAAAGCAACAACCTAAACTTGGAAAGTAGGATTATAACCTGCCATACTCCACTACAAAGAAAACATCAAATAAAGTATGTAGTCCACCACAAATAAACACCAAAGAAAGTACTGGATAGATAAGCAAAACAAGATAAACTGACACTTCTCGCACTTCTCCACGTTGGTCACCTGCCGGAAAGAGTACCTCCAAGAATAGACCCCTTAGGGAGTGAATATCTCGGCATGAAGTGGCTCGATCAAATACTTCAATGGCTGAACGACTTCATCTTGATCCCTAGGAGTGGTTAACAACAGCCTGCTGCCGGTTACGGATAACAACGGAAAAGAATAGCAGAGCGCGTCAAAAAGATTCATATCCCGAACATCCTCCAAAACAAGTAGAAACCTCTTATCCTTCAAGTAAGCATAAAGCATGGGTGGCATATAAAAGGCAGAAACGCCTAAATAAATATTCAGGTCTTCCCATCTGTGGCAAGTGAGGGAAATCAACAAATCTTTTATTATCCTTCTTGGGTTGGGGTCGTCCCCTACCCGTGCCCAGGCAATGCAATGGAAATGTTGGCGCACCAAGTAGTCATGATAAACTTCTTCAGCCAGGGTAGTAGCAACACCTGATTCCAACCCATAAAAAGCTATAACTGTGGCCTCCTTTCCCGGATGCAAGATACGAGAAATCAACTTTTTCCTGAATAGCTTCTCACATACATCCCCGAGGTTTATCCCGGAAGGAGGAGAAATCGGCGCACTATCAATACCCTTCAGCATATGCCCCAAGGAATAAACTCATAGTTTGAAATTCCATTCTTCCTCTTCTTCCTCCTGGAAAGGAAAGTGGAGAAAAGAAGGGAGTAAATCCGGAGCCCAATCTCCGTAGGAACGGAATAAGGAGGAAAAGATTACACTCTCATAATCTTCATAGTTGGCGGGGGAAAAAGGAGGGGAAGGCTTCATCCTTCGAGCCCAGGGTGTTAAATTTCTCAATCATTTCAACCAAACTTCTAAACTCCGCCTGAAAGACATCTATTCCGGCAAAAATCACTTACAGTCCCCCCGTCTTCCTCCTTCCGTTGAAACCTTGAGACGACGGTAGATGTTGTTTCCGTCAGTTGAAGAAGAAGAGAATCGAGAGAGACGATGGATGTGAAATAATCAATTCACTTATCCGTCTTGGAAATTAGGTCGGCTTGATGTGGCGGGTCCTGAAAGACGAAGTCTTTTTCGAGCTTCTGCCATAAATCATTAGTTTCTGAGGATAACTTCGTGAAATCCTCGGAATCAATCACTTTTTGCTCCCAAAATCGAACATTCTGCAGCTTCTCCAATTTAAACAGCAGAAATCCCAGCTTCTTTAAGAAATCATGCAATTTCAGAAATACATCACCCGCCGATACCGATGAATTTTTAGATACTCCATTAGGCTCAACGATTCTCTTCCCATTAGAATTTTTAGTAGTTCTCGGGTATATCGATTCTATACCTAGATTGGCTGACTCAACGATTTCTGAACCCATTAGGCTCTTGGCTGACTCAAGAGTTTTTTCCCGATCCGATCTGATCTGAACCCTCCCTCCCGGATCTACTACGACGTGTATTATTAAACCGCGAGAACATAAATGCGCAGATGAAGGGTTTCGGTGAGGCGGCATGGGCTGGGTTTCGGTCCAATTTGTTTGTGTGGATAGGAAGAACTTGTCATGATCCGGGGTGGTTGTGCAAATTCAGGAAAAAGTACTCAATTGACGTGGGCATTTATTGTGATTCAGACCAAATTAGGGGTTATTCCAGCATTTATTAGTAATGATTAGATAAGTTTCCATTTCGGATATAATAGCTATAATTAGCCAACTAATCATTGTGTAAAGGATTGCATAAGAATACAACAAATTCTTTCATAATATTTTCTCTCTCATCTCCAAATCTGATCTATCTTCTCATCCCCTTCTTGATAATTTCCCCCGACTACCTTTTCTATCTTCCATTTATCGGAAATTCCAATTCCGGCCAGCGATACGTGGCAAGCTGGTATCAGAGCCGGGGATTTCCTCCGCTCAAGAAACAGTACAACAATGGCTCAGACATGATCGCAGAAAGATCTTGAGGAGCAGATCTGGCGTCAAGATATGAGACTTACAGTGCTTTCAATGGAATTTCATTCCCAATCTGGCGAATTGCGTTCTCAGGCAGATAGTATAAGGTCTCAGATCGATTCTCCAACAATGAAGGAAAGATCGATGCATTGAATTCCAAGATAGATGAAATGGCGAACCAATTGAAGGACATTTCGTCAGCCCTCAGTGCAAGAACAGTTCCTAATGGAGGATTAATTCCTAATCCTCCTCCAGGACAAGTTACCGGTCACGAATTATGGGAATCACGGTGAAAGATTTACTGCTCAGGGAAGTTCTTCAGAGAATCCAATGAAAATCAAGGAGAAGGGGGCTAGGGTTCCGTTTTATCCTCAACCCAGGGTTGAACAGCAAGTTTTTGTCGGGAACCGTCCCAGAGAATGGATACAAAAGTGTGAAAAGTATTTCTTGTTGCACCAAATTCCTGAAGAGCAAAAGGTCGAACACATAGAGCTCTACTTGGATGATACATGGTTTCAGGCGATCAACATGGTACAACCTGAGATTTCTTGGAAGGAGTTCTGTGTGGAATTACAGAAGAGGTTCATGGATTTTGCAGAAATTAATCCAGTGGAAGAGTTTAATAAGCTATCCCAGAAAGGTTCAGTTCGTGAGTATCAGGCAAAATTCGAGGAATTGCGAGCAAGAATGTTGATCCAAGATCCAACATTGTTACAATCTTATTTCATCCATAGTTTCTTGAGTGGGTTAAACGAAGAATTGCAACCTGGGGTGAGAATGTTTAAACCTAAATCACTCACTGCTACTTTTAACTTGGCTCTTTTACAAGAACATCAGTTAGAGTTATCCATGAAGAAACACAAGATTGTGGGAAATCAGTTTCCCAAGCCTAATAAAGGATTCAGTCGTTCTTCAGAGACTCCTAAACCTTCATTAAGATCCAGCAAACCAATCAATTCTGATATGGTGAAAAGGCTCAGTAATGAAGAATATCAGTACCGGTTTAACAACCATCTTTGTTTCAAATGTGGTGAGAAATTCGGTCAAGGTCATGTTTGTAAATTCAGGCAGTTTAACATCATGATTGTAGATAATGGAGAAGAAGACGTTGAATCACCGGAATTGGAGGCACCAGAACTTCTGATTGATGAGGGAATCGACCTGAACGATTTGACTATTGAAGAAGGCTCTATGCACGTTTTGTCAATTGATAACGTCAAGTAGACTATCCTGATTACTGGAAATATCAAAGGAAGAATAGTCAAGATATTGATCAATACAGGGAGCACAGACAGTTTCATTGACATGTTGCTGGTCAAGGAAATGAAACTACCCTTTGTGCACTCTCAGATGTTCACTATTACTGTGGGGAATGGCAGCAAAATCTCATGTAATTTAGTATAACCTAATCTGCATTGGAACATAGGAGAATATAAATTCAGTTATGATTTGAAAATTATGAAGTTAGGGGGTTATGATATGATATTAGGGGTTGATTGGATGAGGCATTTTAGCCCTATTACCTTTGATTATGATGAAATGCATGTGAGGTTGAGTAAGTATGGTCGCCAATACATTCTCCAAGGTAACAAGTATGAGTTTGATTAGAGATAATGACTGTATGATATTAGATCAAGCAAGAAGGTGCAGTCTATTTGCTATGCAAATGCAAGAAACAGTGGGAGTAGGATCGTTCCTGGGAGACAATTATGTTGAAACTCCACTTCCTGAAAGCATTGGCAAGCTGTTGGATAAGTATTGTGCTATATTTGAGATTTCTAGTTCACTATCTGCAAACAGGGATGTTGATCATCAAATTCCTCTGAAAATGGGAGCTCAGTCATTCAAAATACAACCTATAGATGTCCACATGCGCACAAGTCTGAGATTGAAAGGCAAGTAGCTGAGTTGTTAGAGCAATGAATTGCCAGAGCAAGCAAGAGACCCCTTGCTTCACCAGTGATCTTGGTTAAAAAGGACGGATGTTGGAGGATGTGTGTTGATTATAGAAATGCCATTCGGGTTGACTAATGCCCCAGCCACATTTCAGTCCTTAATGAATCAAATTTTCCGAAAGCAAATGAGAAAGTTTGTTCTAGTATTTTTTGATGATATCCTGGTATACAGCCCTGATTTGGATACTCATATGACTCATTTCAGTCCTTTTGAATTCTTTTTTTTTTAAAAAAACTAGAAGTCAAATTTTTTGCACGGTCAATGCCCTTGGTCAACACATGTGAAGAGCGCATGACTTTCCCTTGACCGGTCAGTTTTTGCCGGAATTCGAGGAAAACTGAAAAGAAATAAAAGTCTATTATTTGGTATCAAAATGAAACATTTTAACTTTATAGTTTTGAATGAATATAGCTAGCATTTTTTTAGGACTTTTGGAGTAATTAATTCTAGTATCTAATTACACTTGATTTCTACCACTGTAAATATACAAAAAAAAAATGATATAGAGTAAAACTTAACCAAGATAGTGCTTAAGACTTAATACATAGATTATAATAGTTTGTAATAGTTTAAGAATTCTTACATTGTAGAATAAAAAATTCTGAGAGGCAAGATGTTCATTTTACAGCTGGTCTATTTAATTTTCAATTAAATGTAGTTCATGATAATACAATAGTGATGTCATTTTATTTTACTATTATAGTATAAAATTAATGTCTGAAAAATTATTATAATAATATGATAAACAAAATATTAATATAATGATTGTCTGAAAAAATATCAATTCTAGAGAAAATTGCCTAAAATCACTCTATTCACATTAAACTTTGTTGGTGCAATAGTCGTCTATAAATTTCAAGTGCTGAAACTATCGTTCATTATTCTGAAATTCTCATCTTCAAGATTCCTTGCTATGTTCTTCTTGATAGTTGAATGAATCAAATAACTCAGAGAAATGAATTTCTTTTGTTTTTATATTATGCTTGAAACCTGATTATTTATGTAATGATTTTGATTTGATGTTTATACAGACAAATCTACCATTGCAATAATAATTCAGATCGTAAATCCTTTACAACAATTTCATTCCCAAAAAAAAAATGATATGCTTCCGTTTTTCTCATTTTATTTATTTATTTATTTCTTGTCCTTAAGATTCAAGAAGTATTTCTTAGATAATACTCTCTCGGTCGTCATTATAAGTTATTTTGATCTGTATTAAATTTTATTTAGTATGCTATTGTTATTCAAAATAAAAATTTAAAAATATTTTTTTCACATTTATTATATTCTCCCAATTATTATAAAATAATTTTTAGGTTTTATTTTCAATTGGGAGGATATATTAAATGAAATTTAAGACAAATTAAAATACCTTATAATAAGGACCAAAGGGAGAATTTAACGAAAAAACAAGGAAGGAGAATTTAACAATCGAGCAAAAAATTCAATAAATAAGGAGAATTTTGCAATTGAACAAATATGTTATATACAGAAAGGCACTCCATATGATATAAATATTCATTAGTTTTCTTGATTTTGATGTGTTCCATCACCGTGTCTCCAACATTAAATACTTTGCAACATTGAAATTTTCATATTTGTAAAATATTAACATATATTTAAACAAGAACGATATTTTAATCCCTGCAACACACGGGCATAAACTAGTAATTAGTAAAATAAATAAATCACACCATTCATACCTCAATTTTCAAATTTTTTTTTATTGAATTCCAAATTTCATGATTTGAGTTAGATATTTCAGCTTTAAATTTCAACCAAGAAAAAAAAAACAGCTTCAATTATCAATTGAAGACTGATTAGAACTGCATGAATCAATTCCCAAAAAAAAAAGAAGAAGAACTGCATGAATGTGTGTTGTAAAGGATTATCATTACTTGCAGACAATTTCGTATACCATAATTGTTCTTTTCTTTCTCCATTAAATCACGTTATGAATTAGTTAACAATATATATGCTTATGAAAGTTTAGAAAATAAAATAGAGGAAAGCCAAAAGGAAAAAACAGATAATATTAAGCGTTCAAGTCTTATTGGTGACAACAAATCAAAGTGATGATGGATGATCTTGATGACATTTCAAGATTTGACAATCAATCTCATGGATGGATCAATTCATTAAAACTTTAATTAATTCTTTAAATACTTTTGGTTCTCCTCCTCAGTCATGAAAGCAGTGACGGGGAAAGCTCGCCCGATCCCCATTGGAGTTTTGAAGTAGATCTTCTTCTTTGATGGAGCAACATCCTCATCCACCATACTCATTTCCACGATGGGCACCCATAAGAGCATCTGCTTGCTCTTGGTGCCAGTCATTTTCGTCATTTTACCTTTTCCCACATATGCGGTCACTTCACTTTCGTACTTCACTAGGGTATTGCTCTTGGTGAAGAAGTGTTGATACGGAGCCTTTTGCTTCATCCACACGAATCCAGTAGCTCGAACTCTACCACATTCCACGAGATCTTTTAACGGGAGGACTCCTTTCGGGAACCCTAGTTCCTCGAGGAGTTCCAGCGAGTGCTTGTAGCATTCTTCGGCGCCATATACGATTTCTGCTCCCTCACGCTCGTCGAAAACTTGGTTTGATACTTGAAGATTCGACATCCTTTTGGAGGATTTTTTTGGCTAACTTGATCGATGGTTTCTTTGCAAGATTTACTAAATTGATTAGGTTGGATGTGTGTTCATTGTGTGCCCAAGTTTAAATACGAAATGGGAATGTGTTAGGTTTGGTTGTTGGATGGGAGTTAAGTTGGAAGGACCTTAAATGCATGTGTCCATATACGCATGACAAAGAGGTTGCTAACCTAGTAACCTACATCTTTTTGCCTAACTTGTGGTCTAGGAATTTCCACGGTATTTTGTGATTGTATCTATAGTGTTCTTGACAAAAATATATATATAATTTATTTGTTCTAAAATAATTTTCTCCGTTTGGATTTTTTATTTTAGTATAATTTATACGTAGAATAGTCCTTAGAAAATAATACTGCAAGTGCTTTAATTTATGATTCATAACTTCAAACTTTTGGATCTCTCGTAATTAAAACACCTCATTTTCTGTTTGTTAATCAATTTATGTTTGAGTAGAATGTTCATTTTCAACCACAAAACTCATTTCGACAAATTGTTTTATGGTGGTGTCCAAGGTAGTTTCCACAATATTTCAACTCGCAGCCGCGCAAACAAACAATCAAACACTTCCAAAATCCGAACCCTCCATCTCGATGCAGCAATTGTTACCCTTCTAAGTTTTTTTCCCTTCCGTCAAAGATATTTGTTAATTCGTAACATTTCGTCCTGAAATAATTATATATTTTAGGCTTTAATTTTAATTTAAATTATTCAAAAAATAAAAATTTAAATAAAATAATTATTTTAGTATCGATAGTGAAATTACAAAAAATTAGCTCATCTACAATTGATTAAAATCCGGTAATATTCAAACTCTTCATTAAGTATGGAGTAAGTTCAAATGTTTTGGACAGTTATCAGTATTTCAATTCTGAAACCATTACAACTTCAACAAAAGAATAAGTTATTATTATCGAGTGTGAGCATTTAGTAATTAATGTAAGGAAAAAAAAATAAAAAGTTAGCTAGTGATTCGCGTGTGTAGCGGTCGCATGGTGTAAATGTTTGATTGATCCATTCAACTAGCAAAACGGCTGCATCTGCGGGTTAACTACCACAAAAAGAATGCAAATAAATTAGATGTATCTTTTGAAACATAAAAGACACTATATGTGATGAAGTTTGATTCGATCATCCAAGTGAAGTTTTTCTTACCACCTAATGGAGGGGCAATACGTTTCATGAAGAGTTCAACAAAATATGCAGTATCTCCAGAATCCCAGAGAACGTAGTTTTCCTAGCTAACTCCCTAAATTTAGGTTAGACTAACTTTAGTAATGTTTGGATGCCACATACTGTATGTGCTTCTTTTCCAAGATATCTTCAATTTATTCACATACTTTTTTTTTATAACAAAAGAAAAATAAACATTAAAAAAACGTTCCCAACTGTAACAAGTCGAGAATGGAAAAAGGACAGATGTATATATTAATTACATGTGGCCCGTTTTAAATCAATGCACTTAATTTGGCTCCAGAAAACTTTTCTTAATGAGCAAAATCTTCATTTGCATGAAAACGAGTAAGGACAGATGTTGAAAATTCTCAATTGTGCAATACGCGATAGGGATGAAGAAGGGTCAAAGATAATTATATACTTCTAACTAATTTTGCATTTACAATATATAGTGTGTTAGTTGAACCATATCGCCGTACATGGAAAAAAAAAAAAAGAAGAAAGAGTCAAAATGATTAAGCATGAGTTACATATTGCGAAAGTGCGATGTGGCAAAATGATGCACTATTATATAAACGGTGGTCGTCAAGGAAAGAAAAACCATTGCACCAAATTATGAAGGGGATTTTTCATGGAAAATTTTTAGTAAATTAAACAATATTATAACAATCTCAACATCTGTTGGAAACTAAACTTAAAGGAGGGATAGTGGAGGAGCTAATGGCAACTAAGTGGAAGGAGTTTGACTTTATAAGTAATCACAGTAATACAAGGCAAGGCAGAATACTTCTGCTTTGGAAGAAAGGGATGGATACAATCAGTCAAGTGACTATAGAAGAGCAGATAATATAATCAGTCGAGTGACTATAGAAGAGCAGATTATCCACTGTCATATGCAAGATGCTAAAAACAGGCAGTTTGTACTGACAGTCATAATTCAAACTCGCGATCTTGGATCGTAGGATTGTCCGATCCTACGATACCAGGTATCTAAATCAATCCTGAATTGATCAAACTCGAATTTTGCAATAGGATCGGAGTGGGATCGGTTAGGATCGTATAGGATCGTACAGTATCGTAGGATCAATTCGAGTTTACTATTCATCAATTACAAAAAATTTATTGGGCTTATTGAGATTTTTTTTCTCTTATTTCTTTTGATTCACATTCAATTGATGTTAATATTATTTGAGAAAACTTTTATTGCTAAGAAAAATATATTTTAAAAAGTTTTTCTAATAAAATGAAAAGAAGAACTATTAGAGAAGAGTTTTTATTAAAAAATTATCTAAAAATTCATATAAGAAAATTGAATTTATACATTTCTTTTAGTTTAAATATTAAATACTTTATGTAAAGATAATTGAAACCTAATTATCTAAATAATTAATTATTATAACATGTATAGTTAATTTTATAATTCTACCATTTCGATTCTACCGATCTCATTTACGGTCTGATTCTATGACCCCATTTTGATTCTACATAGAATCACGATCCTGCAAACATTTCTGATAGTAGTATATGCAGAACATCAAGCTCAAGGAAGAGCTTTGCTATAGAATAGTCCCCTGGGAAGAGTTAACAGCTTGACCTCTCCATCACTCCATGGATTGTTATTGGAGATTTCAGCTGCATACTGGGACCAGAGGAAAAAAATTGGAGGAACTTCAGGCACAAGTACAGACTGATATGTTTAAGCTTGTAATTGAGCAGAATGAGTTAGTCGAAATGAAGACGCAAGGCAACCAATTTCTTGGTCCAACAAGCAAATGGGTGACAACAGAATCGTTTCCAAACTTGACAGGGCACTGGTTAATGAACACTGGATCGATGAATTCCCAGAGGCAGTGGCATGGGTGAAACAAGCAGGAATATCAGATCACTGCCCAATTCTGGTGAAATGGGGTGATAAACAGAGCATCCAAAAGGCGTTCAGATTTTACAATATGTGGACCCTTCATCATGACTTCATAAAGATGGTATCGGAAAACTGGCATGCTGTCGAAGAAGGAACTAAACAGTTTACCCTCGTGTAGAAATGAAAACACATGAAAACTGCCCCAAAAAGGTTCAACAAATTAAACTATAAGCCTATAGAAGTGGAAGAGCAAAATAAGATGAAGGAGTTAGAAGAGATCCAGAGGCAGCTGCAAACTAATCCCCACCATATCTTGGACTGCAGGAAAAAGAGAAAGAACTGACGAACGCGTATATCAGCTTCAACAAAATCGTAATGGCATACTGGCAACAGAGATTGAAGGAGCGATGTATGCAGGAGGGTGACACAAACTCCACGTATTTTCATGCTTGTGTGAAACAGAGAAGAATGCTAAACAGAATTCTATGTTTTTCAGATCAGCGAGGCAATGTTATTGACGATTGGCAACATGTACAAAACCACTTTACTGACTATTTCATTCAACTGTTAGGCACTTCAAAATCTAGGGTTTCAGCTGCAAATGAAGTAATTAATTCAGGGATTAAACTATCTGTATACCAGCAGATTCTCCTAATTAAGAACTTCACTACAGCTGAAATCAAAGAGGCGTTGTTTGAAATAGATGTTAATAAATGTGCTGGGCCGGATGGGTTTAGTAGTGGTTTTTATAGAACTGACTGGGAAATAGTACGGGGGGTGTATGTGAAGCTGTTCTAAAATTCTTTCAATATGGAAAATTGCTGCTAAATGTTACCCAAATATGCCTGATCTCGAAAAACCCAAACCCTAGAGATGCGTATGAATTTTGCCCCATTTCCTGCTGTAACACCGTTTATAAAATCATTACTAAACTGCTAAGTAGATGTTTAAGTCAAGTCTTGCCTGATCTGATTGACTTAAACCAAGGAGCATTCGTTAAAGATAGATCCATCCTTCACAATGTTTTGCTTACCCCAGAGCTCATTAGGTTGCATCGTAGGAAAACTGTAAAGCCAACTTGTCTATTTAAAATAGACCTACGAAAAGCCTCTGACTCTTTTCATTGGAGCTTTGTTGAGGAAATTCTAAACAATTTAGGTTTTCCTCCAAAATTTGTTAACTGGGTGTTGGAATGCATAACCACTGCAAGCTTTACGCTGAACCTAAATGGACAGATGATGCAGCTAGCGGAAGCCTATATCTCGAACCCTAATAAGTAATCGGAGTAGATCACGAATACCCGAAAATACAATCCTCCAACTGATGCAGGGCATACCTATATCAATCGGCGATGTTTTTTATTAACGATCTTTCAGTCCATCGAAATACCAAAAATCTAAACATCCATAGTTTTAAATCACCAACACATGGAACTAGTCTACTAATTTACGGCCTTTGTTCCAACAAATGGAACACCGAAAACTAGGCTTGAGAGAACTCTTAATATTTTGTAAAATCAATCAACTGCATTACAATGTGATGGCCAAAGCCTTAAATAAAAGTAACGTAGGAAAAAAGCCCTAATGCCTAATATAAAATAACAAAAATAACCTTCAAATAAACCCTAATTTATTATATTTATCCGCCTCCATCAAAAGAACACTAGTTTTTTCCCTGGAAAGCGGGATCTCAGACAAGGAGACCCTTTGTCTCTACTATTGTTTGTCATTGTAATGGAGTACTTAATACGCTTATTTAAGAAAGAGACTGAAAAAGGCGGGTTTAAATTTCACCCTTTTGCGAGAAACTCAAGATCATCAGTCTCTGTTTTGCTGATGATTTAATCATCATTAGCCAAGCTGACCTACCTAGAGTTAGAAGGATCAAATCTGTAATGTAAGAGTTTAAAGCGACTACAGGCGTTACTGTCAACACTCAGAAATCGGATATTTACTTCGGAGGAGTTACGGAGGAGATTCAACGTCAAATACAGCAAGTCATGGGGTTTAAAACCAGTACTTTTCCCATCAGATACTTGAGTGTACCAATCTCTCCCTCAGCCTAGACTCAGCAAGACTGTCAAGGAGTCATAGACAAAATAGTAGCTAGATTGAAGTGTTGGTCCACCAGACATCTCAGCTATGCTGGTAGATTAACTCTTGTCAATTCAGTACTGTTAAATCTTCACTCTTATTAGACAGGCATTTTTCTGCTGCCAAAATCTGTTATTATGCAAATTGAATGGCATTGTAGGATGTTCTCATGGGGTAAAACAGAATCCAGGAAAGCTTGGTCTCTGGTAGCTTGGAATGAAGTGTGCTACAATAAGAGAGAGGGTGGATTACATATCAAGAACCCAGTGCTTTGGAACCAAGCAATGGTGGGTAAGCAAATCCGGAATGTGGCGGCAAACTAAGAAAGCTTATCGATTAGGTGGGTTCACTCCTATCTTAAAGGCCAGGAAATATGGAACTATTTGCCACCACAAGATTGTGAATGGCACTGGAAAAACCTTATGAAAGTTAAAGAGAAGCTGAAATAGGGCTGTCCTTATGGTTGTTGGCTACAGCAGCAAGGCAAGCCTTATTATGCAAAGGAGGAATATAAATGGTTAAATGGACAGAGGACTAAATGGAAAGAGGCTAGCCTGATTTGGAGCTCCTATAATCTGTCAAGACACAGCTTTGTGAGCTGGCTTGCTCTAAAAGACAGACTTGCAACTCAGGGAAGATTAAAGAAGCTGAATCTGCTAGCAGGAGAGGAGGTCTGTGAACTTTGTGACAGGAAAGAAGAAAATGCTGAGCATCTATTTTTTCGCTGCCCTTTCTCTCAGAGCTTAATCAAAGTAATTTTAGGCTAGTTAAAGCTGAAAATGCCAATTCAAAAGTTGTTATCATCTATTAGCAGAATTTTGTACAAGTGGAGATATCAGAAGCTGAAGAAGAAGGTTCCATATGTTGCAATTGCAGCTATCATTTATCATGTTTGGGCAGAAAGAAACTCCAGGAAGTTCAAAAACAGAAAATCATCATAGTAGACATTGCAGAAGATCCAACAGGACGTCAAATGGAAAATCCAGTATTCGTGTAAAAAATGTACTCAGTCTAAACTGAGCTTTTTGACAAAATTTGGTATCCATGTGCATAGATCAGGAACTTAAAAACGCTGGTTGTGAATATGTTGAGTTCTGGTAATTAATAGATTTTCTGTTCTTACCAAAAAAAAATATATATTAGAGATAATGTAACTACTAATTTGTTATAGCTGTTACTATGATAATAAGTGTATAAAGTTCAACGAGTGAAACAATTATTAATATACTAGGTTGCGGAGTAGGGAATGCAGCTACTTAATTCTCTCTTCTTCTTCACTTTATTTTTTTCTTTTATAAGTCAATATTGTAGCATGTTAATCATAAGTTGAATATATTTTTCAATGTGTATATAACTTTTTTTTTTTTAGAATAGCGTTTAATTATGTTATTGTTGTGGGAGTGGATGAATGATGATTCCGTAAAGCACCCAACATCATCATGTGACTTTGTAATAAAAAGAGATATTGGGGTCAAAATAAGAACAAAAGAAATGGCATGTGGGCCGGCCTTAAATATTGGAATACGACCCTTCTTCTGGTCTGCTGGGGTTTTTCTCCTAATTGCGCAAATGTATTGTAATTTGTAGTTTAGTCCCCCCTTTGCCCATATGCAAATAGATCTATTTCTTCTTCTCATAATAATGTTTGCCACTCTCGCATGTGAATATATTCACTCAAGTTGGAACACTACGTAACATTTCTATATATAAGTAGTAACATTATTTATCATCAATATTGCAAAACCCGTTTCATGAGCATGGAATAAATTTAAAGTGTTTTGTCATATATTGCACCTATTACAGAATTTAGTATTCATAGAAAAAATTAATTATTATTGTTTACGATAAATTAACATAGAGTAGTTTTTTTTTTATATACCCCTATATAATAAACATAGAGTACCTGATAAATGAGTTCGAAATAAAACATCAGAACCTAAACTAATTGATTCATTGATTTTATTAATGAGAAATTTATATAACTCGGTTAAGCATGAAGGAAAAGCAAGGGAAGCATCTTTGGGAATGGATCAATTTAAGCATAGCTTTTAAACATAACTCAAAGTACAATTTACGCTCCACATCGTATAAAACAAAAAGGCCTAAGCTATTAAAATGTTGAAAATAATTATACTTATTCCGTCTCAAAAAAAATTGGTTTGTTTCTATTTTAATTTTTATTATTTCCTTGTTTCAAAAAAATAGTTCACTGAATTTTGAGATTTGTATTATTTTTAGTTAAAAACTCATTGTGAACTTTTTTTTAAAAAAAATAAGGAAATACAGTTTATACTAAAAAAAGAAAGGCAAAATCTCAAATGATTTCAAGAGAGATAATTTTTAGACAACTTATTGCATCGCTATACTATTATTTGTAAGAAATTCACCAGCAGACAAAGATCGCATGTTGTTTTCTGACTTTTCTGCTCCTTCATCATTTTCCATATCCTAAACAATTTCTTTATCCTCTTATATCAATCATCAAATCAACCAACTCATTATCCTTTTAGCCAAAACCTTAATTCAAATTGCCGGCTACACAAAATTTGCATAAACTCCGTAATTCTTATATTGATTAAAATTCACTAAACAAGTAATTTGGATTATTAGCCGAACTGAATACGTATCTAAAATTTGATAAACCAATAATAATGAATTTGTAACTATAAACTACCTGAAAAGAGAAAATCAACAAGTATTAATAAGTGGGCCAATATCAGTTGGGGCCCCAGAACACCAACAGCCCCACCCACGGCCTTTGCGAATCTTCTCCGATCGATCAACTCTGATCATCATTATCGACTTAATCACCATTGCTAAACTTAAACCAAACAAAAACAAATCTCGAGTTTTCAATTGAGGAATTTGTACACAAAAAAAATGGAAACCCGTACTTAATCCTCCATTACTACCCAGAATTGTTTAATCCCAAAAAGTAAAAGAAATACAGTAAAAAAAAAGATTAAAAAAAAAAAGAAAAAGAAAAAGAAAGCGAGAGAGAGAGAAGAAAAGGTAAAGTAGGAAAAGGCTTTTATTGGTTTTCGATGGTGTTTGCCTTGTGCCGCGGTTTTAGAATAAGTACAACAGTACCACCGCTCAGAGGAGGAAGAAGACCTAGTCGGCGGTGGCCGGAGACGCGCGAGGCGGTGGCTCTACTTTTGTTCCTTCTGTTGTTGATGATTGACTTATTCCCCTCCCTCGCTGATGGTCGTCGGAAGGGGGGTTGGATCTTCACCGTTTTTGCGGAGGCCGGTGGCGGTGGCGGTGGAGGTGGTGGGTTTTGGGGGTCTTCATCCATCCCGGCTTCTAATGTTGGTATAGCCATCGTCGTGACGGCCATGGCCGGTCTCGCCTTGGCCGCCACCGTGGTCTACTCTCGTAGGTAAAGAAAAACAAAGAACAGTTCCTCTTCATTTCTTGCTTCTATTGATGATTTAGGTGGAAAATGTTATAATGGTTGGGTATAGATTAGATTTTTTTTAAGTAAGAAAAATCAAAGAAAAAGGGTTGGGTGAAAGATTGGGGGTTTCACTAACTAGTTGGGGTTAGTAGAGAGTTGTGGTATAGGTTAGTTGTAGGGATTTCGATGTTGATGATGCAAGATAAACCTTTGATGAAGGCACTGAGACGGAGCCAGACTTCGTTTTGGTCGAATAGTCCTTCCTCTTCTTCTTCTTCAAGGCCGTCCTGGATTCATTTGAGATCGGTTTTATTAGTGGTTGCTTCCACCACCACCATCACCACCACATCATCCACCTCCTCACCAGTTCCTACTGATCGGTGAGTTACCAGAGTCTCCTTTTTTCTCCTCCTTGAACCCTTTGCTTCCCAGTATCTTTACATTCCTTCCTACTGAGCTTTTCTGTCATCGCTAGAGAATTTTTTGCTTATTCAAATCTAGCTGAGAGAATCATTCCCAACCTTGCATCTTTGAGAACCTAATCAATTGTTGAGGAATTCTCAACTGCTCCCAGTTTTTCTTTGTAGGTAGAATCTACCTAGTGAATGGTTTTCTTCGTATGTTACCCGTTTTTCAAAATGAAATCTGGATCAGTATTTTTAAAATTCCGATTGGTTAGTTTACTGTTTAGGATAGATTTCAGCTTTCTTGCTTCGCAGATAGTGTTTTATTTTGTGAGATTGCAGTTTTTTTCTTATGTATAGTGCTTGTATTTGATGTGGAATGGTTTGGTGCTTTGTAGGGGAAGTCTTAAATCACCATGGTCCAGGAGGAGAAGGAAACATGCCCTGCTACCAAAACAGTGGAAGACTTATTTTGATGCAGAGGGGAGGCTAATTGATGGAGGTGTCAAGTTTTTGAAGAAAGCAAGGAGTGGGGTATGTTATGGACATGCTTTACATCTGAGGAATTAGTTCTGCTCATTTGCAAATTGTAAATGTCCAACCTTTGCACTAAAGTTTAGTCTAACTTGAGTTTCACACTATTATTTGAGCAGGGTGTTGATCCCAGCATACGGGCTGAGGTTTGGCCTTTCCTTCTTGGAGTGTAAGTACTTTGCTGTCTCTTTGCGTTGTTTTGTTACTTTGCTATAGTTTTCATCATTTCGTGCCTGTCTCTTCACTCTCTTGAGTTTTAGTTTATTAACTGGGTGACCCGAGATTTTGGTTCGACTAATGGTTTTGTTTTTTCATTGGATAAGTGTCTTTAATGCCATCTTGTGAGAAGCAACTGCCTCATTGAGACATTTTACATGGCTAAATCTAGGCGTGAAGTTTTCATTCCACGTTTAAGTTCTTCTGCGTGTGTTAACTTGAAATATTCTATATAATTAACCAGACATCTTTTCATGTTTCAGGTATGATTTGAAGTCTACAAAGGAAGAAAGAGACTCTATTAACTCTCAGAAGAGGTACCTTTCTTATAACTTTTATAATGTTTAACTTCTCTCTGTGAAGAGTGTTTAATGATCTTCTGATGCCGCAACAAGATATGTAAACGCCTTTTCTGAGACAGTCAGTTGCCATCAATAAATTTTGAATTATTTATATTGCTGTACCTGTGAAATGTTTCAGAAAAGAATATGAAAGCTTGCGAAGACAGTGCCAAGAGCTTCTAAGAAACAGCGAAGAGAGCTCGAAGTCGGAGGAATCTGGAATCTATGGCAATGAGGACTCCGGTGATGTAACTCAAGTTTTGCATTCTCCTGGCCCTGAGGATGTTGTTAGTGCTCAAAATTCTGACTCTGACAAGGAAGTGGGCCCAAGAGACAAGGAGGGAAAAGTGAAAACAGATGATGGTCTTTTGGAGAAGGATAACACATTGTTGGATCAGGTCAGCAAGAGTGGAATTACTACCGAGAATTCCTGTGAACCGGAAACGGGCGAGGAAGTGGTTAGTCCTCGGAATCCTGACTCTGTTGAGGAAGTGGGTCCAACAGACGAGGAGGGAAATGAAAACATAAACAATGCTGGTTTGGAGACGGATAATACACTATTGAATCAGGACAACAAGAGTGGAATCACCACGGAGAATGCCTATCAACCGGAAACTGAGTCATCTGATTCTGATTCTTCTGAAGAGCCTGATGAGACACAGCCTTTCATTCCTCGGGAAGGAACAGAAAGCAATGATCTCAATGAGGTATCTGAATCTGACCGTCCTCGGTCAGATGGTAACTTAAGATCTTCTACTTCAGAAGACTTCAATACCTGGCAGAGGATCATTCGTGTTGATGCTATTCGGGCTAATGGTGAATGGGTTATTTATTCACCTTCACAGGCCTCTGTTTCTGAGATAAAGGCGCGGGAACTGGCGGAGAGTGTTGGATTGAAGGATTATGAACATTTGGAACCTTGTAGGATTTATCATGCTGCCCGCCTTGTTGCCATCCTTGAAGCCTATGCATTGTATGATTCTGAGATTGGATATTGCCAGGGGATGAGTGATTTGCTCTCTCCCATCATCGCGGTGATGGAGGAGGATCATGAGGCCTTCTGGTGCTTTGTTGGTTTTATGCAAAAAGCTCGGCATAACTTCCGTCTCGATGAGGTGGGTATCCGCAGACAGTTGAACATGGTTTCAAAAATAATAAAAAGTAAGGACTCCCACCTATACAGGCATTTGGAGAAGCTCCAAGCAGAGGACTGTTTTTTCGTGTACCGGATGGTGGTAGTTCTGTTCAGACGGGAGTTGGATTTCGATCAGACTCTTTGCCTATGGGAAGTCATGTGGGCGGATCAGGCAGCAATTAGGGCTGGAATTGCAAAGTCGACTTGGGGAAGACTGAGGTTGAGGGCTCCTCCAACAGAAGATCTCCTGCTTTACGCCATAGCAGCTTGTGTTCTGCAAAGGAGGAAGCTGATCATAGAGAAGTACTGCAGCATGGATGAAATCATGAGGGAATGCAATAGCATGGCTGGACATTTGGATGTTTGGAAGCTTTTAGACGACGCCCATGACTTAGTGGTAACTCTTCACGACAAGATCTAGTGGGAAAAACCCTTGGCACGCCTGCCTTAAATTATTCGCTACATTGTTAATCTCCCATGTTTCTTTAGTTCCAAAGTTCAACCCCATTCAGCCTTGTTGTGTCGTTTAATCCCTCAGCATCTAAAGTGGTCTCTCACAAATCCGTTCAAAAGTTTGTAACATGTTTATTCTTCTTGTTTTCTTTTTCCCTTTGTAAAATTGTCTGTACTGAGGAAAACATGATGTTTGTGCATTGCCCGCACTCTAAGACTGACTTTTAAAGTGTGAAGTGGCGAAATATGCAAAATTTCAGTTCATTTGACTATCAATGAGTTATCTGAGGTACATTCCCATTTACAATGCAGCCTAGATCCGTAGACAGTTTAGTGCATTTTTATGTCACCAGCATTCTTGTTTGTGTTTTTCAATTTATGCCAAGGGGATTGATGTTTATCGTATGAACTGAAATGAAACAACGAAACGCTCAACTCATAACACTTGGTAAAATAACGAAAGGAACTCATATGATCCCTTTTTGATGAAGCCTCATAGGATCTTCATTGATTGATGAACTCATAGCCTCATAGGATCTTCATTTATCTGGAAGTTATCTGTCTTTTGTTATCTGTTTGACTAGGACAGAGGAGTTACTTTTAATCTTAAAAAATAGTCTATAGTGAGTTTTGAGTCTTGTGCGACGAGACAATACTTGTAGGCATAGAAGCCACTACTCAATTTGCTCCAATTATTCGAGAGAAAAATTGCAATTATTTTGTAGTGACATCAGTTATTTATCCGAATACTTTACTACTCATCTAGCCTCAATTGATTGAAGAACACCAAGAAATTAATGAAATTCGGGGGTGTGTGTGTCTTTAAATGTATTGCTTTTGAACCTCCTTACAGCTCTAGACAAATCTAGTGGAAAATAAAGAGATCAATTATAGTATTTTGAACGCCTGCCATGAGAATCAACTGAGGAGAAAGCCGCAACACTGAAGGGGAAATTGTTAGCCGAAACCCTTCTTTCCAAGCAAGAAAAGAAGTGTCGGAAGCAGCTGGGAACCTAGGATGAATTTAGCTAGGCATTCTATTTTGTTATCATCACTGATGGGATTACATACACAAAAAACATAATCAACGAAAATCAGCATGATCAACTTACTCCACCGCACCAAAACCGACTCCAAAGAGAGATAAGGCCCCTCGAGCCACTCTCTTCATCTATTCCACTGTCGTATCTTGATTGGACTGCATTTTTTTTTTCTTTCTTTTGCCCCAAACGAATCTAGCAATTTGTCATTGTGATACTCTTTGTTTCATGTGCTTATCGGTTCCTCAAGTGTTGTCTTATTTCTTTCTTGCGAGTAAACTGTATGTGTAGACCGGCTTACTTCACAGAGAAAAAAAAAAGGAAAAAAAAAAAAGAAAAGAAAAACACATTGCGGAATTTTTCTTCTCAATATAGGTTCAACTAATTTCCGGCTTATATGCAATAGCCTTTTCTTTTCATAGGCATATATTTATATAATTGAGTTTGCAAATCTTGCAGCTTTTGTTGACAACATTTACTAATGCTTGTACATGTTCTTTTTCGGGCTCTCTTTCAGAAATTGCTTAAACCACTTGGTCTTGATAGGCCTATCTCCGTTAAGCCTCTTGAGACCTGCGACAGCTACTTGTGGGCCACGTACTTTGTAGCAGCCATGTTGACTTCCTCAATAGTTGTTGTCACCCCATCGGTGGAAAACATCCTAAACTAGAAAGCAGCACACTATTTATGGAGGTCCTCTCTCGAGATATGAAGATTCGTGAAGGCCTTCAACTTCTCGTTCAACACATCATACTTAGCTTGCACAGAGGCTAACTCTTGCTCCTTGGCTTGTATTTGCTGACTCTTCTCCTCGAGTGCAACCTTCTCGACAAGCACTTGATCTCTCTCAGCTCGAGCTTGCACCAACTCCTCCGTCAGTTTCCTTAGGTGCATCAAGTAAGCCATCGAGGCCGCACTCATCTACAAAAGTTGACGGGATAAAGTGAATTTTGCCTATTCTGAATCTACAAAAGTATTCACCAACTACTTTCAAACACTTATCAGCCTCACGTTGTCGGTCTCGTTTGGTTGAGTAGCAAATTCTTCCAGGATGGGGCACTCGATAGTTGGAGGGTCGCCAAACGTATGAACCGCTACAGTCGGTCCTCCCTCGAACATATGAGGAGGCAATATTACTGCCTCTGCCTCGAGAGGGTTCTTGCCTTTGTCTGCAACGGGAGCCACACTGCTTGGCCCAGATTCCACGGGTGGAACATGAGTCTCCTTGGTGATTCGGGACATAGTTTTCTTTTGCTGTCGGGCGCGTCTCAACCCTTGTTTTCTTGTTCTTTTTCTTCTCGAGACCTTTCACAATCCTCTTCTTTTTCTTCTTTTGAACAGGACCTGCAGTGACTGTGACCTCTTCATCTGAATTTACAATAGGAAAGGGGTCTTCATCACCAAACAGTCGAGAACCAGCATTGCTCGATGACATGACCTAAAAACAGGAAAAGCAATAAAAGAGATTAGTACATTTTTCTTCCTGTACAAGAATGATAGTATCTTTGCCCTCCTCGATAGGGACATTCGTATTTTTTTCTTTCTCGACATGCACGGGGGGAATGTAATACTGCACATTACTCCATTTAACAACCTTGGATTACTTTAGGATTTTCTTCAAATCGTCGTCGAATTCCTCGATGCTATCGTCATTCTCCTTAGTCCACTCATCCTTTATCACCCCGAGACCTTCTACTTCTCGGTGGTTCCAAGCACACAGTATTTTTCCGAAGCCTTCACAAAAAGGAATTCAGGCTTCCATTCAGGTGAACCGCCGTATGCCTCGACTATCTTCTTGACACCGGGTCTAAGGCGTCTCTTGACAATGTACCAATCTTGGAATGATGTCGAGGGAATGACAACTTAGAAGAGGTATCTTTACAAAATTAGTTGGGGCTTCACCTTTACTCGTTGACATATTTTCGCGAACCCGAGAACAAAGGTTATCAAATTCTGTGTAAAACGAGTAAGGGGGGTTTTATAGTGTTCGACAATCTCCTCAAACAAAGGTAAAAGGGGAATCTTAGCCCGAGATGCATAAAGCGGTCATATACATTGATTCTTCCCTCAATAGGAGAATTAGCCCTCTCGATTCCTAATGGGGCTCTAGTTTCTAGATCTAGGGGCAGGTCATATCTTGTTTTTACACGTTTACCTTCTCATCAGAATCTATGGTGGAAGCAAAGTCATCGACAATTTTTAAATCTGGGTTCCTAGCCATATCTACCACAGTATTTCATATCTAAATCAGAACTGGAATTCTAAAGGAATTGGAAAGTAAGGGTGAGTTGGAAAGACTTACTATTGGAAAAGACCACTCGCATTTCGAGTTGTAACCTCCTAGGATGGTGATAATCTTCGGCGAGTCTTACAAATGATATGACAGCAACAGCAACTATGCAGGGGCAATTAAGGGATTCAACAAACCCTTGGATTGAGCTCTTGATGTGGTTTCTTTAAACTTCAAAAGCTTTCGCCGTCGAAGATGTTACTGGAATTGAGGATTCCGGCGACAATAACAAAGTATGGCTTTGGAAGAGTTTTCAAGGAGACATAATGATATGAAGCCGTCGTTTGGGAGACGTGCAGAGTAATGGACGTGTCTGCTTCTGTGTCGAGTCACCTTCCCGGATCGGATCCTGACCCGCGAATTACCACATCAGGCTTGCTCGACGTAATGTGGCCGAGACTTCTTCATTCAACTTGGGCCGTGTCCAAGTATCATTTATTTTATGTCAAGCATTGTTTATTTTATACAACTAATACTTGACATGGCCACTTGACGAGTCCATATCCACCGAGAGTTATTGGACCGGCCCATCCTGTTTGTTATGGTCCAACCGAACTTACAGAGGCGGTTCTGGAACATAAGACCTAATAGGATTCGGCATCCTTCAAGGTAACTCCATGTCTATAAATAGGGTTGATCACACCACAGTACGAGTACGCTATCTCTAACACAAACTATTACTCACATAGGTTCATATAATCTTTTTTCTAACTTAAACATCGGAATGTCTACCTTCGAGAGACCCCCGAAGCTCTCTTTTGCAGGAAACCCTAACCGGAGTTCCACTACTAAGCTAGCGGAGTAAATCCAGACTTTGTCATCAACAGGCAAACTGGTGATGATCAAAATTACTGCTATATGATTTCAATGACTTCCTTTATCCAACAATACAACTTGATACTGGTTCCGAAACTGATCGTAAGAAATCCATCTAATGAACATATTATATAGCAAGATTATATTTTCACCGTCACGAGCCATAACTTCATCTAATTAATACCAAATCATATATAAGAGAAATGATGATTAGTGCCCACTATTTGTCAAACATGTAGCTTGGTTGTTCCTAGTTCGAGCATTTTGTCAAACATGTAGCTTACGTTCAACGTACAGAATTTCTTAGTGATCCCTATCCTGCAATGTTGAAATTGTCCAAAAAAAAAAAAAACACCAATTATAATCTAATGGCAAAAAATCATCTCTTCAATCACTATTCAGTGTGAATGCTCAATTATTCTACTTCAATATGCAGCAATTTCATACAAAAAGGACTAATTTGTTAGACTAATTTTGATTAGATCTTATCTAATCAACTTTAAATGTGCCTGAATTGACTATTGATGATGGAATGGATATTACTGATTTCATCGTTTCTGAAGGTTCTATGCATGTCCTTTCATTGAATCCTGTTAAACAAACTATTGTGATCATAGGCAGAATAAATAGAAGAATTGTTAGAAATCTAATTGACACTGAGAATAATGATAGTTTTATGGAGCTTAAGGTAGTTATGGAGTTACGATTACATTAGGAAGATTAAATTTCATGGAAGTTTACCAAAATCTGTTAAAAACATACATTTTGGTCCATTTCCATCAATTTTCTCAAATTTCTGTTAAAAAAATTTAAATTGACGATACAAGAATTTGTGCTGATTAATTTTATTGAAGAAAATTTTATAATGACAGACACGAGTACCCCAAATTTCGGAGAATAATATTGGTTTTACCTATTAATAATTACTCTCTCCCGTCCTTAATACAAGGTCATTTTGATTTGTCATATGTTTCACCTAATATGCATTTTAAATTATAAAAATATATTTTTATATTTATTGTGTTCTCCTATTTATTAAAAAATATTTTAAAGATATTTTTCTAATAAAAATACATATTATGTAAAATATAACACAAATCAAAATATCTTATATTAAAAGCGGAGGGAGTATAATAATTTCTCTAATACAGTACTAGCAACTTTTCAATCCTGCTCATTGTTACGCTAAATTCACTTCCGGAGTTTTCAGTTATAGTGAAATCAAAAGTATCAAACACTCAACAATACCATTTTAGCAAATACTACTGTAGTATAATACCGTAAAACAAATCCATAAAAAACAGATCTAAATTTCGACTAGCAAGCAAACACAACTGAAGGAAAATCCCTTTTGATCATGTCCTCCAATTCTGAAGCCTCCCCCATGGAAACTGTTTCTCCATCCGAACCCGAATCAACACCACCGCCACCGCCAGCATCAGCAGAAGTAGCTCCGGCCGCCGATGATCCGGATTCTAACAATGAAACCCACGATGATTCTTCCAATGCCCAGCAGCAATCCAGTGAGATTCAGGCGGTAGAAGAATCAGACCCCATCACGGACGCGCACCCGATCCAGTCCAATGGCGATTCGGATCGCTCGACGCATGAAACCAATGATGATTCTCGGGTCGAGGGCAACTCCAAACAACTAAGTAAAGGGGAAGAAGGCAGCCGGACGTTTACGATGAGGGAATTGTTGAACGAACTGAAGAATGGTGAGGTAAACAATAATGTAGATTCATCAGATGCAACCCACCAAAATCATGCTGAAGAAACGGGCACCCCCTACAGGTTTTGCTGCACTGCCCCTTTTATTCTTTTATTACATACAAACTGAATGTTTCCCACCTTTTGTTGAAGCTCAATTGGGTTTGAAGTAGTAAAGTTGAGTGTTCGTCCAAATAAATAATAGGCAATCTTGAATGGTTTGACGCTTTAGTTGTTTATTCTCAATTATGGGGAATGGGATGAGGATTGAATGGAATTCTGATGATTTTGAGCTTCATTTTTTAAATTTCTGGGGTGGTGATTTCAACTGCCTGGATGAGTCTTCCTAAAAGATGAAATTATTAAACTTTTTGAAGCTGAAGTTTTTCTTGTGTATTATTAATGATCTGTCCGATAGGGTGAAATTCTGGGGTTTAATTTCATATCATAGTGTAGTTGCAAATTGCCCCTTTTCTTGATTTTTTCGTGAAAAGATGCATTCTTGAATTTACTAGGTGGTATTCATTCTGATGAAATAATACAAGAATAGGATGCAATTCTGATGAGTTTTGGAGGTGGAATTTCATTCTGCGCTGGACTTCAGCTTCTTTTTTTTTGAGTTTTACACCTTCACCTCATTGACCGGAATAATGGTTCCATGCATTTAGGGTAGAATTTTTAATTTGAATGCAGATGATTGTTTCCTCGCTAAAGATACAGTCTTGACGCTAATTTCAGATTTCCTTGCTTTTAGTTTCATGAACTGTTCTTCTTATTAATTTTGATGGCTCTAGAGTAATGGGATGAGAACATGATGAAGTGCTTATGGTTCTATGGTTGGATTTCATTCTATATCAGTCTTGAACTCATTTGGTCTGTTTTTCATTCCTCTTACAATTGGGTTTTCTGTTCCAGCCAAACCAGTTCACATCAAATGTCTGAGCAGAATAATGCTGCCATGGAATTGCTTGACAGTGTAACTGGTGCTGATGAAGAGGGTCGATCACGCCAACGGATTCTCACTTTTGCAGCCAAGAGGTATCTGCACATTGTTTCAACTCACTTTTTAAAAGATGTCAAAAGTAGAAATTTCAAATTCAGCTTCATTTTGCCCTGCAAAAAAATAAAAATTGCAAGTTCACCAGTAAATTGTTTTCTGCCTTTTTGTTGTGAACTTGAATAATGTTGCCACACCAATTTGTTTTTTATGAAAGAAAAATGAAAGCACTTTTGTTCACCAACAGGTATGCTAGTGCTTTAGAGATCAATCCAGATGACTATGACGCACTCTACAATTGGGCTTTGGTGCTTCAGGTCTGATCTGCATCATTATGCAAGTACTTTTTAACAATTTTTTTTGGTACAGATGCATAAGCAGTCTTTAGATTAGAAGATACTCCTCACTTTTAATTACACAATATGACGAAATATTCAGAAATATTGGTGGTGTCATGCAGGAAAGTGCAGACAATGTAAGCCCGGATTCAGTCTCACCTTCCAAAGATGCATTACTTGAAGAGGCATGCAAAAAGTATGAGGCAGCCACTCAACATTGCCCTACGCTTAATGATGTACGTATTCTACTTTTTTACCTTTTTAAAATTTTTCCTTTCCCTTTGTGTCTCAAGGCTGTTGTAGTCTATTCATCAAAATGATGCTTTGGAACTGTGATAAAGTTCTTGAACTTTTAGAAATCACCAAGGCTCTGTTTGGAACATTTTTTCATTATGTGTTTTTGTTTTTTGGTGGAGGATATAAAAAGGTTTATTCAGAATGTAAAACATTGTGCTGGAATGGTAAATATATTAAACAAAAGTTTCGAAAAACCCCTAAAAAAACCTAGCAAATATATTAAACAAGCAGAGTTCGTTTCTCAGTTGGGTATATTGTTTAGTTTGATGAGTTCTACTTCATTTCTGGAATCTAAAGTTATGATTGCCTTCATTTTTAATATCAGGCATACTATAATTGGGCTATAGCAATCTCTGACAGAGCAAAAATCCGTGGTCGTACAAAGGAAGCTGAAGAGCTTTGGAAACAGGTTCCACATCTTCATACTGGCCTCCAGTCTAATATTCCTTCTGTGCTCCATGAACTCTCGTTCCGTCTGCTTGTTGCTAATATTTGCTGATCATGAGTACCCTTTATGAGAGAATATTTGAACCTCCTTTCTCTGTGCTGACCTCTATTTTCATGCAGGCAACTAAGAATTATGAAAAGGCTGTTCAACTCAACTGGAATAGTCCTCAGGTAAGGTTTATCCACCTTATCTTCAAAATGGTCTTGTTCCTTGTTAGCTTTAGAAGCCTTTAATTCTTATTGCAGTCTTACAGCTCAATGTTTTACCACACTTCATATGTCACTTTTCTCGTGATAATCTTTTGGTTTTTGTATTCTCTTCACTTATCTCAATTCAGGATGCACAATATGCAAATACTGCTATATCATGTCTGTAATCTTTTTAGTGAATTTCTTTCTCTCTCTCTTTTTTTTTGGGGGTGCGGCCTTGGTTTATGCAAAGATATGATCTCCATTTCATTTATGCTTCTCAACTCATCTGATGCTCTGCCTCTCTATGTTGTTTCTTTTTTATGTACCTCGAATCTTGCAATTAATAGGATGTTTTTCTAACTGGGTAAATTCTTTTTACAGGCACTCAACAACTGGGGACTTGCTCTGCAGGTGCTTAAGTCTTCCTACTGAAGCATTTCCTCCCCCCTTTCTATTTAACATACTATATATTGAACTTAATATTTATCAGTTAGATGTTAAATCTTTGATTTTGATTAGCCCTTCAACCTGTCTTTCAGGAATTAAGTACCATTGTCCCTGCACGGGAAAAACAAAAGATAGTGAAAACTGCTATTAGTAAGGTAACAATTACCATTATTATGAACAAAAGGTTCAATGGAGCCATTTTGAGTGTTAAAAACATTTTTTACTTTTGACCACTTTCTGCCATGGTTGTTTGAAACCTGTATTTTTTTTATTTATTTTTTCTTTCTTTTTTTTTTTGGGTTAACAAAACCTGTAATTTTCCTGTGATGCAGTTTCGTGCAGCTATACAGTTGCAATTTGACTTCCATAGGGCAATTTACAACCTCGGCACTGTTCTGGTTGGTTTTCTTTTTTTGTTCTGTACTGTGATTAATTTTGTATTCAAAAGGACCAAAATTTGGATTGATTTCATTATATGAATGATTTTGGCAGTATGGATTAGCAGAAGATATGTCAAGAACAGGAGGACCAATATCTGCAAAAGAGATTTCCCCCAATGAGTTGTACAGCTTGTCGGCTATCTATATTGCAGCTGCACATGCACTAAAGCCTAGCCACTCGGTATGCTAATTTTGACGCTGCAATTATTTTTCAAAAACTGTTCCTGGTTTCCGTTTTCCACCATATCCTCATTTGTCCACAGTAAAAGTCCATTCATAGTTCATTGTAGAAACTTCTGTTGTTGTTTCCTGTCAGTTCTCCTCTGTTTTTGCTTGGGCTATTTAATACAAGTTGGTCGCAAAGACGTGTTACCCAGCTTCGCTCACTTTAACCTATCCCTTTTCTGTTCTTTTTTCTTAGAATAATATAAGGGGAGAACATAGATAAAGGGTTCGAAAAGGGAAATATACAGTTGAAGTGGATTCCTTTGTTCTGATTTTGAGCCATTAACCTGGACTGGCAAAGTCGTAATGTGCTTTTCTGGATTCTTTCTTTTTGATTTGCTGAAGTCTCATTGCTTTGTGCTATACAGGTATATACTAGTGCTTTGAAGCTTGTTCGGTCCATGGTAAGTATGTCTACTTTATAGTCCTTTTGTGAGTATTGATTTTGTGCTGGGTTAGGTAGTTACTTTTTCCAGGACAGTGTGGAGATGGACTCTTAGTGACCTAAATATCATTTATTAATAGCTTTTAAGTTTTGATTTATTTTAAGATTTATCCATCATAACATCCAGATGATGATTATTTTTCAAGGGAGAAACTTCATAATTTATTTCTTTTTTCTCTTATAATCTTCATCTACTGATGTTCTCTGCCAAATCTTGCACATTTAAACTTATCATACCTCCTATGATTAGTAATACCATGCCATAGTGGCTTTGAGGGGGTGGGGAAAGAAAACTTGGGATGAAGTTCTCTTTAGGTTTGTGGAGCTAAGACCAACCACATTTTGGCTCCCCTTCATATATCCTTTTCCTGACTATGTCTGAATTTTGCAGTTACCTCTTCCCTATCTGAAGGTGGGATATCTGACTGCCCCTCCTGCCGGAAATCCATTTGCTCCTCATAACAATTGGAAGCGCTCTCAGTTTGTTCTAAACCACGAAGGCCTTCAACAGGTAAAATATCGTCTTCATTTTTATATTGGTGAATCGCAAAGGTTATCACAAACTTGCTTCCTTATTGAGAAAATTCATATCAAAATATATGTTTATTGAAAATGCTTTTAGACCAAAAAAAACCTGTCTGAAAGAGTTCCTTCTCAAATTTAGGTGTTAAGTTTCTTGCTTGCCGTTCTTGTAGAGACTTATTGCCTTGGACTAGAATTTGGTTTTCTATGCATAAATAGGTTGATTATACCATTCCCATGAGCTTTTTTGAAACCTTCTGATCAGCCCCAAGGTTTGAGAAAGAGAAAGAGAAACTACCCAATGACCCTACTGATTGGAAAGTCAACTACCACTTATAACAGCTTTAGTGCTGGAAGTGGCAAAAATTTTGATGCAACTTGTGAGCATAAATTTGCTTTGGAAGACAATATTACCACTGTGAGGCTTCTCTCAATGATGGTTGGCTTTTGGGTCTTTTTACAAATTATGGTTGGCTTTTTAGTGTTTCATAAATTTTTACAGTTGACTTTCTTTATCGGTATTTTCTATGAAACTGAAACAGCAAAATGGTAGTTTGTGGAAACCTCTGGGGAGAATGATGTATACAACCCATTATACTTTTGTTTGTCGTGTATTCTAATAATTGTTTATGCAGATTATCAAAGCTGACCAAAGACAAAGCCTGTCATCATCGGGAGATTCCATGAGCTCCTCTAGTAAACCAGCAATAAGAGTCGACGTTCAAGACATTACCTCTGTGTCAGCGTGTGCTGATCTTACATTACCACCTGGAGCTGGACTCTGCATCGATACAATTCATGGACCGGTTTACTTGGTAAAGTGTTTCATTTGATTTTCGCACATTACCTATTTCTGATGGCTAAAAGAGTGATTTTCGGGCATTACCTATTTCTAATGGTTAAAAGATATCTTTATGCTGTCTGTGGAGAGCTGCCATGCAGTTTGTTTAGATTGTGACAGTTTCCCTGTTATGGAGTTAAGACAATCAGTTGACCTGTTTGATTCTTAAGAAGAAGACTTGTAATGTTTCTTTTGGGGAGTTGATGACTTAGTCAAAAGCCTGGCCTAATTCTTGTCGCAGATTGCTGATTCTTGGGAATATTTGGATGGATGGCTTGACGCGATTCGATTAGTCTACACCATCTTTGCAAGGCGGAAGAGCGATGTTTTGGCTGGTATTATTACTGGCTGATTGACATAGACTTGTAAGTTAATAGATTATGAAATGCTCCAAATATGTTTTTACTTTTTTTGACACACGTGACCATGTATCATTCTGTATATTGTCACCGATGCGGGTTCATAGACTTTTTTCTTTTGGAAACTAGAATTATTCTTGCATCCGCCCCCATTTTTTTGTGTTCCTCAATCATCTGAAATGTAGCCCTCCTTTGCAGAAATCCATCCTGCATTTTGTTGGTTCTATGTACATTTTTGGTTCTGAATATTGTTTTAGAAGGAATTAAAAATCACCGCTTCTGTGTTCCCAGCAGTATTTTGCATTTGCTCTGCATTTCTTTTACCTGCTATCGCTTTTGAGGTCTCAGATTTCGGGGAAGGCTTTTTTATTTGGCTCCTGATATCCTACTTTAATTCTCAAATCGAGGTAGCAGTTTGTGATGCTACACGAAACCATGCTATAACATCAATACAAGACCTGACAATGTTTACAACGATTCAATAAGAACTAAACCAAAATATTATGAGTAACACAAATACATTCAAATGTTAAACTTCCGTAACATTGAGACCCACTGTTGGTTCTCAACTTGTGAACTCAAAATATACTAATACAACCTAATTGTCATAGTTACCACTGGTGGTTTAAAAGAACTCAATTCACCGTTGGGACATGTTTTCTCAGGTCGGAAGTTGAAATCCGACTGAAAATTATGGAACGTTCTCCTAAGGTTGTCTGACCGGTGGATGAAATGGGATCCTAAACTATGGTAATGTGGTTTTATTGAAAGGATTACTGAACTGAATACGTGACATTTTGTTGAAAAACAATACGTAATGGAACCTCCTTGCGGATCAAATATATGAACAAAAAGAAGTCTGTGTTTTTTTTGTTTGGAAAACCAGAGATGAGTGTTTTACTGTTCCTAAGAAGCCAGGAATTTCATGCAAATAGGTGGTTTAACTTTAGCCAAGGCAAGAATTGATGCAGGAAGCGTCCATAGCCCTTCACCACATATCAATCCAGAAGCAATTGCTGGAACCAGTAGCTCTGCCTTGTTGGTCTTTAATCTGTCCAACACAAACACCACCACTGATCCAATGCACATGTCTATGGCAACGTAAGCCCCAACCAAGAAAGGCAGTGCCATGGCTGTTGGCACCGGCATCCATTTCCCAAACCTTGCGGGTGATAGATCCTTCACAATGTTAATCCCGGCCCCAAAGACGAAGAACCCATAGCATAGATGGAGGCAGTGCCGGGGAAGTGCCGAAAACCCTTCCACACCAAGAACCGCCATGTTTCTGTAGATAATGGCGTACGGCGCCTTGTACTCACCATTAGGGTTCCCAATGTCAAATGCCTTGTAGAACAAGAAGAAGCTAAGGGGCGCAACAATGCAGCCGAGAACTGTGCCAATCGCCTGGCTGATTAGCATTGCCCTAGGGGATGCATAGGTCAGATGGCCTGTTTTGAAATCTTGCATTAAGGTAAAAGAAACAGCAATGATCGACTTGATCAGGCCAGCACCGGCCAATCCTGCCACAACGCCATGCTCTTTTCCGGAAAGTGCAGCAATGATAAAAAGCCCTACTTTTCCATAGTTATAGGCCATATTTATGTCAGTCAAACCAGCTCCATAGGCATTGCAAAAGGCTAGGGATGGAGCAAAAATGTAAGCCACCACAATGTAGTACCATTTGAGTTGAGGAAAGATGGTGGGAATAGCAAAAGTTGAAATGATTGCCATGGCAATGTAGCCACATGGAGCTATCCACAGGGGAAAGCTTTCCCTCAAGAACACCTCATCTTGCTTCGGATCATGGTTGATCGCTTTGTTTTCATCAGGGTTCCCTATATATATGATGGAGAACTTTTAGGTTGTTTGGTAACTGATCATCCGGTCTCTTCATTCAAAATTATGCATCAAACCTATAATTACAATATTTCAGTGTAGAACTTTTCACCTGAAGAGGCGAGTCTTCTGTCTCTGAGCTTGGCATACATGCTAGTGAGCGTGATGCAAGTGATCTTGATGAAATTGTAGAGGCCATCACCTAGGAGAAGGGCAATGGGGATGAAGACCTTATAACCATTTAGGCTTCTCATGCTACTTTCTGGCATGTTTTCTGGATACCAATCTCCTTTTTCCTTCCTTATCAATGGGTACATAATTCCCCAAGAAAGAATAGCTCCCAGTAGCATGGATATGTTGACAATGTGTGGACATATCATCCCAGTTCCCACATACGTCAAGCTAAAATCGAAGTAGAATCTGCATTAGGAGAAAGAAGATAGTTCAATGTTAAGTCTTATGTTAGCTTTCCCCCAAAAATAAACTACCATAATCTAAATTCGAATCAATAACCTTAACCATACATAATTGAGAACTCTATATAATACGTACGTTTGTTTTTGAGCTTGTAATCCAAATGTGGGAAACTGAGAGAATCCACACTCTCCTTGGCCAGAATAAAACCACTGGAAAAATCCCCATATGAAGCTCAAAGAAAAATACTTAGTAAAACTTTTTACTTGCTTCCTGCAATATCACAAAAACTGTGTGTAAATTAATTTAGAAATGTAATCATCAATCAAATTAGTAAAAAAATCAATAGTAATTAACAGTCTAATTATGTAATTAGTACTTGGCCACATCGTCGCCCATAGAATGAAAGCCATTAATAAGAACTGCAGTTGCCATGCCACTTGGAAAGGTCAATTTGTAGTCCACTATCAAGATCTGCAGAGACCAATTAATTAATTCAGAAACAAACACATCGAAATTCATTGAACTGAACCCAGATGAACACTTTCTTTTCCTTTTTGGAATTTAAAAATATTTGCAGCCACAAAGCTGCAGGATATTTAACGAATTATATTCTTGCTCCCATCAAAAGTCTGAAGTTAGAAAACCAAGGACATTTTCACATATGTGTGGTCCATGCCACTGCTTTTCAAAAGAATAAATATCGAATTTAAGGATGTTACAGCGCTCTAATTTTTTCCTTTAATCGCCTTAAAAAGACATTAAAAGACTATTTAACCCTTAATTTTTATTTTTTTAAAAAAAAAAGAAGGCAAGAAAAAATTGCGCCAACCTTTCACGACTGGCGCAGGAGAAACGCGCCACCCCGCACCCCTATGCGGGGTGGCGTGGAATAATCTTGCCTCCCTTTACAGGGAAGTGAGAAAAACTTCGCCTTAGGCGAAGGGGGGTGGCACCCGTTTTGGCGCCACCTCTACTCGGTGTGGCGAGCAAAACCCTCGCCACTAACTGATGGGTGGCGCCCATCCATTTTTTTCATTTATTTAATTAATTTTTTAATGTATTTAATTAATTAATTTGTTTATTTTAATTCATTAGTTTAACTAATTTTTTTAAATTTATTTAATTCATGTACTTATTTTAGCATTTGTTTTGTAATTTAATATGTTCATATGAAATAATTTTTTTTTGTTAAATATGTGTTTAGTTTGTTGTTAGTTTTGTCGAAAAGTCTAAAGCTATTGCATATGCGAAGGGTATTGCAAATATGTACAACATGGAGTTAAATATATCCTCGCACAAGACTAGTGGTACCATATTCCTTTGTCATAAAGGAGGCCGATACCAAAGTCAACAGGTGGATGAAAACATGCGCGCCCGACCCAATATGAAGACACAGATGACCGGATGCTAGTTTCGGATTACTGTCTACAAAATATGTGATAGGTGGACGATCCGTGTATATCCCGGTCCGTGGAGAATGCACAATCATTCTTTGATAGATCCGCCTTGGGTTAGGGCGGACTGAGTTCAGAAGTGAGAGAGTTCGTTGAGGAGTATTATAAAGTTGGGACTAAGGCAGTTCACATTTTACGGATGATATGGACACAATTTTCTGATGAAAATATTACCTCCAAACAAGTCTACAACTACATAAATAAATTGCGTAAGGAGGAGTTTCCAATTCTGGATGAGATGAGTTCCACTGGGTTTTTTCTAATAAAGGTTTTAACGAGCTATTATCCTAAGAAATGGACATTCAAGGGGGAGTGTTATAAATATATTAATAATGTGGATGTCCATTAGATAGAAGAGTTATGTTAGGATTATATGTATCGAGGTAATATTTAGTTAGAAATCGTATTCGTTGATCTTATCTCTGTATCTACTTGCCTATAAATAGAGGCCAGTCACTATTGAATAAAATGCACCCGAATCCTTTCTCTCTCTCATAGTTCTTCTTCTTTGTAGTTTATATTTATTTTATGATAAATATGAAATATAAAAATATAAAATTTCAACGTATTTTATATTTTATTTTTTTATTTTAAATTTTTTCAAAAAAAATTCTCAGGACGGCTAGATGTTCCAATGATAAATAAATATTTTTTTAATTTAAATATTTAGAGAATCATAATTTTTTAGTTAGTAGTAAATGATAATTTTTCATTAATATATAAATAATTAGTGTATTTTTACTAGTTATTTATAAATAATTTTTTTGGTAGTAAATTCATAAGTTTTAGTTGTTATGAAATGTTAATTTTTTTATTTAAGTTTAAAAAATTCTAAATAATAAATTTACTATGCAAAATTAAACAACATTCTCCAAATATTTAAGTTAAAAAATTATTTATTTAAGTTAAAATTATTTATTTAACCGCCAAATAAATAAATAAATATACTTAAATAAATAAATTAAAGAATTAATTAAATAAATAAATTAAAAAATATAAATTAAAAAATAAAAAAAAGAGTGACGGCTGATTGGACCACTACCCTATCGGTTTGGCGAGCGATTTGCTCGCCAAACCGAGGGGGTTGCTCATGATTTGTGCGCCTTCCTCTTTGAGGGGCAAAAAAATTGCTCGCCACCCTAGGGTGGCGAGAAAAGTACACGTCACCCGCGAAAGGATGGCATGTTTCTCCTGCGCCAGCCGTGTGAAAGGCTGGCACAAAAATTCGACGCCCCTTCCCCTTTTTAAAATATATATATATATATATATATATATATATATACACGATGGCAAAATAATTTTTTAAAGATTTTTTAGGGCGCTCAAATGAAAAAATTAGGGCGTTCAGTAACCTTTTAATTAAAGAAATAATAATACATCTTAAAAAAGCAAAAAAAAAAAAGAGGAAATTTATTTATGAAACTCTCTTTGGACAAAAAAAAAAGCAAGAAATTGGACAATTATTTTGAAACAGATGGAAAAAAAAAATTTCCGCTTGCACAAAGAGATTAAGTCATTTATTCGTATGATCATATGCATTTCCGGAAATAAGCACTTACGCATACAGTTAGGATTTTCTCGTTATTTCTACAGTTCGCCTTAAATTCCAAAGGTATGAGAGAAAAAAAATAATAATAATAACATAATTTTAAAGAGGAGGGATTTGACCAAGAAGAAAATTTATCTATTGATGAACAACAAAGGGATCTTTTTATTTACCTTTCTGAGTGGGATTAAAACAAAAAGACCAATGAAGCAAACAAGAAAGAGATAACCAGTCATCCATCCAATCCCAGGTTCCTTATAGCTATCAGGAGGATTTCCCTCAGTGTTCACTCCTGTCTGTTCATAAGTCTTCTTGTTCAGCCCCAAAAGATAAGATCCAAATCCACCTAAAAATTTACAAAAAAGAAACAAGGGGTCAATAATCTTCATCTTCCAATGGAAAAGAAAAAACAGGATTTGCATTATTGCCAGAGCAAAAATTAGTCATCTGGGTTGCCGTTTAGGTAAAAGATATATCCTAAACAATGATATAAAAAAGCTCATTTTTTTGCTTTGATTTCCATCAATTAGTTTTTGGGTTTCCTAGCTTCTTAGTCACATGAAATATGCAAAGAAAAGGGCTCAATGATCATCATCATTCTCCTCCTCCTCTTGAGCAAGGACAAGAACAAAAAAAGGAAGGAAAAAAAATAAAAAAAGTGAATCAAATGAACCTAATGAATTAAGTTATATAGTTACCTCCCATGGCGATGCCATAACATGCAACAACACAGGTTTGGATCATGGTGTTTTCCTGCTTGGTAAAAGGAGCCGAAACGAAGCCGAGTTTTCGAACCATCTTCACCCATGTCCTAATGAAGATGAAAGCAAGGAGTGCTGCTGAAACATTGAGGTTTGGATTGATTCCAGTTGTGAGGTTCAGTTTCATTATAATCACACTGTAGATTCCACCAATGACTACACTTGCCACCATTGATCTCAATGTGATTTGCTTCCACCATGGCTGAAATGGTCGGTTTTTCGACATCTCTGCCTTTTCATTATAATCTTCCGTCTTCTCCATAATCTCTTTTTCTTCTTCTTGTTGTTGTTGATGATGATGATGATGATTAGTGTTAGTATCATCATCAAGTGAGGCATCTACTTGAGAATTAGTACTCATCATTTGCAACATCTTGATGATGATTTAATTTTGTGAAGAAAGAATTTCAGGTGGACTACCGATCTAGGTCCTCTTCTGGATATGGAAAAAATGGCCTTATTATGTGTGTATGTTATATATGTATATATAAAGGCATTGAATGTCGAGCTGGAATGATATTTATAGTGAAGAGAGTCACTTGAGTGTGTGAAAGGAGAGATACATACTTCCTTTTAGTTACTTATTGGATACTAATTAATCAATCGTGTCTCATTTCTGAAATAAGACTTATTTATTATTACTGAAATTTAGAGTTAGGTTTTTATATCAACCATCAGTTTTACAAACAAAATGATGTTGTGACACCATTCGTAATACTGTAAATCAAAATTTACTAAAATTGAGAACCCAAGTAACAGCTGAGAAAACAAATATGAAGCTTTAGACGAAATCTTACGCATGTATAAAGGTTTGATTAGGGTTAATATATGTGTATTATGTATAGATTAATGTGCTTGAACCAGAATTCTTGCAGACAAACTGACCAATACCGTAGTTTGCATATGGATGTTGTCCTAAATCCCAAGAAGAACTAGAAGTCTTCACAATCATGGCTTTGGATAAAAAAAAAAAAAAAAAAAGAAATCTCTTCAAAATATTTGACTTTTGATTAAATACTACTATTCGTACAATTGAACTGCAAGTGAATCATTAAAACAAGTCATGATAACATGAAAAAGAAAAAGATATAGGTTATGAGTTGTACGTAGTACTAGGTAACATTTAAGGTTCTTCATGTTAGGTATGTACAAAATAAGCTAAATCAACTAACAAACGAATGGGGCAAAAATTGCAACATCTACTAATCTCATTTTTGTGCATCTTTTTAATTCCTTGATCTAGTCATATATAATTAGTTCTTGTTCTAATCAACGGTACCTCACATGGAGATGGAGAAATTTAATTCTAGAAAAGTAATAATCTTGTAGTTGAAGTCGACAATGATTGGTTGAGGCAATCGTGCTTTATGCATTCGATCATTGTTTTGGATGGGAAAAAAAAAATGCATATAAAATAGGATTACTGATGAAGAATTAAAATGGGAACATGTACACTTGCTCAAATCACTAATCTTTTTTTCTACAATTAATCATAAATATTCCGATGACGAAATGTGTGGACTCAAATTGAAATAAGTGTGGGCCGTGAAGTGATGATCAAAATTCTAAAGGAAAGACTCGTATTGATTGATTTTAATGTATCAAACAAACCATGAAGACCTTATACCATTGACCCCTCGCAGGCGCTTTGAATATGACACTGCTTCAGATATTTCCCACTCCCTTAGGCTACACTGTTAATTAGAGTTGTGTTTCTAAGATGAAACCTAAAGAGAGAGAGAGAGAGATAGAATTAATTTTCCCAAAAAGAAAAATAAAATAAAAATTGTCAAATGATGATAGTTTGTTTGATTCGGAGAAATCTTTAACACTGTTTATACTGCCTCTGTCCCAAAATTATTGTCCAGTTTGAGATTTCATTTTGATACAATTTGAATTAAAAATGAAAATTCATACTGGACAATAATTATAGAACGGAGGAAGTATATATTTTTTTTTCCCATTTTATCTTACTAAATCTGGGGGAAACAGTTATTTTCTTGGTTCCTTTTAAGAAATTAAAGATTAGGAATTGGCTGATTAGCTCTGAATATAAAATTACACTCGTGTTAAATTGTATCCTACAATGGGTTGTTACATATGAAAAGTCCAAAAAGATATTTTTGGCTGCTGCTCAAATTTCTAAAGCATTACTGTTATACATTATTCATATAACCACTTGACTTTAGTCTTGTAAATTTCCACTAATTGAGAAGAAATGACAAATTTGTGCAGAAAAATTGGAGGTTGATATGCCACAAGTATGAAAACGACTTTTCAGTTTTGATAATTCCTTTTTGTCTCGCGGGTTTAATTAACAAAGCTTAAGAGGAAGGTAAATTATTATTCTTGTAATTGATTGCTTCCTCCAAAATCAAATTTTCTTCAACAGCAACAATAATAGAGTGCAGAAGTCAGATGATGCGCCTAAAATCTGGAAAAAGAAAATGGTTTTAAAGATAGTGCTGGCTAGTTATTTTGGACTCATTATTATATATAGCGTACTTGTAGTCATCTTCTTATTAGGAAAAAGAGCAAAAAAAAAAAATGTCACGCAAAAGAGTCAACTTAATGTTATCTATAACAACTTGCAAATAATGAAAGTTTCAAGTCCCCGTAATGGTACCATCAGGTCCATCATCTAGGTTGATATAAACCATCGCCTAAAAATAATTTGGCACCCAAGAAAAAAAAAATCCAAAGTAAGTGAACAACTTATTGTGCATTTGGAGTTTCAATGTCTCCTCTGTTTATGTGCAAGTATATATATATATATATATATATATATATATATATATATATACAAACATAGAGTATCTCTCTAATATATATATATATATATATATATATATATATATTAGAGATACTCTATGTTTGTATGTCTCAGTTACGCGCTTTCTTGGGCTGCAAGCTGATCTCCAGGACTGAGACTCCATGCTTGCATGTCTCTGTTACGCGTCTTCTTGGGCAACAAGCTGACCTCCGAGACTGCTTCTGGTCTCCTAACTGCAAGCCTGTATAGGCAGCACATAAAGTGCTCCTGACAGGGTTTGAACCTGAGACCTCTTCAGACCTCAAATTTTTTATATCATGTCCAGTACCACTTGGGCAACTCTTTATTGACGTTCATGTGCAAGTTTGATAAGGGAGGCTCAGATTTTAGCTCCTTTTTTTTTCCTTCTACTAATATTATTTTTTTTATAGTCAAAAAAGCAAGTGTGCAACTTGTAGCTAGTGAGCCTAGTGTATATTTTTTATTTTAATTTTAATTTATTTTTTCTTTTTGTTGCATTCTTGCCGAGAAAAGGCATAACTACTATAGTCCATCCAATTTGATAGATGCAATGAACAGAGAGAAAAACATGAAGATGAGATGCCGGAATGGACTATACAATAAAAGGTAGCCATTGAATAAAACAGCTCCATCAGTTATTGACGTTTGTCTCACGAATTAATACTAACTCCTTTTGCGTCCCACAAATATTGTCGTCTGTCTATATGCTTCCAAATAGCCAAATTCAGTACCACTAATTGACCGCAACCATGGGAAGAATTTGCATATAATTGGGAAGTTTTTGTTAGTAATGTCTACTCCTACGATCCTAAAATAATTATTTTATTTTGTTTGTTTGTATTTTTAGAACCGAGAGACTATAGTTAGAAGATAAATTGTAACAAAAAACGAGAATAAAAAAAGGGTAGTTGATGAAATTCTCACACTCAAAATGGAAACATGCCCACTCACTCAAATGCACATCATGTACAATACTTTCACAAAATTCTTCTTCTCCTAGCCCGAGCTCCGAACCTTATGGCTTATAGTGAGAAAGTATCTCTTCAGACCTAATTATTAATTAATTCCTCCTTTTTTTTTTTCCAACTAAAAGGGAAACAAATATCTCTTCAACGAAGTTGTTAGTGATGACTTAATTAGCGCTAATTGAAAGGTAAGGCTTGACAGTACATTAGGTACTATTAGTGATCACGTTCTAATTAGTAAAGTCTATATTTGGACCTATCATTAGCTTACTTAATTGATAATAGTATAGTTGACTTACTGCCTTAGGTGAGGATTCGGAACCTTTTAGGAAGACTATCGGAATTGTCATTAGTAGACAATGAGTTTGAATGAATCCTTTGCTTTCATGTTCCTATCACCTGGAGCTTGTTTGTTCAATGGTGATTTACTTCCCTCAGGTGAGTTGCAAACTATGGGGGATGAAACTGAAACTGTGAATTTTCTCAATCATGAGATTTTCTACATATGTGATTAAAAATAAATAAATTATAAGGACCATTTTTTATGTGCTCCCTCCCACTCCCAAAATCATTGAGCAAAGAAAAGAGAATAACCAAAGGGAGCAAGTTTTTTAGGTCAAATGCCTTTGTTGGATACTTGGAGTGGGCCTATAACTGGACTAGGAGAATTCTCCTACAAAAAACTACTTCTGTAGGCTCAACCCAAAAAATTTTATATCAACAGCAAGGGAGATTAAATATATGTAATTAATCATATTAGTTCTTCTGAGAAAGTAACAGCAAGCGAATGTTTTACCCCAAAAAAAAAAAAAAACAGCAAGGGAATGGTTCACTTTGCAAAACTCAAACACTGTTTATCTAAGACAGCAAAGTTAGATCAAATAACGATATGTTGGCCATGTTGATGAAATCTAATACCATCTTGTAAAGATTATATGTTATATTGACAAAATTATGCCATTTTTTTTATATATAATGAAGGAAGCCAAAATCTAAAATATTAAATTATCATAACAGAAGAAATTCACTGTTATGATAAATGCGTCGCAGTTTCACAATTCTCCAAGAGTTATGCCGCAATTTCACAACCTTATTTGTTTGTTGAAATTGTGCAGAAGGTTCACCGCCATTAAATAAAGGAAAGTAGAATCAATATTAATTACTCGAATCTATGTTAGTTTCGTTTCATTTTTAATGAAGGTCTGTTATTTACTTTGTATGAGAAACGCTTCATTCAGTGTCCTTCCTCATTATGATCCAAATGTATGAAACTAATCAAACTCTTTTTCCAGAATTTTCTTTCTGATTCTACCACGAGACACAAATTAACACTAATTTAACAATAACCTGTTCTTTACAAATACAAAATCAAAAAGTAATATTTAGTTAAAAAATATATTCCAAATAGTAATAATTTTTTCCAGTAGAATTAGGATACTGTACACCCGATGAATATGGCTATGACGCCGGGTAACTCATTTACCCGTCAAACGATGGGCGGGATTGATTCGTCTTCATTGAAAACATTCCTTCATAAATGTTCATCCTCCCAAGTCTCCTAACTTCTAACACAAGATATATCCTACCAAACAAAAAAGAATTTATAACAAATCTCTTAACAAACCTAGCCAGAACAATAATAGTGCTAATAGAACGTATACTACCGCTAGTCCCAAAAACACGTACAAGGAACAGAACTCAACTTGTCCAATGGCAAGATGACCACAAAAATTCGCAAACTATTTTTTTGGGGGCTTTTTGGTATTGCAATTTTGATAGGCTAATTTTAGCAGCCTCAAATTAGTGGCAGTGACTCAGTGGTCATCCATCATCAGGCCTCCGCCGTCAATCCCTACCAACAAACTTCTCACGAACCCCACCTAAAACGCACGCTGCATGCAAAGATATGAGTTAATTGTGGAAAACCCCCTTATAGTTTTACTTATTGGTGAAGTATTCTTTTCGTTCTAAAATAATATTACATAATTTGAGAAAAATAAACTGAAGTTTATGTTAGCGGGTGAAAGCAATGAAATGTTTATACATTATATATATCAATGGTCTTATCTTTGTACTCCTTTTCGTCCCGAAATAGTAATAATTTTCGTTTTTAGTTCAAATCGTATACTAAAAGTAAAATCTCTAGTTAGATAATAATTTTGGAACATAGAAAGTAATATGTAACCAAAAAAGAAAGAAAAGAAAAACTAATTTGTACCCCGTCTCACATATATCAAATGTTGTTGGTAAAAAATATGGTTTAGGTTATCTGAAGGCCTTATTTTGTAAATATAGTAAAGTTGAAGGGGGTAGTTACAGTTAAATACATGTCGGCCATTTTTGCCTCCAAAAAGAATTTTAGTCTTGAAACTGTTGGCGCTGGACGTCCCCTGGTATCAACATCCAATCCGTGTGCCATCCACAGTCCAATCCTCACGTCCAAACCCACATTCAATATAAATTCCCCACTCAATCATTAACTATCTAATAATTAGAATTTCAGAAATTAGAACCCATACAATATTTGATTTTCTTTAGTTTCCACTCTGAAGAAAAAATAAAGGAAGGAAGAAAGAGAGATTTGAAAATGTGTCGAGGATTTGATCTGAGCGAAAGGAATTTGAATGAGTTGTTGAAGATTAAAGCCATTTATGTCCGTCTCTTATTTCCCCCCACCCATTCTTCAACTTCGTCTAATTCAATCAGCCCCTACGATTCTCTAACGTTGCATTTTCCCCCCCGAATCAACGGCGGCCCGCTCGCGATTGCCGGGTCCAGCGTCCGATCCGACACTCCCGCTTTCGTCACTCTTCACCGGGTGGTCCTGAAGGAGCCGGTGGCTGAGGCGGCCGTGTACGGCAGCCGGGAGAAAGTGAGAGTGAGCGAAGGGACACGGTTTGAAATCTACGCCGGCGACGCCAAGTTGTTGAAAGGGATTGTTCGGAGAGATGAGGTGGAGACCGGAGATGATTGGAGATTAGATTGCAAGTGTTGCTGCTCCGCCGAAGAAGAATCGACACCTTCGGAAGCTGACGTCTGCGTGGAGATTGAAGGCCACGCGCCGTCGATAAGGGAGAAAGTGGAGATTGATTCGGAGACGAGGCGGCGGAGGGCCAATAAAACGCGCCGGAGTAGTAAGATGAGGGAGATGTGTTCTTCTCTGGAGGAGATTCCTGAGCAGAGGGAAATCGAGAGCGGCGGCGGCTGCTGCTGCTGTTGTAGTGATGGCGGCGATAGTGAATGGGAGGTGGTTGACGGTGGAGAAGAGTGTGAGGGGGAGGAGGTGGTGGAGGGAGTAGGATGGGCGGTGGACGTGGGGATATGGGTGGTGTGTTTGGGTGTTGGATTTTTGGTTTCCAAAGCTTCTCGCAACCGATTAATCAGTAGGAGGCGAACTAGAACATTGTTCTAGATTTTTTTTTTCTTTTCTTTTTCAAAGAAAATTCCTAATCTTTTTTGGTTAATTTCTTCCAATATGTAAATAATACATACACTCACATACAATATATTTTGATTTTCCCCTTGCAAGTTTTCCTCTAGAACTTGATCATATTTATCGAGATTTAGGTCCTGTTTGATAAACCAATTAAGTACTTAAACTTATTAATTAAATACTTAATTGATTAGCAATGTTTGATAACACAATAGCATAACAACTTAATTGTAAGAACTTAATGTATTAAGAACTTAAATTTTAAGTGCGTTTCATAACTGAAAGTAGGATTCTTAATAATTTAAGTGAATCTGAAATATTAGTACAAATGTGAGCCTAAAAATAAGTGATAAGCCTATCACTTATGTCTGAACTAAATTCTTGAGACGATTTTTTTCTATTTATTTATTTTTATGTTTATACATTTGATATTTTATCTTGAAATATTTAATATATTTTTATTAATCATGATGTCTAGTTTGAAATTAAAATTTATTTAAATTATTTTTTATTTGATAATATGAATTCTTTTTGACAATGATAACATATGACATTATTATTAACTGAAAAAATAATAACATAATAAAATTTAAATATTTTTATTACATTATGTAATAATATTATTATTATTTTTATTATCATAGTTTCATATACAACAATTATTTTTTTAGATAAAATTATAAATCAAAATAATTTAAATTTCAGTGTTCAGACTTCAGATTTCAGACATTTTATTTAGTATTTAGATTTTGGTTTTTATCAAACACGACAAACTTAATCAGTTCAGTACTTATGATTCAGTATTCAGATTTCAGACTTCAGACGCAAATTAAGTTTTATCAAACGGATCCTTAAATTTTGTGGCTGACTACTTTGCCTCTTTAGCAGCTTCTGGTCCGGTAGATTTCCACAATTTTGATGCGCCGCTGCCAGGTGTTAGGCCATGGCTGTAGCATGATGTGATAAGGGTTACATATCCCTGGAATGTAAGCATCTAGGCTTTTGTCTCCTAATTTATACCAAAAAGAAAAAACAATAGTATTCCTAGTTAATCAGTTTAAAAGTCGTGTGTATTAAATATTTTCTTTCTCCAAAATTATTGTCCGATTTAGTTTTTCACTTTTAGTATAATTTTAACTGTAATTAAAATTTCAAACTGAACAATATTTTAAAATGTAGAAAATACTTAAACTTGTTATCAATCTCCATTTTGCTTTGATATCATTCTCATATGTGCATTAGGCTTCATAAAGACTTTCATAATAAGTAATAATAGTATATAAAATTTTGCCTTTTCTATTCTGTTACACCATAAAGTATATGTATATGTATAATAAAAATATATTTTTCTGTCTCAAAAATAAAAAATTATCCAATTAATTTTTATTTATAGTTCAATTTGTATTAAATTAAAAATTTAAATTGAACAACAGTTTCGAGATGAAGAGAGTACTACTAAATGTTTTTAAGAGCTTAAGATGTTATTGAATTCTTGGGGGAGGCCTTTTTTTTTTGGGTTCTTTTACATATTGTTAAGTTTAAAGGTGTGGCGATATTGTTAAGTTTAAGATGAGAGAGATACGTATTGTTAATTTTAGAATGGAAGAGATAGATTATACTCCTGTGAATAAAAAATAATTGTGAAGTTTAGATTTTTTTATTTATTAAAAAGGTGATACTGATTAAGAGTAAAAATCATGTTAAAGGCACAAGGGATATCAATACATCAAGTCCACTGTTCAACAACTTTACTTGTACAAAGGGTGTGGGAGTGGCCTTCATAAGTTCGTATGATATTTCCAACCAGTAACATGCTCATGCCTGTCTATCAATAGTCGTAGAAAAAATAGTTTAATTGGTACAATTTACCTGGCCACCAACAGATGTTTCAAGTCTCCCAAAACATTTTTCTTTCCTCTCTTGCTTTCTCATCTAGAGTACTTGTTTTATAATTTATACTCCTAAAAAGTATTTAAAATATAATTTCTTACTTCCAAAATTACCGTCCAGTTTAAAATATTCATTTTAATATAATTTGAACTAAAAATAAAAAAACGAAATTGAACAATAATTTCATGACGAATAGTGTTCAATTTACATGTATGATGTATCATTTGGAGTCTCATCTTATTTTGTCCTGTGTGCTGAAAAAAAAGATACTTTTTAATGATTTTTTTTTTTTAAAAAAAAAATCACTTGTACGTTGCATGATGAAAGGGGTCAAAACAACCTCAGCAGTATAATTGAAGGGCATTTTGGCAGACTAAGAATTTCATACACTTAATTTTACAACACTTTTTAAACATCATACAATATTTTCAGTTTTTTTTCTATTTAAATATTATTTTATTTTCTAAAAAATTATACTCATACCATAATCTACCCTTGAATGAATCCGTAATGATCATGTATCAAAATCTTGATGAAAGATGTAAGAAATGGTGAAAGAGTATGGTATAAGAGATCGTTTGCTGGGTATTTTATACAATAAACATGCATGTATGGTGTCGTAAGTAATTTAGTCAATTGATATGCTTTTTTTTTTTATTTCAAAAAATCGATATAAAGTATTAAAATTAAGTTGGTTTCCTCTTTGCATCTTGGTAAATCAAGCTATACCTTGAAATTACATTTGTCTCATATATCTACGATGTAATTTTCCTGTGAATACGAGGTTTGCCCTGAGATTATAGAAACTAAAAGAGAGTTATATATGGTGTTCTTTATCTTTTTCTTTAGATTTGCTTAAATACCAAATGTAACAACTCTATTATCATAATTCATAACTACTTGTCCGACTGAAAGATTTTATGAATGGATGTCTCTTCCTTAATATTAAAAAAAAAAAATCTTCCTCAAAGATTTGGTATGAGTTAATGTCAGTAGGTGGCGTGAAAAAACATTCGTATATGTAGGAGTCGAAAAAAAAAAAAAAAAACACCGGTGTTATTTGATTTGTCCTGAGATAAGATTAAGTGGTAATCTTTACACACGTTGGAAGTGTGATATGTCTAAAAACTTAAGATCCAAATGAAATGACTAATATTAAAAGCTCTTCTTTCATAATTTTTAAATAAAACACTCCCTCCGTCCCATAATTATTGTGCAGTTTAAGTTTTTATTTTTAGTTCAAATTGTACTAAAAGTGAAATTTGAAACTGGATAATAATTTTAGGACAGGGGGAGTAGATTATTTTCTGAAAATTGAAAGTGTAACAACGTTTTTAATGACTAAGTGTGGATTTTTCCATGCAACTTTTGAATGTGAGATTTTTGGATTGAGAATGCTTGCATATGTTCAATTGATGGTTGACAATGATGCAGTAATTATCACACAAATTACCATCAACAATGAATCCATACGTGTTAATAGTGAACGTCAACATCAAATCATCAATCAATTATCTAAGCAAACAATAAATTTATCATTAATTCTTCCTTGTCACACGGGCTACCATGAATTTTGGGACACAGTCGCATCTGTTTCCTCCGCCCAAAAAAAAAAAAAGAAAGGATTAATTTAGCTGAGAAAAAGGCAGACATAAGATCCGCAATTATTATTATGCACGTCTTACCTCTCTTTATTGGCATCATCAATCATTAATTCTCAATTAAACTCAATAATTGTTTTAAATACATCCCATCATTCATTGTTACAATCAATCCTCCAATTTTCAATACACTTGCACATGATTCCAACTTACCACAACGCAAAATGCATACGTGATTCTTTTATTTACATATACAGTGGTATGTATATATATACTATAACCCAAAATAACATTTTAGATTACTGTTACCTAAATTCTACTCAGAATTTAGAGAACAGGGAAATGCAATTTTTTTTTTTTACTAATAAACAATATAATCTGCTAGTTTTCGTTCATGCTTTTAGAAACTAAAATGTGATTAGTTGTGTTTACAATTTCGCATTTGCTTCATAAAATTCTCATTTTTCACTAAGAGTCATTCTAGAAAAAAAAAAAAAAAAGTAAGAAAATTTCCCAGTGTTGATAAATTAGGTACGATTTTAATGAGTTCAAATCATTAGTTTACATTTCAAGATCAATTAATCAATAATGCACTTCATCCGGTCCTTAATATAATATATTTTGATTTGTCCTAAGTTTCTTATAGTATGTATTTTTGATTGACGAAAAAACCTTAAAAATATATTTTCACATTCGTTATGTTTTCTTGATTGTTATAAAATAGTTTTAAGGTTCTTTTATCAATTAAAAATAGGTTTTAAGTGAAATATAAGAAAAGTCAAAATGACTTATAATAAAGACTAGAGGGAGTACTATTTATTAATCTATACTATATATTTAGAGTACTCTAGTCAATTAAATAACGTAAAAATGTAAACTTATCACTAGTAGTAATAACGAAAAATTATTGGGTACAACCAATATATCCTGATTTTTAGTGCAGCAAGTACTAGCAATCCCATTTTTTGGTGGTATAACTCCTGTATAAATTATTTCTCTTACCCCAAATTTACTATTTTACCCTATTATTATATCTGACTGCACAATTCTACGTAATACAGTAACTGCAGTGAATAATAATTTATCAGTAGTAACAACAAGAAAAAACTACCCCCATTATCTATCGTTCCTGATCCACGTGGTATCTTTGAGCAATAGGTGGCCACGTCAGCTGCTCCTTAAGTCCTCGTTCTCTCGCCTCCTCAGGTAAATTTGCAGTCAACGGGTAAAAGAAAAGGAAAATAGAATCTACAAATTATCCGAAATTATTCAGGGATTTCGGGTTATTGTAAGAAGAAGAGAATTAAAAAAAGAATTTAAAAGAAAGGAAACAAAGCTGAGAACTGCTGCCTCGTCTTCAACTCCGAACTCAGCACCAAAGAGAGGTGTTTATTACTTTTTTTTGGCTTGGGGCTCAGACTGACTCAGTAGTCATAAGAGAGGAGCTTCAACTTTACACCTTTCTGGTTTATAACGGAAAAGGAAGAAAGGTGATTTAAGTTTTTATCACGTCATTCTTCTTCGATTGGGTTGGCGGCGGTGCTGGGAAATGGGCGGTCCGGGAGGAGGACAGCCGAGGTCTTACCCTTTGAATCCGAATGATTACAAGCTCCTTGAAGAGGTCGGTTACGGCGCCAGCGCCACCGTCTTCCGAGCGATCTGTCTCCCTTTTAATGAAGTTGTGGCCATCAAGTGCTTGGATCTCGATCGCTGCAACAGCAATCTGGTTTCCCCTTCTCCTCTCCTCTTTTTTCTTTGTTTTCTTTCTTGTTTTTATCGCTTACTTTAGCTAAGTTTATCAGTTAAGAGGCTTTTATTCAGTTGGCTCTCGCTGCTCTGGGCTTAATTTGAAGCTGAATTAGCTGAATTGCTTGAATTTTTGTATCACCATTTGAATTGAGTTAGCTAGTTTTTGTGTGTGTGTGTGTGTGTGCGTGTCTGTGTGTGTGTGTGTGTGTGTAAGTGAATTCTACTTGGGAAATTGAGAATGAAAGTGAATTCTGTTTGCATGATTAATGTGGCGTCTGTTTGATAAATGGTAAGAGGTGGAGGATACTCCAAGTGATTCTTTTGGTTGCCCATGGCTTTTGTTTTAAAAACTTCCTGTCCAATGAGAGTAATCATATTCGGGGCGCGCGTGGTTAGTCCTTGAGACTTCGTTTAGTTAGTGATCAGTGTGGCGTTAACTTATCCACCTCTCTCTCTTTATTGCAGGTATGATGAATGCATATAGTAAGTTAGCTTAACAAGAGCAATTATATTCACAGCTAAAAAGTTGTGGTGACTTTGATTAGTAACTGGCGTGGCATTCATTAATATTCTATCCTTTTAATTGTTGATAATAATATATGCTGTATTTATATTGTGAAAATAAGCTTAATGGTACACCGCTTTTAAGTAAAGTCAACGTGTTTATTGTTGCTCAACAAATGATGGCTCAATTTATTGAAAACTCTCAGCTGCATTAATTGCGCTATCTTTCTTTCTCTCTCTCTGGTGCTGACGTCATAAGATTCATACGTAATATATAATGCGCTAAGAATCTGATTTCGTATTTTGCAGAAGTTACTGAAATATATTTAGTTAATATAGTTGTGATCGGTTTAGGTTAATGGAATGACAAGTGGCTGAAGTGGGAAATTAAACTATTAAAGTTCCAGCTTTTCTATCTTCAACATGCATCCATTTACCTAATGTTGTTGCAGATGTATTTAATAATGAATACCTGATTGTAGTTAATGCAATTGTGGATTTTTCTATGGCATTTTTGTATGCTGATGTCTTTAGTAATTCAGTTTGTACAAGCTGAATAACAAATGCTATTCTAGAGCTTTAAAAGTGTTAATCTTTGCTATCTCATCAATAGCGATGTTCTGAAAGCTTGGATCTTTGATTCACGTTGTATGATGCTTCTTGTGGTATCTGATTTGGTCTAATATTTAGCCTCGAATCAGCTGCTAGCCTCTTGGTGGAGTCCACAATGTATTTGCTTATGTGTCATTTTAATGTGATGGAAATTGGCCGACTAATTGAAAATTAATGAGAGCGGCAAACCCTAGCCGTAGGGAGTTAAGAGAGACAAAATCTTTGAAAGCTTAAACTATAATAATCAGAAAACGTGAATAACTAAACTGCAGAACTTCTCTAATTATAGAGGTGTCCTGCTTATTCCTAAAGCTACTAAATTGCTGATTCCAATCTGCATGAAACAAATGTGATTAGCTAAATGGAAAACTAAACTAAAAGGAAACTTTTCTTCTAAGAAGATTCTAGCTATTTCTCAAAATCTAACATGAAGATACCTATACTTTCCTGCATCTCAACTTCCATGACCAGCTAATGAGACACGGTATATCATCCTGCTACTGAGCTCCCACAGACTCTTTTATGTTTTTCTTTCTTTGTAAAAGACAGATTTGTATCCGGGAAACTCTTTATGGTATCTTTCAACATTGAGAATTAGTGACTACGAATAAATTATTTCTGAATCTTGCGTACACATTCATGAGCTACATGTACATTTGCTCTGGTGGACTTGTGTCTCTTGTCTCTTTTATTTGTACGTTAGGGAATGTTCGGCTTTTTTTCCCCCTTTATTTATGCTTTATTTGAATGCTTACTATCACCAAAAAAGAGTGATGGTTTTCTTCATTGTGAAGATTAGATGCAGTTGGTGTAGTGACTAATTCAATCTGCTAGTAAAATTCAATTTTGTAGTTTTACCTATTCTGTTAGATATTGCTCTGGATCTGCTTTCATCTCTCATGAAGCAAATGCATGCTTGGTTATCTGCATCTATCTGATGAAATCTTTTTTCCAGGATGACATCCGTAGAGAAGCTCAGACTATGAGTTTGATAGATCACCCAAATGTAATAGGAGCATATTGTTCGTTTGTTGTTGAGCACAACCTTTGGGTGGTTATGCCTTTCATGGCAGAGGGGTCTTGTTTACACCTGATGAAAGTAGCATATCCAGATGGGTTTGAAGAGTCAGCAATTGCGTCTATCTTGAAAGAAACCCTTAAGGCTCTTGAGTATCTTCATCGACATGGTCATATCCATCGTGATGTCAAAGTAAATAGCTATACACCTGAATTTTTTTTTTTTTTTTTAAATTTTTTATTGCCTCTTACTTGACACCAGGTGCTCCATTTTGGTCACATGGAATCGTGGCACGGCTAGAACTGTTTTGTAATGATATTTTTGTTAAGGATATGTAGATATGTATATTTCCTCCGGATATGTCAAACTCTGGTAAAAATAAAAGGTGTTCCCTATGAGTTTCGGGACAAAAATTTGAATGACAAAACATAAATCAGAATGTTTATGACTATTTGTTGGTTTTAATAATTTTAGCTTTTACATGCAGGCTGGGAACATACTAATGGACAGTAATGGAGAGGTAAAGGTTGCTGATTTTGGTGTCTCGGCGTGCATGTTTGACACAGGTGACAGACAGAGATCAAGAAATACCTTTGTAGGCACTCCATGCTGGTATGTTTTGAGCATCTTTTCCTTGAGTAATTCACTACAGACAGTTTTTCCCTTGAAAGAATCTTTATTTATTTTTCTCATGGTTGTTCTATCACAGGATGGCACCAGAGGTGTTGCAGCCACAAACCGGATATGATTTCAAGTAAGAATCATGACGTTTATGTATTGCTTTCTTTTCCTTCTTTTTGTTGCATTTCACTTGCTTGATTTCCATTCTGAGGCGTAGGTGAATCTTAGAATATGGTATTGCAAAGGGTAGTTACTTCAGAATGCCAAGTGCTTCTCTACTTTTGGAGCTACGCGCGTTACTAAAATGTTTAGTTGTATGCGAAGCTTCTGTGCTGATGTAGTTGGTTTCCCCCCTTTCCTGGCCCTAAAAATATGTTTACAAGAACCCTGAAAGAATCTTTTTCCCTTCCATTTTTAGTAATTCTTGATGAAGTGTTACAAGACAATGATAGCACTACTCAAACCTTTCTTCATAATCTGATTGAGTAACCAATAGTTTTCTCTACAAAATCTTTTTGCCAGGGCTGATATCTGGTCATTTGGAATCACAGCTCTGGAGTTGGCTCATGGTCATGCACCCTTCTCAAAATACCCCCCAATGAAGGTATAGCCTTTTGTATCTAGGAGAAGATTGACCAATACTGAATTATTTCTGCAGTGTAGAATGCCGTGCTTAATGCTTATGTATTTATGTTCCCTCATGCACAATCTTCTTCTTTAGGTTCTGTTGATGACCATACAAAATGCACCTCCAGGACTTGATTATGACCGTGATAAAAAGTTCTCTAAGGTAATTCCCTTTTGAACTAAACGTGCTATTTGGATGTGTTGGGATGGGGGGCTTGGGGCAATCAGAATGGTTTATTTATATTTTATTTCAATTTCCGCATGGTTTCTGAACATTAAGATTTCCTCAATTCAAACAGTCATTTAAAGAAATGGTTGCCATGTGCTTGGTAAAAGATCAAACAAAGAGGCCCACAGCGGAGAAGTTATTGAAACACACATTTTTCAAGAATGCAAAGCCTCCAGAGCTTTCTGTGAAGAAACTCTTCGTCGACTTGCCACCTTTGTGGACTCGTGTGAAAACGCTTCAGGTCTTTCACTTCACATTTCATTTTTTCTATACCAGATCGCGGAGTTGCTTAATAACTTGTTTTTTTCATTTATTTCAAATATTTGCAGATGAAAGATGCCTCACAACTAGCATTGAAGAAAATGCCTTCTGCCGAACAGGAAGCATTGTCACAGGTTAGAAGCATCACAGTTATTGTTTGACCATGCCCAAAACTTTAAACTAGTTTTACTATCCTGTGCTGCATTTTGTACCAAGTATTGTCTACTACTGCAATCAAGATAATGATAAATTGATGATGTCCTTTTCTGTCTGGCCGTGGTGGTAACCCCTTGTTTATTATCACAGAGTCAGTATCAGAGAGGTGTTAGTGCCTGGAACTTTGACATTGAGGACTTGAAAATCCAAGCATCACTGGTATGTGACAATTTATTTCGAGTATAAGTTGGTTTTGAAAGCTCAAATAGCATGTTGTGTATTTTTTAGTAGAAAAATTCAAACGTTTGTCGTCGGTGGCAGGTGCAAGATGAAGATGAAAATGAAATACCAGAAATCAAAGAGCAGGCAGATCCAAAAGTAGATGTGAGAATAAAGGTGATTAAATACTTGAATAAGGAAGATGTTGGACCTCCATCCCCTGCGCTCTTTTTTCTTTTGTTTTAAAGTTTGTTTAAAGCTAATAAAAATCATCAATTGTTTGTGAACAGAAAACAGATGTATCTGCTTCTGAATCTGGTTTATGGAGATCAAGATCGACCAATATTCTATACAGGTAATCTTGGATAGAAAATGAATGGATTTTTTCCTTTTTGGCGAGAAGTTATTGCAATCGATTTTGCTCAAAAATAAAAATCGGCTGCAACTCTTTTTCCCTTTTCCATGACAATCAGTGGAATTAAGTACAACTTCAAGAGATGAATCCTCAGTAACATTGCAAAACAGCATGCCATTAATTATAAAAGAAGCTTTTTGTTTAAGAAATGAGCACAAATCTGGCTACTTTTAACCCTAGACTTGGGTGGTGGAAATCCCTCTTTGTGTACTTGATTTTGTTGTATTGTGCAACTTATTCATTTCTGATCACTTATTTTGACCTGAAAGGTTTTTGCTTTGTGATCCATGAATCAGTGATCAGATAAATGGTGATAATAAGGGAAGTAAAGTCATTGAAGATGATTTTATAGAATCTGACAATCAAACGAAGCCTTTACTGAAGAAGAGTGTATCAAAAGCCGAGTTGTCGGTGCCTGTTGCAGAAACGGATATATCAGCTAAGTTCAAATCCCAACCAAATAAAAGTCGTCAAACTCAGAGTGGCCCACTTATGCCTGGCCTGGTTGTTGGTCAGTCAACATTAGAAAGAGTGCGGACCGCAGAAAGGTGCGTGCCAACAATTCATTTATCTTTTTTCCATTATGTTTATTTTTTCTTTTTATGTCTGATCTGGGTATCCAAGAAGAGTCCAGCCAGCTCGGCTCGCTCACTCCCATTTTGCAAACGACATTTTACATTCCCAATGCTCATTTTACATTCCCAATGCTCATTTTACATTTCCAAAGCAAATTTTACATTTCCAATGCAAAATCAAATACAAATAAAATATGTAAATGGTGTTCATACAAATAAATTTTCATGTCTGGCTATCATTTGTGAAATGACGTGGTTAGAAAAAACTCTGATTTTCCTATTCCCAGTTTTGGGTTTCATTTTGGTCGAGATATTAAGTTTTGCTGGTTTCTCATTCATCTTACTGAAGTCAGTTTATGATTACTTTCTGGATTAATATTTGATTTTCTTGTGCAAATAAATAGCAAGGTAAGCAGAAAAAGGCAGTAGTTTAATAGGAGATCCTGTTACTATAAGAGCAATGGATCTTCAGATTAATCTTTGACTTCATATTAGAAAATAAGGCAGTAGTTCACTGGACAGTACCTGCTTGCAAAATGTTATGGACATAACAGAATTTGGGTGACTGTCGGATTGCTTTATGTTAAAAGATGATCTATGTCAAACATCTTCTTTGATACTTCTAGTGCCTGGCATTTTTGCACCTGCTTTCTATAGCATGATCTTTATTTCTTTTTTCTAGGTCTGACATTGAAACTCAGCAGCCAGTAGAAAAGACTCCTCAAGTACGAAAAGCGCCTAGCTTCAGTGGTCCGTTAATGTTACCAACTCGAGCGTCGGCAAATAGTTTATCTGCTCCAATTAAGTCATCAGGAGGTAAGAGGATTAACAGCTCATTTCACAGGGAATGAAACACCTGAATTTTAGTTTGGTTTTGATTGCTATAAACAATTTTGTTACACAGGGTTCAGAGATACTCTAGATGATAAATCGAAGACAAATCTAGTGCAAATAAAAGGGCGTTTTTCAGTGACCTCAGAAAATGTTGATCTTGTAAAGGTAAATTCCCTGTTTCTGCGCCACCTGATTTATGAATTGGCAATTGCTAACTTCATGGTTGCCCATTAGGATATTCCATTATGTACAGTTCCTCGAAGATCTTCTCAGGTAAGAGGCTACGAGTGTTCCATTAATGTGACAGCAGAATATGATTTTGGTATTTTATTCCTTTGTAATTGGGTATTCATGTCACATTCAGGGGTCACCTTTGAGGAAGTCTGCTAGTGTTGGAGACTGGATATTTGACTCCAAGCACAATGTAAGTATGACTAATTGCTTCTATCATATGAAGCAAAAATCCATGTAAGAAACCTATAAATGGGTTGAAGTTGTAGCATAACATGCAAAGTTTTCTTGTAATTTACTCCGGATTACCTAGATTGCTTATACGAGATATCAAACCTTGATGTGATGCTGGTTTTTCAAATGCATTGCAGCCAAATAGTTACATACCGAAGGAGATGGGGAATAGCAGCATGCCAGCTTCTGTTCTGATGCCTCATCTCCAAAATCTTTTCCAGCAAACTTCACTTCAACAGGTAAATACTTTTGATGCCTTCCATGTGCTCGTAAATTTGTTAATCTATTTTTTTTTAGGGTTTCGTTCTGTAGTGATTGCTACTAAAGCAAATTTTTATTTTGTTTTTCATTCTTATGTTTTATTGTGCTGCTTCACAGGATCTCATTGTAAATCTTCTAAATAGCTTGCAACCAGCTGAGGTAGCAGATGGTGAGCTGGATGTTACGCTTTGCAATTTTGGTTTTATATTGCAAACTGGGTTCTGGAGTGCTAAAATTTGATTTTTCTTTTGTGCCAGTCCCTCAAAATGGCAAGTTGCCTCCAGTACCTCGCATCCCAGAGAACAATGGAAATGTACGTAAATTATGAGATCATTTTATCTGATTTCTTTTACATGTTAGATCTTCTTGTAAAGTTGCATGTATGTCCGAAAATGTATCGATCAGCCCCAAATGTGCAGATGAGAGTTCACCCAATTTCAAGGTTCTGTTGTTTGATTGCTATTTCTGAGTCTGTCAGCTTTTATGTGTGTTTAGCTGATGCAAGTGGAGGTTTCCTTTGTCAATAAACTTCAGATACCCATTGTGCTTCCTCATGGGTTGTGAAACAAATATCTGACTTCATCATCTAGCACTGAACTGAAAACGAGACAGGGAATTCATGAGTACTAATCTTGTGCTGGGAAACCAATTTTTGCTCCTTTTTACCAATTCCATCTTACAGGAATTGTGTTACAAGACCTGGTTTTTAGAGAGTCCCACAAAGTTTCTTGTATTGTCTCCTTGAAATTTTAGGAACACATCATCATTTGCCGTCAACTTATCACCAAACTTGGTGCTTTTTGTAAAATTATGTTGAATCTCATATATACTTATTTTCCAGGTTGATGCTGCTTCTACTGAAAGAGAACGTTTGCTGCTTACCAAAATTTTTGAGCTGCAAGCAAGGTTTTTTTCTTTCTTAAATTTTTATTCCTGTAATGTCGGTTTATGCTACTTAATGTTTTCATATTACTTAAATTTGCAGGATGAGTAATTTGACGGATGAACTAACCGCGGAAAAGATGAAATACATTCAAGTAAGTATTGTTAGAGATTTACTTTTTAATTTAGTTATGTTTCTTTTAAATAATGATAGAGATCATACCATTTCAAAAGAAAAAAAATGAGATTAGAGACCATGAATTTGTCCAAGTGAAGGACTCAATGATGGACGTGGCACTTATGAAAAGAAATAAACACCAGTCGCATCATATTTCACATTTTGAGGGCTACAAATGGTTATTTTGTACACATGTCATAGTCACGACCCATTTACTGGAGTCGAATAGGATGATTTCTATAATTGAATGTTAACAGAAGAACAAGCTGTAGTGGTCATTCTTTCGGGTTACTTAGGTATCCTAGTGTTCTTGCGAGCAATTTTAGAAGCAAAACAAATGTGTAAAATATTGTCATGCTAACGAGTATTTGCTCGTGGTTTCCAGTTACAACAGCGGATAAACATGATATCTAGTCAGGAAAACGGCGACAAAAGAGAAGTTGATTCTTAAAGACTATAAAAGGATGTTGTACAATGTACATTTAACTCTGTGAATATTCAGGTAAGATTCTAATCATTCTAGAAGTTGTTCTGGATCATTTGTGTATAAGAAAAAGGCAAACAATAAGAATTTTCCTGACAGTTTGAGCAATTTATTTGCAGAAGATTCAAGTTATACAAAGAAGTACTAGGGTTCTATGGAGAGTACCTTTCTTTTATTTTCGCGGCGTTCTTCATCTGCCGACTCAGCTGAATAGTAACTTCTTGTAAGCCAGTAATCATGAGGAAACGGAAGGTGAATTCAGGGGAAAATTTTTTTTTTTTTTTTTGGGGGTGGGTGTATGGTAATATTGCAGATTTTATAGATATTTCATAGTTTATGTGGTGCTGTAAATTTGTGTTATTAGTCTAAGCCTAAGCCTGAGGGGGCTGCATTATTAAAGGACAACTTGTGTTTGGATGTAACTGCATTTCGAATGTAAATTTTTGCATTGTTAAGTTCTATCCTTAGATTAATACACCTTCCAAAAAAAAAAAAAAATGATAACCGGGCTTCAATTACAACAGCATTGGAGCATAAACAGTATAATGACAGAGGGGAACAGTAGAAAACCTTGGCACAAAACCATTTTTCCCACTAAAAAGAAAAAGCATGATCAGAACAAATAGCTAGAGTGGATATCTTCTCGTAGAAACAATTTACTCTCTCCAATCCACTTTATAAGACACAAATTGAATAAACTTAGCTATTCAACCAGTTTGCGACAATTGATCTTACAATTCCAATCTTGCATTTTACTAAAAGTTGGTAGAACTAGTGTTCCAGAACTGCATAATCTAGTTTATGCAAAAATGCAATGTAATAATACAGGTACTTAATGTAATAAACAGGTAGTACTTTCTCAAAAAAATAAAAATTAAAAAAAAAATACAGTAGATCTGAGCTACAATCTGCCGCCCTGCAACTGAACCTCAGCATCTACTGCAAATATGCAGCAAATAATCCTCTTTTAGCCACTGAGCAGTATCAGCAGTGTGATTCCGTGTGCAATGTGGCACTTTCCTCAAAAAGAATACAGCAACAGTGACAAACAAAAAGAATCCATCAATCAACAGCCAAACTAAACTAATCAACCAAAAAAAATGTTAAAATATTCCTAATCCTTGTAGTATTTCCCAATTCAGTGAGCAAAATGGAGTGACTTGAAGGTTAACCAGACCAGACTCCAGAGGAGGCTTCAGACCCACCATCCAAAAACCTAAAGAATGAATTCTCAAGTAGCATTTCTCATTCAAACACCCTCTTTACTCCCATCTAAACCCTCTCTTAAACCCTCCATCAGTATTCTCCATCGCCATCATCATCGTCAATGGGTTCACCAGGTAAAAACACTTCTGTCTATTTATAGTAACAAAAGATCAAAACTTTATCAGAATCCCTCCTTAGAAAAACCTGTTATTTTTCTTCTTTTTTGGGTTTTAGAGAAAAGGAAGGGATAGGATTTGCCGGGCGGAGTTACTTTCAGCTAGTGACGCGTCTATAGGAGTGGCAATCGGCGGGTGTATACTCAACTCTCTGGTTTTCCCCACTCCAGCTCCCCCTGAGGATGAGGAGGGGGATTCTGTGATTGACTCGGATGATGCAAGGTTTGCTGTCATGGGAATCATTAGCCTCATACCTTACTTTAATTGGCTGGTCTGTTCTTCCGTCCCTTTTTCCTTTGGGTGCTTTTGAAAGTTCAGATTTTTAGTTTCATTTTGTCTGTTGGGTTATTTTGGCCTTGGTGCAAAAAATGCAGAGTTGGTTGTTTGCTTGGTTGGATACCGGGAAGCAGCGGTATGCTGTTTATGCTTTAGTCTATTTGGCCCCTTACTTGAGGTAATCATGATGCTTCTTGGCCCCTTTTAAGATTCCTTTTTTTTCCCCCTGAAAAAGTGTTCATCTTTTCCTTCATGGCTTGCATTTATGAATATGAACAGCAAATGACTATTGCCTGTACGATTGTCTACTAAGCCCTGGCATCTACTGCCTTGTAGTTAGTCCGCAAGAGAGAGTCCACATTGTATTGAATATCATCCAGAAGTTATTTCTCTTTGCCTCTTCCATGGAGAACTTGCATATACTGTTCTTGGCTAGGTTGGAATAGGAATTTAATTTGCAATTTTGAGTCAATTGATGTTCATAAACAATGTAGCCGAGTAAAAGCCTTTAACCTTATTTCGGAGGAAAGTATCTTAATGCATGTAATTCTGTATGTTAATGATTTGCACCAGTTTGCGATCGGAAAGGAGGCAAAAAATTATGCATACAGATATTTAGTTCCTCCATTTGATACTTAAATCACGATCAAAATCCTTTTTCAGAGGAAAGCGTTCCAGTAATGCAATCCTGTTGTGTTAGGGATTTGCATCAGTACATGATGAGAAAGGAAAGCTTAATAGGCTTACAAATGGAACTGGTGTAGTATGTGAAATGGTTCTAAAACAAAACGTCAAATAGTTCTGATTAATCATGCTTCGATACCATCAGTACTATGCATATCTTCAGACTTCAGATGTGAATGAAAGATGCCTTTTTTCTGCGGAACTATGAACTGGCCATTTTCATGACATGCTAGACTGGTGTTCTAATATAAATCCTCCGCACTTGGTTGTTAGGCCAAATTTGTCAATCTCGCCTGAAGATAGCTGGTTGCCAATTACCAGCATTTTGCTGTGCATCATTCACATTCAGGTTTAAAATCCCTTCTTTCCTTCACAATTTGTTTAATTAAGTCTTGAATTTAAGTCTTTCTTTAATGACAGCTCGAAGCAAGTATAAGGAACAGGGATATTGAAGCTTTGCAAATGTTTAGTGAGTTTGGAAAGCGTCTGTCCTCAGGATTCAGAAAAAACGATATAATCTCCAAAGACGAGGTAATTAGCAATGCTATAGTTACCTTGGGAGCTGTCAATACAATCTTCACATTTTAATTTGTTGATTTTTTCCTGTTGCACTTCAAGAAGACCTTAACAGACCACCATAAGAAGCTGCCATCTGCACACAAAAAATCCAGACACTTCATGAGGGATTTTGGAGTCCCTAGGAAACCATTCCAAGGTTCAAAGAGCCTGAACTTTGAAGAAGATGAAGAATTTGATGAAGAAAAGAAGCAGTAGGGCACAAACAGGCTAAATAAAACCATCCTTGTTGTAGAGTTGACTATCCATTTGAATCAATATTTGCTGTAGGTTTGTCTCTCTTGTTTTAGAATTGGTACTGTGTTGTAGAAATTCTGTCTACAGTTAGTAGCATAAGCATCACTCGCTTATATACATATGAAGATGGACTGGTTCAATGCCGGCTCTTGGAGAAAGATGTAATCACGAACTATTTACGCTTAGGTGTTTGGTCTCACATGGGATTAAGACTTCTTAGTGTTGTTATCATTAGGTCTCAAGTGTATTTACAATCCTATGAATAAGCTTGAGATCAGATTTAAAGCAAGCCATTATCACATCTGGCATGTCATACTGTGAGAAATGGATCTGTTTTGAAACTTCTAGTTAAATTGAGAAGATTTTCATTGGTTTAAACTTGAGACCTCAACTCCATTTCATGGTTTTTATATTAAGACTTTCCTTCTACAAATATGGTCCTTGGAATGACAGCTACCACTTTAAAGGTACAAGTCATGCACTCTCTTCCAGCAAGTTGGGAAATTACTCATTATTCTTGCTTACTGCCTAAAGCATTTTACAAGGTTGTGCTACTACCATGGAAACTGATCTGCAGTTTATCTGGAGAAACACTTGAAATCTTATCGCTATTAGGGTCTTGTCCTGACAATGGGGTACGGGCTTAAAAACCCCGACTTAATGCAGAAATCCAAAGCAACACCAGCAAAAGAGAAAATCAAGAGATTTTCAGAAATATATACAGCACTGTCAAGAGCAACTGGAAACAATCTGTCAATATCCAGCTGCTGCAAAGTTGGTTTGGCACCCAGCGTGGCAAGAGCTACATCAAGAATCACAACAGATCATCATCATTACTCAATTTTCCCACTATTTTATGTAATGTAAGTATGCAAGATGGTATTGCCATTTTTTTCTAGGTGGTAATACAAATAAATATTCTTTATACCTTTGACAATGCCAAAAGCAGCTGATGTTCCTGATTTGAGATGGAAGTTGTCCAAATCTCTCCTCACAGCATATCTGAAAGTTACTCCATACAAAGCACAGCTGACGAATGTGATTCCTAATGGTACTATCAGGTCATTAACATTGCCGGTTGTAGCTCGCGTCAAGGCTAAGGGAAGCCCTGCTAGAGTGCCAACTACTGCAGAAACTATAGCTGCTGTAACGGATTCTACCCGCTCTTCATCTTTGTTGATGATGGATTCAGTACCCACCTCAGGTAGTAAAGAGGATTCTTCAGCCCCTGTGGCCTCTAACGTGCGATATGCCTCGTCTACCATTGCCTTCGCTTCTGATATTTCCTTTTGACATTCTGCAATCTTGAAAAACAATTCGGGGCTCAAAAACTTAAGTCAAGTGAATAATCATTGATCGCACGGACCCAAAATAAATATACCAAGGCAGATGTAGATTATTTACATCATGGTCAGATTCTAATATTAGATCAAAGCTATCTTCTTTACTAAGCACAAAAAGGATCCCTTTATTGGAATCAATTATCTTTTTGAAGTGTAAAGCAACTAATCTGCCAAACAGTTCATTAATGCCACCTTGGTTTTTACATAATTGGAGCTTGCAGACCATTCTGTCTACTATTCGTCTATTCCTACTTTGGATTTTATATCCCAGCCAATCCAAACTCCACATCCTATCTAACTATCAAGCTCACTTATTTGACAACCACAGAGCATTTAGCGAGAATTTGCGTTTCATGAAACTTAACTTGAACCCAGGGTTTCTGGAAAAAAACTTCAATTACAAAGCAAACTGATACATTCAGTGTAAGCAAAATGAATGAACCAAAGCAACCAACCAACCACAATGAAACCCGGGTCAATCATTTTGGGACAGAGGAATAAGAATCACTGTTCTAAAATTGACAGTAAGAAACGAAAAGGGAAACCCAACCTCAGAAGTAGTAGACTGGAGTTTGTTGACATAATCTCTGATCTGCTGAGCTTCAGCTTCTTGCCTATCAAACTCAGCCAGCTGTTTCTTGGCCATTTCAACCCTAAGTGCAGCATCCTCCAACCCTTGTAACAAAGCCTTGTTCTCTTCTTTCCCTAGCAACATTTCAACTCTCTCATCCACCATTCCTGACAAAACTTCCTTCAAACTGCTATTATTGTTGTTACTGTTATCAGGAGGAGGACTGATATTGTTCTTGCTGCTGTCACTGCTGCATCTAACCACCATCAATGGATGATGTGCCATTTGAATTCTCCTTACTGAATGAAATGATTTCATCATCATTGGAAGATGGGCTCTGGAGAGGCTTGAGCTGGTGTAGGAATTGAATGTGGTGGTGGCCATTGATTTTCTTTTTTTTTTTTTTTTGCTTCAAGATTCTGTGTGGATTATTCATTTATTTAGATAAAAGGGAAAAAATTACTGGGCTTTTCCTAATTGGGCCATTATATTCGTGGGCCGCATTATAGTAGGTGATGTCCATGGTATAAATAAACAGAAGAAAAAAGGAACACATAAGAAACTCAAAAAGGAATTTTCTTTTCTCCTTTGTGTTACGATTGGGTAATGTTGAGAGCATTTTCAAGAAGTGTTTTTTTTCTTGCCTCCAACAAAACAACCTTCAAAAACTTCACCTTTCTTCCTCCTATCATGGCCGCCGCACAGTTCACCACCAACAGCCCAGCTTCTTCTCCGTCCCATTCTCATAATAGCTTCTCCGTCAAGAGGGTGGGTACCCACCACGGAAGCTTCCACTGCGACGAAGCTCTGGGCTGCTTCATGATTCGCCTCACTAACAAATTCGCCAACGCCGATATCGTCCGTACTCGTGACCCACAGGTAAGGTTCCTCCATTCTCCGTCGTTTTCTCTTTGGTTAACTTCTCTGTGATTTAACATGTCTTTCGGCGGGATTCTTTTTTTTTTTTTGTTATCTTTGTGGAGTTTTTTAGTTATGCAATTGATGTGTTTGTTAAAATGTCTGCTTCTGGAAATAAAAGGTTTTGGACACTCTTGATGCTGTACTTGATGTTGGAGGGGTTTATGACCCAAGTCGCGATCGTTATGATCATCACCAAAAAGGTTTTGAGGAGGTTTTTGGCCATGGTTTCAACACTAAACTCAGCAGTGCTGGACTCGTGTACAAGGTAATCACTATTGATTCATATGCTCGCTATGTTTATTTGTGACATTTTCTTTAGTAATTGACCGAAGCTCTTAAGTTTTATGCTTGTGTTGTTTTTGTTTTTTGTTTTCTTTTTGGGCTGAAGCTGTTAAAACTATGTTCTTGTCTTAATTGATTAGCATTTCGGGAAGGAGATAATTGCAAGAGAGCTCAACGTTGATGAAGAGCATCCTGATGTACAAAGATTGTTTTTAGCTGTTTATAAGAGCTTCATGGAGGTACTCATATCAATTTCTCTTTTCCTCCTACTAGTGATTATATGACTTATGTTCTCTGAGAATTGAAATCCCCTATGTCTCTAGTTTCTGAATTTTTAAGAAAACATCAATCTTTGTGCAACTCATGAGAAGTGAATCTTTAGTTTTCTTCCTTTTCGGAAAGTTGGAGAAAAAGCACAATATGTTAAGTATGGTTGTAGCCTTTGGTGAATTGCATGGTGAGGCTATACCTTGTAAAGACTTTTCCGACAGAAGTCAATTCATACTTATGCCGTTCTTTAGAATTACAAGGGTAATATGTATGAGATCTGCAACTAAAGATGTCTTTTCTTTGTTTCTGCCAAGGATAATGGAGCATCTATTTTACATTCTCTATTTGTCTTTTGAAAGCTTGTTATCATTAATTACTTGAAACAGGCAATTGATGCGATCGACAACGGAATTAATCAATACGATACGGATCTGCCCGCAAGATATGTGAATAATACACACTTGTCTTCACGGGTAGGAAGGTTAAATTTGGATTGGACTGACCCGGAACAATCGCCTGAGAAGGAGAATGAAGCTTTTGGTCGTGCAATGGCTCTGGCTGGTAGTGAATTCATGGATGTGAGTCTCTCTTGAACGTAGATCCTTTAATTTATTTTGAGATGGAGACATTATCAGCTCAGGTTTTGTTATCTTCTGTGTACATTAAATTAAATGTGTTCTCTTGGGTAATGGACATTAATGTTGTCTTAAAGGATGAAAGGATTTGAAAAGCTTTTATTTTCTAGTATTTGTTAAGTTGTTCATCTGTGCTGGGAGTAACTGTTTCTGCTATAACAATCTTGTTTTCCTTGTAGAGTGTGCGGTTTCATACAAGATCATGGTTACCTGCACGGTCAATTGTTATGGATTGTCTCGCTGAAAGAAAAGCTATTGATCCAAGTGGAGAAATAATGGTTTTGAAAAGATTTTGCCCTGTAAGTTGAATGAAAAGCTTTTGTAGCAATCACTTTTTCCATGTTTTCTCTTCCACTTGCAAAGTTATGTTAAGTTTGTATTGAACTAATCTTTTGGTCCCCAGATCGTATCAATGAATCTTACTTTAATATGTGTGGGATTGCCATGTCAATTATAAATGTCAGATTGACTTTTGTATTTTGGTTGCTATTTTTTAAAAAGATGTACTAGAAAGCCTCCAATTTGTAGTTGTGAGATTACTCTGAGAAAATTGTGCAGATAGTTATTGAAGTATATTAACTTTGGAATTTTGGTACACTAAGTTTTCTTAGTGTTTAATGATTCTTTTGTTAGAAACGTCTCATAGTATATGAGGAAATTTGTCCCTTGTCCTCGTTGGGAATTGATTAGTAGCTGAACAGACTTTCATTTGATGTTGTGTTCTCAGTGGAAGCTTCATTTGTTTGAGCTTGAGGAAGAGATGAAGATCGACCCCCCAATAAAATATGTCCTCTATGAGGTAATGACATCATCCTGTTCTTCTACTACATACATGAACTTTCTGGGAATTGCACGCCTCTTTTTTTTTTTTTTTTGGCACAAATTGCACGCCTCTTCTTTAAGTAAATTCCTAGGTTAAAGGTTTGCTACTTGTGATTTTGGTAGGATGACAGGAGCAAAGGTTGGCGAGTCCAAGCTGTAGCAGTATCACCTGATAAGTTTGAGAGCCGGAAAGCCCTGCCAGCTCAGTGGCGAGGCCTCAGAGATGACGAGCTCTCTAACTTGTCTGGGATTCCGGGTGGTGTGTTTGTACATATGAGTGGGTTTATTGGTGGAAACAAAACGTACGATGGCGCTCTAGCAATGGCCAAGGCTGCTTTGAAGCTCTAGGGCACCCAAAAACACATTAGTTTAGCAACAGTACCGCTCCATGCAGCCGGTTCCTTCCATTTTCGTCAGGCAGTAATCGGCTTTTGTTGTAGGATTTATCCGCTTCACATATTTTACTTCCAGTTGAACTAAATCCTAGTATAAAGAGAGGAAGCACATCCATTAATATTGATTGACCTCAATGTTTGACATATTTACTACAGTGAGGGTTCATATGGAACGTTTTTGTTATTTGAGTATCGGTTCTGAAAGCCATTCAAGGCTATCTCGAATGTCCTTATTTGATGCTTTGATTGTTTCTTCGTATTTCACTAATTTGTTTGAGTTTACGATTCATGATATCACAAATTACGTAAAATCGGCTCCTGCGTGTTTATTTCGTTGCTTACTAATAAATAAAAAAAAAGAAAGAAAGAAACAGCTTACTACAAATCATCTTTTCCTACCACTTGGGAAACCGAAAAAAATAAAAAATGAAATTAACTTGGTTTTCCGGAGTTAATTTTTACATTTTTCTTTGGAGACTGGAAAACAGTAACCGCTATACAGTAGCTCAGCAGCAGTGACAAAACCAAAACCCTCCAAAATCTCCCCTTTCCCCAATTCCCCATGGAGCTAGCAGCGTTACAAACCCGTCCCTCGACGGCCGCCGTTGCGGCCTTTTCACCGGCGAATTCTTCTTCTTCGTCATTGTCTACTCTGAGAAGAAACCCACTAACTTATTTTCCTACTACTTCATCTGCTATTACTTTTCCTAAGCCTCAGAGCGTCCAATTTTCCCCCTCAAAAATCATTCCCCAAATCTCTACAAACCCACCCTCATCCTCCTCCAAATGCATTAAAACTCGCGCTGCCGCCGACGGCCTCTCACCCCCGGAAACAACACTGAAAGCCCGGCTCAGAAACGGCGAGACCCTTTACGGGATATTCCTCCTCAGCTTCTCCCCAACGCTTGCCGAGATCGCTGGCCTCTCCGGCTATGACTTCGCCGTCGTCGACATGGAACACGGCCCCGGCGGAATCTCCGAAGCTTTGCATTGCCTCAGAGCTCTCGCGGCCACTAACACCGCCGCCATCCTCCGTATCCCCGAATCCTCTGCCACCTGGGCCAAGAAAGCCCTCGATCTGGGTCCGCAGGGGATTATGTTCCCGATGATCGATACCGCCGAGGATGCTAGAAAGGCGGTGTCTTTCTGCAGGTTTCCTCCTAATGGAATCCGGGGCTCCGCCCACACCGTGGTGCGGGCATCCGGGTACGGGCTTGACCAAGGGTATCTCAGCAATTACGAAGACGAGCTGCTGATCCTGTGCCAGGTGGAATCCGAGAAAGCGGTGAAGAACATAAAGGAGATAGCGGCGGTGGAAGGCGTGGATTGCATCCAGATGGGCCCTTTGGATTTGAGCGCCAGCTTGGGTTACTTGTGGGACCCGGGTCACAAGAAGGTGAAGGACGTATTGAGGGCCGCCGAGAGAGAAATTCTGGAGGACCAAGATGAGGATGGCGGTGGCCGTAAGGCGTACTTGTCGGGTTTTGCAATGCCGCACGACAGGGCGGTTGATCTGAAAGCCAGAGGCTATCACATGGTGTCCGGACCTGTGGATGTTGGGTTGTTCCGGAATGCGGCGGTGGAGGATGTGAACACGTTTAGGATGGGCTTGAATGGAAGTTCGAGTGACGATCATAGTGATGAGGAAGGAGATGGTAAGGAGGATGATGACGACAAGTATTGGAGTGAGTAGAGTTTAGTTTAGTTCCGTCTTGCTGTCTAGCTTGCATCAATGAAGAAGGAAATGAAAAGAGAAAATGAAACGACTGTGTTTTCTTGTTCCAAGATCATCTTTTTTGTAATTACAGTTTTTCAGTTTTGTTTGAAGTTTGAACTACCAATTTCATAGAATAGAGGACTGCTCCATGAACAGATGAATCATGGAAAGAAATTGAAAATGGGCATTTCATAAAAGAGGTCTTATGTGTAGCAAACTGCAAAATTCAATCTGCCTTCTGTTTTACACAGTGGTTTGGAATCAGTAGTATCAACATTTTCATTCTAGTTTGCTTCATGGTTCGGATCACTGTGAATATCACTTGTCTTGGGCTTCCTGCCAGGGGCGTTGTATTTTGGGCTTTCGTAGGCATTATTGGCAGATTTAGAGATTGCTGTGTCTTTGACAGATTGAAATGTCATACTTAATTGAGGAAACATGGATCCAGGGACCAGGATTGAGAGACTAGAGGTTATTGCTGGATTATCAAAGTTCTTAGAGATCAATTGAAGTGCCTCATGATGTATTCCAATTTTCACATAAATGGTTACCCTGTTACTTCCCCATCTGTGCATAACTGTGTTTTAAGATGCCTTCATGTGTGATTGTCCAACTGTCCCATGTGCCATGTTTCTTTATGCTACAACTGATGGACTAAAACTAAAAACCCTGCATTATTATCATTCCAGTAGATCCATGTTTTCGTATTGAATCCCACAAAAGGGCCAACCTTCAATTTAATATGGGGATTGATTGTGTGCTGTAAACATGGGAAACTATTGTTTCATGCTCCTCGTCTCGGCAATTTCCCATTTTCATTCTTTTATTCTATGTTTTTCACAGTGCATACCATATAAATGTTGACTTCAAACTTTGAAGTACTTACTGCCATTATTCTACGCATTTAAAAAGTAAGGACATTCTTGGTAAATCAAACTTGGCATTTTTTCCCCTTTTTCACACCAATCAAGCCAGCAGTTGTATCCTTCTCGTTTTTGCCCAATAAGATTTTCCTTAATATTTGTGTGCCCCATTTCCCCCTGACCTTCAGAATTGACACTTGACAGACAGAGAAAAGAAGCAGAGTATCATAGTGAAAGGGAAGGCAGGGAAAAGAGAGAATGGCCGCTCTCACCACAACCTCAACTCTTCAGTTCTTCTTCCTACTGATGATCCAAGCAGCCACATTCATCAGCTGCTACCAATACAAAGTTGGAGATTTACATGCTTGGAACAAACCCACCTCTGCAAATCCAGACATTTATGCCAAATGGTCTGAAAATCACAAATTTCAGCTTGGAGATTCCCTATGTAAGTCTAGTTCCCATTGCTCTTCATTCTCTCAACTTCCTTTCTTTTTTCCTGTTAGCCTTTGAAATTTTGGGTTGTGAAAAATCAAATCTTTGCTGCAGTTTTCCTATACCCGCCAAGTCAAGATTCGGTATTACAAGTAACGCCACAACACTTCAAGAGCTGCAACCGTAAAAATCCGATCTTGACAATGAATGATGGCAACTCAGTCTACAACATCACCATTGGTGGGGAGTTTTACTTCATCAGTGGAGTTGAGGGTCACTGTGAAAAGGCCCAAAAGATTCAAATTTCAGTCCCTGCTGAAAATGGATCTGTGTATGTTTACCCACCAGCTGAAGCTCCAAGTGCTGCTGATGCAGAGTCTCCTTCTGGAGGGGCCATCCCAGATAAGGCTTCTTCTTCATCGTCATCACAATTCTCCAAGATGATTAGTCCAATCTTCTTGTCGGCAATCCTGGTGTTGGTAATATCTTTCGTGGGCAGTGGCAGCAGCTGATGAGTTTACATTTGTTCATTCATTTCGGCATTTAAAGTTGATTCATAAGTTTCATTATTTTTCCACCCGAGTAATATTTGTACAAGATGTGATTTTGCACATTGTCCGCTCACATAGCTCTATTACATTGTGGAGAAGTGTTGTTACATAGTACAGTATTTTTCCAATATTTTTGGTTCTGTCGACTCAAAAATTTCTAGTCTGTAAAATTACCCGTTCAAAATCTCAATGGTGAAAGAAGAAGAATTCGAGTCTGTACATTTTTAGCCGTTGCTTTCATTGCCTTGCTTTTTCTCCTTTTTATTTTTCTTAAGAAAAAATCACTAAATCTAATTAGAAGGGCCTTTGATTGAGTTGGGTAAGACACAAGAAAAGAGAGGGGTCACAACTCACAAGTCACAAGGTTCTAGCTGGAATCAATCAATCAATTATTATTATTATTTTCTAAAACAACTTGAGTTGCCGACAATCAATCGCAAAAGCAAAGCAAATTTTGTTTTAACTTTTGATTACAGTCTTATAGACGCATTGCCATAGACAAAACAAACATTGCAACCTCATGGACCAAAAAAGAGTTGAGGGGCTCCATATGAAAATACTGAAAAATTAAAGAACATGATTCTGTTGCAAGACCCAAGGAAAATGGATCAAGATTCACTATACACAACTCTGGCTGGAATCAAATCTATGATCGTTCCACAATCCCAAGAGCAACATTGTGAAACTTTTGAGATTATTAACACTGAAACTTCATCCACATTGTAAATATTAGATTTTCATTTAAGGCATTGGAGAGGCAAAAACTGCCCAGCAACTCATCTCTTATCCTTGCGGTATGCGGCAGGATAAAATCATGTATAAACATTTACAAAACCCTCAATGAACTGGGGGTTCGCTGCATGATTAAATAGTTGAATTCGACAGTCAAATGCCCATTCCTTTCCTCGCTGTAGACTAGGTTACTGGAAAGGTCATAATCTAACCCTACAGATAATCAACTTAACAAGGATGCTAGCTGGTTACATCCACATCAAGATGCGAGGGCTTCTACTGAGAAGTCGTAAGCAGTAGGATTGGTAGCCTGGACATGTGGGGCTCCCAAGGTCTTCGATACGCCTTCCCCTAAAGAATTCCTTACGCCTGATCTTGGCAGTGATGAGGGTTGCACCTCAACATCAGGATAAGCAGCCTTGGACCTTGCCCGAAGGCCTTCATCTACTAGTCGCACGCCATTTAATTGGTTACCCAGAGACATCCACCTGCCACATATACACCCAACCGGTACAGTTCAAATCAATAAGGCCATGTTTGAAATGAAAAAGATATTTAGTAAAGGAGATGCTACTGCTTTTAGTGGTAGTTTTGTCTATAATTACCAACAAAAAAAAAAAAAAAAGCTTTGGGTTTTAGCTCTGACATTACTGCTACTCTGATGTCAGAGTAAAAGCCCCATCCATGTGTTTAGATTATATTACAGTCATACACATCAACTTCTCATAGTAATGATCACCAATGGTAAAGTTAAAGGAAAAAGAGTGCACTTCTGAAACTTAAACTATTTCGGATGACAGCTGAAATTCTGTAAAGGCATATATTTGTAGATCTATATCGCATAATCATGTAGCAGAATTATACATACCCAGGATGACAAGTATGCACCCGAGCAAACAACTCTAGCTTTCTAGCCTCGGTCATGATCCGCTGAAGCAAAGAATACATCTGTAATAAGGAAGACATTGATTTAGTTTCCAAAAATTATATGCGTCGACCTTTGTTAATGATTGGGGAAAAAAAACGGAAAGTCTAGTTGTGGGGCAAACATGGATGGATAGTAAAACCTCCCTCCCTATAACAAAATATACTAACCTCATCTGGCTTCCGACTTGTCTCTCTGACTTCAGAAACAATGACGTCAGTGTCGATATTTCTATTTATTTGTGGATTACCCTTTATTCCAACAAGGCAGGGCTCCTTACTGTGATTCAACCAATGCCCAGTTCGGCCTGTTTTGATTGTATGCTGCAGCTGGTTAATCTTCACCCAGGTGATCTCCTCAACTCGTTTGTATCCCCATAGCTCCAAACTATGACAACATGACAATAAAATGCTTTAAGTGTCCAGCTCATCATATTACTTGCACATTTGCTTTTTGCAGATGAACAGTAGTATCAACATCTATCAGACTGACAAAAATTTCCCAAAACAAATCAAAGAGGGTTGCATAGATTATTCATGAGAAAGCGATTGCCTTGTGATGGCCATCAAACTTAAAAAGGCAAGCACATGCGGACACACATTATAGATCCTCGATCCACATTACCAGAGGAAGAAATTATTAAATAATCCATTTACATACATTATAATACACTGAGAAGCAAAAATTCCATGTTTCCCCCCTTATCTTTTAAATAGACACACAAGCTTGCGTATAACAATTACATGCACGAATTCATCAGTCTAACAGATTGTAATTCTGTTCTAAATGATCAGCATAACTTTATATGACGATATTCAGCATCATTTCATATAATTTAGTTAACAATATTAGCAGGTGGTTGATACTTTTGTTAGGACCAAGGTTTCAAAATCCCAATTTCAAATATGATCTGTGTCACAGGGTCGGTAGGATAGGAATAAAGTATATAAATTTTAAAATTATATTTCAATATATTTTTATTTAGTTCTGAGTGAAGATACATTATTAATAAAGTGAGAGAGAGGGAGACCTATAACAAAACCAAAATGTGTAGAAAAAGGATAGAACTGTATTCTTAAGCCATCTCTCTGTCCAAACAAAATGGTCATGATGCTCTCCCTGCTTCCTGAAATGATTGTCCAGTTTGGGATTTCACTTATGGTACAAATTGTACTAAACCTCAAAATCCAAACTGGACAATCATTTTGGGACGGAGGGAGTAACAGAAAAGGCCCCTCATCGAAGTTGAGACCAATGCTGACCATCTTCCTCTTGATCAGTTTACCCGAGGAAAGGCCAAAACTAGAGCAATGAAAATAAGAACCTCTACCTGATCCAACGCTGATATTTCACTTCTTTCTAGAAGGATTATGCTCAACTGTAATACTTTCCTAAAACTCAAATACCTCAAGTTTAATCTTTTTATTTACAGTCAGTTCTCTGCCCAAAATCAATTTTGCAGTGCATCGACTGAACTCATCAAACTCGTACAATTTTGACCGATTCCTTATGATCCTAGAGCAAAAACGATCATTATCGATCAAGATCGATTTACTGATTACGGATTACCCTATGATCCGGATAATGATTTTGAAAATAATGATTAAGGAAAAACAACAAGGATCTTAAAAATAAGAGACCAAAAGGGTTGAATTCCAGATATAATAAATAAGAGATGCTCGCTCAAATCGTGAGGGGCCCAAAATGTTCCTACTAGCGTAGATGAATAGCCAAATGCTTTTAGATAGCATAAATTGAAGATGCAACCATAAAAACATTACCAGCTAAGAAAAACATGTAGGAAATCCAAAAATATAAAACATTGCATGTAAAGACACATACATACCATTCACGCCCCAGCTCCATTGCACGTTCAGTCACCCACAGAAAAATCAGACCGTCAGTCTGCAAAGCTGGAACATTAAGTGTTCGCATTTCATCATGAGCCATTGTCCCGTAAGGCAATTCAATATGAATATCCCATGGTGGATCGGCCATGATAACGCCATAATGCCCGAGAATATCCATTTTAAAATTCCGTATATCACAGTTAATCCATTGCGGTTCACCAAGCTCAACTTCCGAACAGTAATGCACATCCCTTTGAGGCGTTAAAAGCTTGGGAGGAGTAAGTGCCCCCAATGCAGGCATATCCGGGGTTGAGTCGAGTACGTAATGCACATGCGGGCATGTCGTCTATTAACAACATTTGATGTTAAAAATATAACTCAAACAGCATTCAAGGTTAGTCTAAAAAATACAATTTAAAACCTTGTACATTTGCAAAATTCACCTTCATATTGCGACAAGTATCGAGGAAAGGGCAGTTACCCGTAGTGACATCTGTATGAGCAATTATTCTCCGGAAATGAACCTAAAATACGAAACATATCTAACGTTAAAAAAGTCCAGTGAACTTATCAATGTGACAACAACACAGTAACAACTAACAATCTGTGTCTGATGAATAAAGATATGATAACTAACCTTCTGGCAGGCGATAAATGAACCAGACTGACATCGACAGTCTTCCTTGGTCGCTGCCGTGCAATACTCTCTCACTTGAGAAACTTTGCTTTTGAACTGAAAAAATCGCGTGTATGTATCACCAAAAAAAAAAAAAAAAAAAAACAAGATGACTTCATGTTTTCACATACTACAACAACACCCTTTTCAAAAAAAAAAAAAAAAAAAATACTACAACACTAACATACCCAGTATATTCTTAACTTCGTTGGGGCTAAGTATTTTCAATACAGAGAGACTGTTTGAATACAACCAAGATGCATACGGGTACTGATTGCCAGCAACTTCACTAAAATTAAGAAGCATTGAAATTTGTTTGAGCCATTTTGATAGAGTCCATTATTAGCACAAGGCTAAAAGATTTCTCTACAATGACTCTTCTTTTGCAGTGGACATTCAGGTTTTCAACATAAAGAGGAAAAATCCTAGAACAAATTAGGAGGTCATTCTCTTAAACATGTCAAGAGTGAAGCACATGGTTCCAACTTCCAACATGCAACAGGTAAAAATGTTTAGAATAACTGGATTAACAAAACCTGACCAAAGCTTTGAACTGTGTCCTGATAGATAACAGCTAACAAAAGGAAAAATGGTGCAACAAAGCATCTAGATTAACCAGATAGCCAGACTAAAACTCAGGCTGACAGGGGCCGCATAGCCAGCTTTCCATTTACATCTTATCAGTACAATTCTAACAATTTTCCGGATTCAAAATGATTATATATCAAAAACAATTTTCTTTATTTTCGATACAAAACCATACTGAGATCAAAAGAGAAACACTTCCTCTAACTTTTCATATCATAAGCAGAAACAAAAACAGCTCCTCAGCTGCTAGTTCAATTCGGAATATTAGACAACCATATTCATAATTCTTTAATCTACATTTCAATTCTCATTTTCTGACAACCTATTATATTCAATTTGACATCTTTCCACAAAGAACTTGCACCATTATCAAGGACAAAATGATAACTAAACTAAAAACAGCATGGTCGTTCCTATGGACCTAAAACATTTCAGAAATCAGAAGAGAAACGGTTATTAAAATGAAAATCAAACCTTGGCAGCCATAGCAGCTTCCTTAGCAGTGGGTCTGTGAATAAGGTCCACAAGCTCTTCCCCAACCTTTGACTTCTGCTGTTCACAAAAACTCTTCTTATTAAACAAAGCCTCAATTTCCTTCATATCATCCTCTTCCTCCGACCTACTCCGCTTCCCATCACCAGGAGAAGGAGGAGGTATTTCTCTCGGATTCCTAAAACCCCCACCACCAATATTACTAATGCTAGCCGGAGGACCAAGATTGCAACATTTGAACTCAGAATTGGACTGATAGTAAGGCTGTTTACTCTCCAGCGGCTTACTGGCCACAATATCATCAAGCTCCACTCCACCATCATCCTCTGCCGTTGGCGGCACTCCATCTATTGACAGAAGAGATTGAGCACTCAGCTTCTTCTTCTGCTTATTTACCATTATCAATGGCTCGGATTTGGGAATGGAGAGGGCTTTTCGTTTTTGAGGGCGGGAAACGGGAATGGGAAGCGGAATAAAGGGTCGACCTGGATTGAAGGAAGAAATAGTTTTAAGAGAAGGGTCGAGAGAAGAGACGAGGTCAGGCACAAGGGTTTGGACGAGTGAGGCGATGAGCTCAAGCTGAGCATCGTGGAGGGTCTCGACCCGGGTTGCTAATTGAAGCTTGGCTTCCCTAATGGCCGCCATGGGATCTTCCGCAGTTGCAGAATACCGCAATTCTGTATCCATCTCTTTTTCTTCTTCGATCTCTTCTTCTTCGTGATCTCTTCTCTCCGGCACGGAATTGATCGGCGCAGGTTTTTCATAATCTTCGCGGGAGGGCTTAAGATGCAGAACTGGCGGCAAATTTAACCTTTTTGACCTTTTATTTTTACATATTAAGATACCCAACGTTTTCCTTTTCTTAAGGGTTTTTTTTTTTTTAATTCTCTTTTAATTTTCTTTAATAAAATATCCCCACAAAAATAGTTCACATTAAAAATTTTAAGAAAATATTGACTATTCTTTAAAGAAAAGGAGTACTATAATAAAATAATGACGGTCTATATCAGAAACATGAAAATAACAAGTAATCCCTAGATGTATTGATAAATAAAAAAAAAATTATTCTATTCATTTTTATTTTTTTTCATTTCTCAAATAAATTGAACTAGTATTTCAATTCTAAAAATCGTGGATATTTAAAACTTGTGAAAAATTTCCAGATTAATCACATCGTAATTTCAACAAAATGCCAAAATGTAATAATTGGATTTCCTTTCAAGGAGGTGAAAACACTGGCCAGCAGCGCAGCATGATATAAGCATTCACAAAGGCACAAACTCTCAAATGAACTGGAGTGGTGCCTGGTTAAGTAATGGAATTCGACAGTCAAATGGAGCGCAGTGGCCAATACTTGCCTCTTTGTACACTAACTAGGTTACAGGAAAGACCATAATCTAACCTCTAGAAATAATCAAATTATGCTAGTTGGTTATATCCACGTTGAGATTTGGGGGCTTCTCTTGAGAAGCCATAGGATTGGTTGCCTGGACATGTGGGGCTCCCGAGGTCTTCAATTCACCTTCCCCCAGCGAATTCCTTGCATTGGAGTCCACGTCCCTCGGTGGTGATGCGGGTTGCACCTCAACATCAGGATAAGCAGCCTTGAACCTTGCCCGAAGGCCTTCATCAACAAGGCGTACGCCATTTAGTTGGTTACCCAGAGACATCCACCTGCCACGTGTGCGTCAAACCAGTACAATCCAAATCAATAAGGCAACCAATATTCAAAACAAACAAGATATGTAAGTAAAATGGGTGCTATTCTGAATTCGAAATAAATAAGCTTTGGGAGCTAATTTTAAATCTGACGCTAGCACTACTGTAAGTGTAATGTCAGGGTAAGTGCCCCATCCATGAAAATGTTTAGATTATTTACAGATTCCACTTCTCAAATTAAAGATCACGAATTGTAGATTTAGAGGAAAAGGGCGTGCATCTCAAACTTAATCTATTTCAGATTATAGCAGACTGAAATTCTGAGAGGCAAATTCAAGGATTCATATTTTCCATTCAAGAAGCAGAGTTATACATACCCAGGATGACAGTTATGCATCCGAGCAAACAATTCTAGCTTTCTAGCCCCAGGCATTATCCGCTCAAGCAAAGGGTACATCTGAAATGAGAAAGACATTGATTTAGTCTCCGAAACTGTGATGTGTCAAGCTTGATTAAGCATTGGAAAAAAAAAAGAAGAAAAACTTTTAATCTGGATAGATGCCTTGTTGCAAGGGTGCAAACATAGATGGATATTCACCTCATCTGGCTTCCGACTAGTCTCTCTGACTTCAGCAACGACGACATCGGTGTCGATATTTCTATTTACTTCAGGATTACCCTTTATACCAACAAGGCAGTGCTCCTTACTGTGATTCAACCAATGCCCAGTTCGGCCAGTTCTGATAATACGCTGCAGCTGGTTGGTCTTCACCCAGATGATCTCCTCAACTCGTTTGTACCCCCATAGTTCCAAACTACAAATGACAATTAAAAACTTTTAAGTTTCCAGCTCATCATATTACTCACATTTGATTTTTACAGGATGTACACCAGCAACATCTGTCAGCATGAAATTATTAGAGAATCCATTTAGATACATATCAATATACTGAGATGGAAAATTTCTGTTGTTCATATCTTTAAATCTAATCACTTGAGCTCCCAACAAAATAACTAAATGCACAAATTTATCAGTCAAACGAAATGTAATCCACTTCAGGGACAATATTAAGAATCACCTTTTCTAATTTAATTAACAATATCAACAGGTGATTTTTACATCTGATTGTTAACTAAGACGAAAAATGGTGAGATCTTAAAGACAAGAGACCAAAAGTGTTGGATTCCAAATATAAGAAATGACAAGTGATATAAGCTCAACACATTTTTCCTCCAACTAAAGTTGAAGATGAGCCCGGAAAAACATTACCAGCCACAAGTATTTGGGAAATCCAGAAATTGAAAGCTAATAAAGACAACATGCATACCATTCACGCCCCAACTCCATTGCACGTCCAGTCACCCATAGGAAAATCAGACCATCAGTCTGCAATGCAGGAACATTAAGTGTTCGCATTTCATCATCAGCCATTGTCCCATAAGGCAATTCCATATGAATATCCCATGGTGGATCGGCCATGATAACCCCATAATGCCCAAGAATATCCATTCGAAAATTCCGTATATCACAGTTAATCCATTGTGATTCACCGAGCTCAACTTCTGAACAGTAATGCACATCCCTTTGAGGCTTTAATGGCTTGGGAGGAGTGAGTGCCCCCAATGCAGACATATCCGGTGTTGAGTCGAGTTCGTAATGCACATACTTGCATGTCTATCAACAAAAGCTGATGTTAAAAATACAACTCAAACAGCATTCAAGGTTAATCTAAAAAATACAGCCTAAAATCTTGTAGATATACAAAAATTCACCTTCATATGGCGACAAGTATCAAGGAATGAGCAGTCACCCAATATGACATCCGTATGTGGAGCAATAATTCTCCGGAAATGAACCTAAAATATGAAGCATGTACATTGTCAAAATAGTCCATTGACAATCAAGATATCCTATCTAAAATATAGGAACAACTAACGATCTGAATTTAATAGATAAAGATACGATAAATAACCTTTTGGCAGGCAATATATGAACCAGACTGACGTCGACAATCTTCCTTAGTCAAAGCCGTGCAGTACTCTTTCACTTGAGAACCACCTTTGCTTTTGAACTGAAACAATGGCATTTACTTATTTAAAAAGAAGATGATCTCAGGTTTTCAACATATAGATTAGAAAACTCAAACAAATTAGGAGGTCATTCTCTAAGACATATCAAAACTGAAGCACATGGTTCCAAAATGCAAAAAGTATTAAAAGAAAAAGTAAAATAAACAAATAAATAAACATAAAAATTAAGGTAACAGGGAGCACTATGATCTGACCAAGCTTTGAACCTCTCCTAAATCCTAATAGATAAGAGGTAGAATGGATGGAATAAAGCACCACGATTAACAGATATCCAAACTAAAGAAACACTCTGGATCCATGGACAGCATTCCATTTTTCATCTTATTTCTTGTGTACCGATTTTTTGAATTCAAATGCTATTACATTTTCAAAACAATTTTCTACATTTGCAATACAAAATCATTACCGAGACCAAGAGAGAAACACTCATCTTTTCAAACTTAAATTTTCAGATGACATGTGGAAACAAAAACAGCTGATCCGCTTCTAGTTGAATTCAGAATTCTCGAGAACCTTAAAAAAAAAAAAAAAAAAACCCCACTTCAATCTTCATCTCTCATTTTCTGACAATCTATTACATTTAAGTTGCACATGCAATATACTTTCCAAAAAGAATTTGCAACATTGTCAAGACAAAATGATAATCAAAAAGACCTAATACGTTTCCAGATATCTGCTCAGCTAGTAGTTCAATGCAGAATTCCTGACAAGCAGCCAAAGGAAAAATTAAATCATCAGAGAAATAACTAAATACTATAAACCCAACCTTTGCAGCCACAGCAGTTTCCTTAGCAGTCGGTCTATGAATGAGGTCCAAGAGCTCCTCACCGGCCTTTGACTTCTGCTGTTCCCTAAAACTCTTCGTATTCAACAAAGCCTCAATATCTTTCATATCATCCTCCTCCGATCTACTAGGCGGCTTCATAGCAGAAGTTGGCCCCACCACCATGTTCATGGGCGTGGGAGGCCTCTGCATTGGAGGCGGCACCCCAACTCCCCTTGGCATCATTCCCATAATCCCACTGCCAGGAGAAGGAGGAGGCATCCCTCTTGGCATCCCCCTTGCAAACATTCCAGGGCTGGTTCCCCACATCTCCGGCCTCATTGGCCTAAAACCCCCAGCCCCACCACCACCAAGATTAGCATTACTATTGCTAGCTGGTGGCCCAATGTTTCGACTTTTTAAGTCGGAATTGGACTGCTGATAAAGCTGTTTACTCTCCGGCAGTTCTTTTACGAGCTTAGTCCGATCAATAGATACCACCATCACCCTTGACTTCCCATTGACCACAAATTCCTCAAGCTCCACGCCACCATTATCCGCTGCCATTGACCGCAGAGCCATCTCCACGGCCAGAATCCCACCAGTCTCCCCTCCTCCTCCTCCCAGCTCCCTCAGAGCCGCCCTCTCCACAGCCGTCGCTGCCGACTGGTCATTATCCTCCTGAAGCTTCCTCAGAACCGAGGAGGAATCGATTCTCATAAACGGAACAATCTCCAGCAAACACACCGCCACCATGGACCTGACCACCGAAAGCGGTGCAACCCCACCACCACCACCAACGCCCTCGTTAACCGCCGGTGGTGGCGACGACTTCAGCTTCTTCTGCTGATTCAAGATTGAGGGCTCGGATTTTCGAATGGGGGGGGCTTTACTAGGGCCGGAATTGGGAACGGGAAGTGGGTTGGGAAGAGGAACAAAGGGTCGACCTTGATTGAAAGTAGAAATAATATGAAGAGAAAGGTCGAGAGAAGAGACGATGTCAGGGACTAGGGTTTGGAGAGAGGAAATGAGCTCAACCTGAGCTTCGTGAAGGGTATCTACCCGGGTTTCTAACTGCTTCTTGGCTTCTTTAACGGCGGCCAAGGGATCTTCCGCCGACGCCGGCGCCGACGACTGCAATTTGGTATCCATCTCTTCTTCAATCCGTCAAGAATCTGTCTCGCTCATGATCTCATGTAAAATGACAACTTTCTTTATGAATTTCGATTGGGAAAATGAAGGGTTCTAAGTTTTAACTATCTTTGGAAGGGTTTAAGAATTAAGATGCAGAAACAGTTGCTTAGGACTCATATGACTTAGAACCTCGACTCCATTCTTGAATAGACAGCAAGGTGCCAAACCCACAAATGAAGAAGAAGGAGTTCTTTCGGACTGGCGAAGAGGAGACTGGCTTTCATTTTGGGTCAGTCTTGGTTCAAAAATAATGGGCTGGTCCTGCTATCGGGGGAGATGGTCAAGCCCATTGGAAGTTTTATTAATTTTATGATAATAGGATAAAAGAAACTGGTTGGTACTTCTCTCTAAGTTCTAACTAAGGAAACCGAAGTGATTGTGTTAGAGTGGAAGGGACTTTTTCACCCTTAACCATAGGTTGATGGTCCGAATCTTGTCAAGGGAATGAGCAATCTTAAATACTTGGTCAGCTGTCTCACCCATTGAGGTGCCTATAATTCAGCAAGGGGGGATTAGTCATTGTTATCGACGGTGGACACCAGGCTAATATGCAAAAAGAAAAAAAAAAAAAAAAAGAAGAAAGTTCTAACTAAGGATTGTAATCCTAGAAAGCTTTATCAATGGAATGGTGGTATTATTTATGTTTTATAGTATCTCTGTCCCGAAATTATTGTCCGGATTGAATTTTTAGTTTTAGTATAAATTGAACTAAAAATAAAAATTCAAACTGAACAATTTGGCCAGCTATCTCACCCATTTAGCTGCCTACAATTCAGCGAGAGGAATTAGTCACTGTTGCCGATAGTGGACACCCTGCAAATATGCAAAAAAAAAAAAAAAAAAAAAGTTCTAATTGAGGATTGTAATCCTAGAAAGCTTTATCAATGGAAGGGTGGTATTATTTATGTTTTATATTATCTCTATCCCGAAAATGTTGTCCGGATTAGATTTTTAATTTTAGTATAAATTGAATTAAAAATAAAAATTCAAACTAAACAATAATTTTGGGCGAAAAGAGTATCAATTTTCAGGATGATATATCAATGTTGCTTTGAAAACTTAAAAATATATATATGTTCATCTCGTATATACGTGTAAACTTTCAGATTAAGTTGAAGTAATGACTGCTTCCACTCTAAAGTCTTCGGAGGGAGTATCAAACAACTTGTGCATAATATAGATAAGCACTATTCGCAAGTCGCAATGAAACATCACAAAATCAGATGAAAAGATGTCGCAAGTCACCTGAAATGATCACTTGCAATTCGTGAACACTGGATAAAAGAATAAGAAGCATTTGTTTCATTTGAAACCAAGATATACAAAGTAGAAGAAACCTCTTACATCTACCAACAATGCTCTTTTCCTAAAGTTGTAATAACTTCCAAGGATTTTGAAGGCATAAAACTTTTTAAGAAACCACAGGACAACCTGAGACAGAAATCCCTTTGGCAGTAGGGCAGCTAGCATAAGCACATCCATCAAGGTCATTTCCCCACCAATTCACACTAATGTCTTCCAATCCCAAACTCATATACAACACAACTCCCATGAATGCCAATCCAGCATCCAAAGCCCCTGAAAGCACATAATTGAACCTTTGCCATGACTCTGGCCTGTACTTATACCAAACGTAACCCGACAAAAATCCCACGATGATCCACGTCGTGAAGTTAACCGCGGTTGCGGGTGGCATCATTCCGGTTGCCCCGATCAAAACAGGCATGTTTATGAGCTTAATCCATTCCTGATTCGGAAAAGCCCTCGCAGCTAGCCAGACTAGCAGGGGAGCTATTGCGCCACCGAGGAAGAACCAGTTCACCATCGCATAGGTTCCCAAATCACCAAAGATTCTACGAGGGCCGATTAATCCCCAGATCACTGATGCATCGTAGAACACGCGATCCCCCGGGCAAGTCCAAACTGTCTGTGCAGATGTTGCCTGACATATCTCCGGGATTGACTCTAGCAACCACCACGCCGTGCCTAAATAAACGAAAGCCGCGATCAGGGTACCTACAACTTGCGCCATGAACATTGTCCTTGGAGGGATTTTCATGTAATGGCCTAACTTGAAGTCTTGCAAGAAGGTAATAGCCTGAGTCATGCTAATGTATCCATACACCTTGAAACACATGTTTGCTACTGGATACCCCGGATAGATGTATCCGATTATGTATTCGGTGATGATGTTCAATCCAGGTGTCTGTCAAATTCATATAAAATTTTTGCACACAAGTTAAAGTTTAAGGCTCGGAAAAATGTCAGAACGCTAATTTAGATATGCATTAATTTTGTAACCTGGTTAGTGATGGCAGTGATGATTCCAATTGGGAGAGTGAAGAAAATGGCAATGAAGCAGGCCAATATGACACCCCACCATGGCAATTGAAGTTGCTCATTGTAATACTCACAAGCAAAAACTGTAAGTGCCACATTTGCCAACAAAATACACCAGAACCACCATTCAGGTACTTGATTATATTTGCTCATCAGCTTGGTGTGTATGTCCATTTTCTTCTCTTTGAATGTTGATCTGCTTTGCTCCCAGATTTCCCTACATTATTACAACAACCACATCAGATATTAATTGAAACATCTAGTAAATTCCCTTTGAAAGTTGATCTGCTTTGCATAATCAAGTTTAGGTTTGATTTGGTAATTTTCTCGTCTACTAGCGCCACATGTAAGAAATTGATATTCTTTCCTTTTTTTTTCCCCATATTGCAAGGTGTCCATTGTCGGCAACAGTGACTACTACCCCTCACTCATGGTAGGCACCTCGCTCATGGTAAGAAACTGATATTCTGATCATAGAATTGTGGAATAAATGAGCAGTGAGAACATGCACCAAAGAATGTACCTTCCATGGAAGAGGAAGACATGGACAAGGGTAGCAGTGAGAGCAGCAAAGCCAACTCCATAAGTCATGGCAAAGAAAGTGCTGAGATAAAGGGGTCCTTGTTTCTCATAAGCCTCAAGATCAAGGTGAAAATTGGAGTCAATAATGCTTGAAATGTTGTACACTTGGCCTTGTGTTGTGAACATTCTTGAAGAGAAAATTGGGAAATTCTTGGCTTTGTAGAGGTTGGACCAATAGGCAATTGGTGTGACAACATACATCACAAGGAAAAATCCAGCTGCGACATTGGCAGTGGCAAACCAAGGGCTGGCAAGTGGGCTTCCAAGGTATGAGGAAATGGATGACCAATCAAGCCCAATAGCACCTATACCCAACCCATATAAACCTGAACCAAGCTGCTGGGCTATTACTGAAGTGGGGAAGAGCCAACAGACCCAAGAGAGGGAAGTTAGCATCTGGAAAAGATAGCCAGGGAAGACATAGTAAGCAAAGCTGCAAGTGAAGGCAATGAGGAAGAACTGTGTTCTTGTTAGTCCTCCCTTCGGCCGCTCTTCCCTTTCGTGCAAGGCCCTGTATCATCAACACAAATTGTTACTAATTTTGCCAATCGTTTTTTAGACCATCAGTAAAATGAAATAGTAACTAATGAAATGATATATAATGCTTATAATGAATGTAAGAATGATTCTTCAATTTTAGGTAAGCTTTGAATCACCAAGAGCTTTTTGTATATGTCTTTATAGAGAAATCATCAAAACTAAGAATATATTAATTAATATAGTTAAAATACAAAAATATTCTTATTTATTGTCTATACAATTCATCACAAACCAATAGAAATTCATTATATATACAGTTTCATTTCCAATGCAAAGGTAATATTGGTAAAAAGTGGTCAAATATGTCTCGATTTATGAAAACGACATATATTTAGAAAAATTCACCAAATCTTGAAATGACATATATTTCAAAATGGAGAGATTATTAATCACGTAAGGGGTCCAATAATGTACCCTAATTGTCCTTTCATGGGTGGAATTAGAATTATAAGGGCACAATAAATTCTCGTCTAGAACAAAAGAGAAAGGAAAAAGGGCGTAGGGAAGAAGGGGACAAATGGACAAATGACAATAATAATGAGAATTGACGGGGGCAGAGGTATACGTTTCCAGAAAGCAAAATTGATGGAGAACATAGCAGGCTGTCTTTTGAGTTATGAATCTTTGTGTCCCACTCCCACCTTCACGAATCATGACCATTTTCCAAAAAAGACAATGTATTACTAATAGTTTTCAATTTTCATATAACATAGCAAAATGAAAGGAATCCCGTACGTATATGTCACATAATAAACGCTGTATTGTATATTCTTTCACAAACCAACAAAATTAAATCAAAACCAAAATATCTCAATTGTTTCCTTGATGGATAGAGCTACTCAGCTAACTACTACAGTTTGTTTATTAAAGAAATTTTCCTAAATTTTTTTAAAAATATAGGTCCATTCATGTTAAAAAAATAAAATAATAATAAAACTAAAAAACTAAAAAAAATTGCTACTAAAATGAACGATTGCCATGTTACTGCAATATTCAAAAATCCATTAGAAATATAAAACTTTATCGTACAAATTTAGTTTCACAAAATGCATTACTTTTTCAAGTCGGGAATATTTCACGGCTAACGGTTACGTGTTGGCAACAACTTTGCTACCAATTCACGTAGCATTACTTTAACGTCATCCGCACCGCTTTGAGATTATTTTTATGTACGGGTAAAATATCTCAAATTGATCACTTTGCGTCACATTTTGGCTCAATTATACGTATCAAGATGGAAACAAATGATATAATGCAAATTCGAACATCAATACTGTACTTTTTCTGGTTAAAAATGCAAGACGAATTATATACATTGTAATACTATGTATGTATAAGATGGAAGAACCTGAATAAGGAGACTTGAACGAGATTGGCCGGCCACCACATCTCCGCCGGCTCCACCAGGTACCTCCTGAATATGCCGGCCCATCCAAATCCCAACACCTACCAATTTACCAACCGTTCCAATATTTCAATCCATCATTCAACCAAACACCAATGTACCAATTCTGTCACATAATAATACTCCCTCCGGTTCTTAATACAAGCCATTTTAATTTGTCTTAGATTTCATCTGATACGTATTTTTTATTAACAAAAACTTTTAAAATATATTTTTACATTTGTTGTATTCTCTTGATTGTTATGAAATATTTTTTAAGTTTTTTTATCTATTAAAATTGTGTACTAGGTAAAATTTAGGAAAAGTCAAAATGCTTTATAATAAAGACCGGATGGAGTACTATTTGATTGTCAACACCAATAAAATCAAAAGCAATATTCTTGGTGATTATTAACACATTTTTAATACTTACAAGTGTAAAGAAAAACAATTAATATTTTTTTTTACAATAAAGGAAGCAAAACCTGAAAACTAAAATAACACAGCACTATATCACGAAGTAACCAGGGTTTCACCAGGGGGTCATCCAATTAATATTGATGATTTAATTTCACCCTAAATTAATTACGACATATGATGAATCATGATTTGTTTACTGATTAACTGACCTGGGTGGTTAAGATAACGATCAAAGAGACGAAGAAAGTGATGTGCTGTTTGTAAAACGCCTTGATGGCGGTGACCACGTGGATGGCATAAACGGTGCCGGCGCCGGAGTTGGCGAAGATGGTGATCAGCACGTGTTCCTTCACATTGAACGGCCCCGGATTCAACGTGAACTCCCACCGACTCCCCTTGAAGAAAACCCGGTTCGTGATCTTCGCCGCCATGAGCTGCCCCAGCGGCACAACGGCGATCTGGGCGGAGATGGCCGTGATGGTCAACGGCTCCGTTCTGTACCAGAAGAACTGGTTGAGGAACGACAGCAAGACGCAAGAAAGCGTCCCCAGCGTCCACATTCGGAAAGTCAGCACCGGCAAAGATGGGTCGTCGGTGGTCGACACCGTCAGCGCCACCTGCCGGATTGGCGAGTTCTCCTCCTCCTCCTCCTCCGCCGGCGGTTCTCCTTTCCGTTCACCATCATGTTTGTCCTTTCCCTTTGACTTTGTCTTTGATGATGATGGCACTGCATTTGTATATGTATGTAAGAATGCGTTTAATTGTGACTGAAACTTTAGCAAAAAAAAGATTAATGAATGGAAATATAGTAAATTAGTTAGAATGATGTGTTTTTTTAACTTACAGAGAGGTTCAACAATCTCATGCTCCATCTTGGGGTCTGAATTTTGAGTTTCTAGCAGCTGGAAAGAAGCTAATTTTTTATTTTTTATTTTTTCCTTCTGATGAGAAGGAACCTATCTGTTAAGAAGAAGGAAGAAAGAAGTCTGAGTTATTTAAAAAAAAAAAAAAAAATCTTATTGGGGTAAGGTTTACAATTATGTGATGATTAATTTAATGTACATGACAGGGAGGAGGAGGGGGCTACAATAATATTGAAGTGAAGAGATTCTGAGGAAGAACATTGGGAAGAATCTTGGGAGATGATGATACGGACAGAACTACACTATACTACAAATTCGATTTAATGTAAAATGATAAATATGCTAGTATCTAACTGCTTTTGTGGTTGTGTTAGTCACTCAATTTTGTACGTCAAAACCTTCTTCTCTTTTTTTTTTGGCGTTTTCACTTTCGGTTTTTTTTCTTTTTTTTACTTTCTATTTTGTTGGGCAGTAGTATATTTTGCATTGTAACATTGTTTGGCAAGTTGTTGTGGCAAGTGTACCTTTCATAGATTTGCCTATCTTCAGACTCAACTTGTTGAAGTAACGTTTTAAAAGAAGAAAACAAATTTTGTTTTTCCTTTTTTTTTAAAAAAATATCTTACAAGAAAATGACACTTTTTTTTATTTGACAAGTAACGAATTGTTAACCTAAATGATCATTTGGATCCTTTAGTCTATTCATAAAAATGTTGAGAGCCGAATGATGACGACGATCACTTTGAGTGTATAGTTTGTGTTAATTAGTACTCTCTCAGTCTCAAAATTATTGTCCTGTTTGAGATTTCATTTTTAGTATAATTTAAACTAAAAATGAAAATTCAAATTGGACAATAATTTTAAGACAGAGAGAGTATATGTTAATGCGAGATTCTTTCAAAATGACATTTCCAAAGTAGCTAAACATTTACCCCGAACACAACAAAAAATGACTTCAAGAAGTTCCTCAAATTCAGTGACAATAAGAGTTCTACAAAATAGGAGGCATATACGAGAAAATCTATGAATCTGACCTCTTCTAAACAAACTGTAAGATGCAGTGAGCAATCAATTTTTGCATAAATGCAGCATGTGTATGTAAAAACTACTACTACTACTATCGAGTTGGCTACTCTGGCTTATTAAATGAAGTCAGTATTGCCATAAACTGACAAAATCCAAATCATGTTCATGGCAGATTCAAGAGATGACAATGGTGCGGAGATGAGGTGCTCCACGTTTTTTCTCCATTTCTCCAAACTATTCATAGATTGTCAGATTGATACTCTTCCATTTTCTTGAAGAAAGGGGGAAAAAAAATCTCTTAATGTTCATTCCTCAAATAGGGAAAAGACTATATATATATATATATATATATATATATATATATATACCAATACTCACTGAGAATCTCAAGTGTTTAGTGACGGGAACACAATCTGTTAAGCTAACTACAATTCTCATCTCGATCGAAGAACAGATTTTTTTATAAAAAAAAAAAAGAAAAGAAAGAAAGACTGGACCAATTCACGTCAAATATGAGTAGGTACTCCATCCATTTCAAAATGTATGTCACTTTAAACTCTACATGTAAACTAAAGAGACAATTATTTAATAATTCATTTGTGTGTTAAATTTCTATTTTACCCATCATTAATTGTTTTGAAATTATAACCAACACTAGATGAAAAGTGGTTAACATTATTTATTAGGGGCAAAGTTAGAAAGTTAGTCTTTAATTTGTCTTGAAATCCTAAAGCGACCTATATTTTGAAATATTTCTCCAAACCTAAAACGACATACATTTTGAAATGGAGGGAGTAATTAATAAGGAGTAATTATATTTTTCTCTACAAATATAACTCTACTTACATGTCTATCTAGTTGGCATTCCACATCACCTCCCTAATTAATTATTTTTCCTATCTATCCCTATATATAAAACACCTCCCTAATTAATTATTTTTCCCGTCTATATATAAAAAAAATTAAAAGAAATTTTATCCTTTTTCTTGTTATTCTTCGATTCTTTTCTTTTATCTTTTCCTTTCACCATCGCCATTCGCCAGCTCCTCTCCAAAATAATTGAAGCGACGCCTAATAATTTTTGTGGCCTCTGTTTGCCGTTGTTGAGATTCTCTTTGGATATATTTTTATTAGTTTTGGTTATGAACCAAATTTCGCCATAGTTGGGGCTCTAAGTCTAATTTTTTATCTCCGAGAATGTGAGTAATCAACTAATGTGTAAAAATTATCGGGAGCCAAATGCCTCAGAAACTAACCTAAAATTTGACAAGATTTAATGAGGGTTTTATGAGGTTGGTGGTGGCGAAGAAATTTTTTTTATTTTTTAGCCAAAAAAAATTAATAATTAAGGAGTTGATATGAAATGCCAACTAGATAGACATGTACTTCCTCCATTTTAAAATGTAAGTCACTTTAGCCTTTTCACGTAAATTAAGGAGATAATTATTTAACAATTAATTTATATGTCAAATATCTAGTTTACCTCTTATTAATTACATTAAAACTATAAACAAGACTAATTGAAAATAGATAGACATCATTTATTGAGGGTAAAATTGAAAAAATAGTCGTTAATTTATCTATATTTTGTAAAACGACCTATATTTTTAAAAATTTATCTAAACCTAAAACGACCTATAAATTAAAATGGAAGGAGTAAGTAGAGTTATGAATAGAGTTATATTTGTAGAGAAAAATATCATTACTCGTTGATAAGTTGATCTAAATGACCTACTAGTACTCATTAATAAGTTCATCCAAATGACCTACAAGTACCAGGCTATAATTTGGATGGGTTGGTTTAAGTTTCGACTTCGTTCACAAGGTATAATTAATGTACCAAAAATCAGTAGTAAGTTATTCAGATACTGTAACATGATAGGGAAAACATGATTTTTAGTTAAATAAATAAACAACATGATTTATTTATTTATTTATTTTCAGGGAAAGGTAGGTATTAATACTCTATCGTGGAGGCACATGTAGCACTGGTTGCATTACCCTAATATATTTCTGGCAATCAATTTGAGACTGGAACGTTGGTCATGATGACAACTGATGGATGAAATGAATTGGATATATTAGGGTAGGGTTCCTTGGCTTATAATATATTGTTACCATCTTCTTTTTTTCTTTCTGATTAATTACATGCATTTTGTCGGGATATATTGGGTTAAGTTAGCCATCTACATATATTTTATGATATATACATATATATATAGTAAATCTGAAAAAAAGATATTACAAACAAACAACGAAATTATAAAAATGTAAGATATACTTACAGAAACGTATACACGGGGAACCCAGCAAACTCAATGAGCTATATTCATGATCTTGATGGATACCAAAATATGCATTTTAATCCCTCCTTCATCAATGAGATATTTCGCCTATCCATGATTGGGATTTTCTGGAGCTTCAACAAAATATTGAGACTCCGATGGATTGATTACCTTAGCAACAAAATTTGCAGAGTTTTGCAGGCAGGATTGTTTATTCAAATTAAAATCATAAAATGTGTCTATGAAAATAGAAGGCAGAAGAAAATGAAAATGAAAAAAAAAGGAAAAACGTGAATCTCAAGAAATTCTGTAAATTTGTTTTTAATATACAAACGCTCAAAAAATTCTGTGTTAACCAATTTTAACCATACGTTATTTGAAAAAATAATTAAGTTGAATGATTTTTTTAGCCCAAAAAAAAGAAGAAGTTAATAATCTTAAATTTAGTCCGACTTTTACGGAGTGCTAAATTCGTGCTCATAAAAGATTTTATTTTTTATTTTTTTTGGTAGTATATTATTATTTTAATACAAAAAAATATGATAATTATTTTACAGAGGAACTATAAGTGCATCTTGCATGATGGAAGATCTCTATCTGCCTCACACAGAATGTAGACCCTCCAAATTCTCAGGATGCGAAAAGTGAAAGTGATGCCTGAATCTCTCGAATATCCTAATTTGTTTTCTAGTGAAACATTACCTCAAATGCATTTAGCAACCCGGTAGAAGTTACGGCGGCTTTGACTGCGGTGACCTCTATGTCCTATAGTTGGATTTCATCACTTTTTACATTTTTTTTTTGATCTTTTGCGAAAAAAGGAGTATCTTGTTACATCAATTTTATACAACAATACCATGGGATAAATAACTTACATATATACAAATGTCATTGTTGAGCCATTCAGTTGTACCTGGAAGCAGTGAAAGCGGTTTATGCTATATATATAGATACTTTCTAAATTCGTTGCTGTCAAAAATATTAAAAGTCAGTTATGTTATATGTATGCGAACTAAAATTTATATCTTACGTATGCAAGAGCCACATACGTATTTGTAATTACATTGCATGCGGACTAGAGTTACGTTATTACACTATATGCGAATATATATGTTATAGATACATGAGCCATATACCTATTTTTCACTAAATTAATGAGTGTTTTATTTTTTTCAATAAGATACTCTCGTATGGTAACATATATTGTACAAATTACAAAATCATCAGCTATCTATCGGGGCGGTGGGGGTTGTGGCAAAAGCATGGAAGATGTTATCTTTCCATCGGCAAATTTAAATATAATAATGTACACAAAAAAAAAAACTGTATAAAAATTCTTCTGAATCGAGCATTTCTTTGTTCTAGTAGCCATCCATTCATAACTGTGCATTATCATCTCCTTGATTTTCATTAATTTTCCAATGTCAAGTGTCAACTACTATCTTTGTAAAAAAAAAAAATTCGCAATGAATTTTCAAATTAATACTACTTTTTAATGTGAACTTTTTTTTGGATGGAAGAAGAATTATATATATATATATGTATAGAAAGAGAGAGAGAGAGAGAGAGAGAGAGAGAGAGAGAGAGAGAGAGAGAAAAAGCAATGCTATATTGAGTATTTATTCTATCAAAAAAATATTACATTGAATTTTCAAATTTGTACTAAAACTAATACAAATCTCAAAAAATTGATGTGGACTTTTTTTTTGGGGGGAACAAAGCTAGTATAATTCTTTTTTAGGGAAATAAAGTAAAATTCTTAGGTTGATTTTAGTCCCAATATTAATATATAATTTGTTCATGTACAATATATTAAATCAATTTTAAAAATTTAGATTTAATTCAATTCGAGTAACGCATGAGTTTGGACTAGTTAAATTTTTGGTATTTACTTAAATTAATCAACTTCAAATTAAAGCACTACCAATATATTAATTTTATACATTTTAATTACGCACATTAATATAGATATAGACTCACACCATCTGATTTTAATATGCCATTTAATGTAGGGACAACAAGATGGTGGTTAATATGCTGTTCTTAAAACATTCGTTTACTTCAAACTTTCTCTCTTGCTTGAATCTTCTTTCGAACGTTTTATTCTCGTTTTTTCATTTTTTTTTATCATGTTTCAAAATGATTGTTTAATATAATTAAATTTTTATTTTT